AGTGCTGGTGTGTGTTTGGGTTTGGCTTCGGTTTTGCCATCCACAATTGCAACATTTGAATGCGGCTGTTGCCGGAGAGCAACCTCAGCACGGAAGGCAAAAATTACGTGGCAGCCACAAGGCAATTTGTGGACTAGAAGGACGAAGAGCGAAGGGTTCGGGGACAGAGACTGATGTCCATCAGCGTGAAATGGGCAAATGACATTTGAAAAACTAAAAACAGCAGAAGGAACGGGAACAGCAGCTGGCATTCACCGCAGTCGAGAACTTCGGGATTTCAATTGCCTGCTGCGCACTCTCCGGGGTCCTTATATTCCGGACTTAGAAACTCAGTCCCGGATTCAGACCCGGAGTCCTTCATCGCATTCGCCGTACTATACAAAGGAGGCGAATTGATAAAGTTGACCGCAAATTCTTTGTACATTACTTTCCCTTCATGGTCGCATCAATCATAATCAAGGCGGAGAACAACTCGATAAATTGATATGGTGAAGTTTATTGCATTGTCTGCGAAAGTTATTGCCCCTCCAGAAAGTTTGCTCTTACCTGATGCATGAAATCTCCACAAAACCTGAACAATGCAGGAACAACAATATCCATTTGGGTTAACTTTAGGTTGAAACTAAATATACTTCTAGTTTAATTTATAGCTTGTATAGCTTTAATGCAAGTTGAGCGTTACAGTATCTTTAATCCAAATTAAATTTCATCTAAATTATTTAAATCAAATTTTAGTTCAAAAATGAATCTATGTATTTATTATTGAATCTATATATTTATTAATATTTCATGCTGTAGTGAAAAACTCTAGTGTAAACCCTTTAATTTTACCAAATTTTTGGCTAAGTTGTTGTTCGTCTGAAGCGATAACCACCTCGGACAATTTAGTAAACAAACTGATAGCGTTTAAGAAAATAACCGTATTATCATGTTAAGCTGATTATAAATCAAAAGCTCTGCAGGAGAAACAAACTAGCCGAAGGGAAGAGATTAAGCCATACATCCAATTTACCTGCCCTTTTTTAGCTTTTCGAGGATGTGGGAATATTTTGGCACTCGCAACTCCATTCCGCTCCCCAAAAATTCACGATGGAGCTGCCGGGGAAATTATTTATGGAATGGATTTGCTTTGTTTCCCACGAGTGGCGCGTACAAAATGATAAATGCACGTGGACCGGGATGAGATATAGTATATATATATATATATATATGTTATATGGCATGACAAATACTTTTCAGCATACAGCAAAGAGCGTTTCCTGTCCACCGCCCATTGCGAAACCCTTTGGCTGTTGCACATGCGGCACAGATTTTAGTTGTTTTTAGTCTCGGACTAAATTCTCGTTGCCAGGGTGTTGCTGACAACTGAGGAAAAAAAAAACGAAAAAAAGAAGAAATATATATAGAGGTTCTGCTAAAAACTGCAGCGGCAAAAGGGAAAATAATGGCGGAAACTATAAAGCATTCCGTAACAGTTTTTTTCTTGCTCCCGTTTCTATTTTTGCCGTTGCCGTTTTCATTGTTATTGTCCTTGTTGACGTTGGTCCTGTTGCCGCCTTTCCTTTCGCCTTTTGTTCGAGCTGAATGACTCTGATGTTGCTTTTGCTGCTGCTGATGTTGCTGCTTCTGCTGATGTTGCTGCTGCTGCTGATGTTGCTGCTACTGCTGATGTTGTTGCTGCTGCTGCCAGTGACGTGCTGCAGGTTGCCGCTGTTGCCAACGGGGAGAACCGGAGTTGCACTTGCCATTGTTGTTGCCGCATCGTCTGCTCATTTTTATTTAAAACTCAATTGGACGAATTTCTGCCCCGGGTCGGGGATCAGGCAACAGGCAACAACAATGGGGCCAATTTGCTCCAAGTCCGCCAGACGCACAATCGCCGTCGTCATCCGTTGCCATCGCAACCACTTTATGTGGGTGGAAACAAAGTGCTAAGTGAGCTAGAAACAGATAACCAAGTACAGATAATAACATCATAAATAACCAACTATTAGAAAGTTATGCACTAGTTATTCAATAGTTTGACGGGCTCAAATACAATAATAATACAACATTTGTATAAGTGTTTTAGTCAGTTATTTGGCAGTTAAAAATAACCATACTCTAAATATTTAATTTAATAATAATTCTACCATATAATTTATAAGTATTTATTTTGTCAATTAAATATAACCCTTTTAAAATTTTTTAAGTTAATATGAATTTTTCTGTATTTTGTTTTACGATGGGTATTTTGGAGTAAAATTATGTTTAAGCAGACAACTTTGTTCTAGAAAGTATAAGACAAGAATTGAAAATCACACTTTTCCTAGTTTTTCTTAAAAATAGTTTACTCTGAAGAATAATAGCTTAGAAAATTGTTGTATAAAATATAGTGATTACCACATATTTCAACGACTAGTAAATTTACATCTTATGCACCTCTCACTTGTTGAAGGTAGCAATTAGTTACCCCATGTTGTTTAACAAACTAATCTCGCCCATAGATGCAAATGTTTGTCTTCTCGGCGGCATGTCAATTCGGGGCATGACCCCGACTAAACTAATTATAAACTTGGCGAAACTCGGGCGAACCTGCGGGACAGATCCCGTGGCATCAGATCCACCTCATGGTCATGCATTTTTCGGGCGGCACTGACGCCTGCCAAAATGCAAGCAAAGTCTGCGGAAAATGTGGCCAAATCTGGTGGCCGGATTACAGCTTTAGATGCCGCAATGCCGCCGACGACGACGACGAGGATGCGACCTCCGTTGGCAAACAAACTTTTCGCGTCACACCAAGCTGTCCCGGAAAAACCACGCCTCGTCCTTTTCCCACAGAAGTGGAAAGCGGAAAAGTGCAGTGTGCACGGTACAATGAAGCGCCTTTTAAGCAGCGAAACGCTGGCTCCAAAAACTTTTCAGCGTGATTTTTTTTTTTGAACGCGAAAAAAAATCCAGGAGGGGAAAAATTATGCCACTATGTAGCGGAATGCATTGCGAAGGGTGCCAGCGATAGCGGAAGCACGTAAAATATTTGCATTTTTATTAAAAATTGAATAAATTGAGATGAATATTTCTTTCGCTGCCGAAAAAGTTCTCCCCTCAGTCAGCTTGTTATCGTTTTATTACTTTCCCCCGAGCAGCACAAAAGTTTTTAGCTTTTTATGAAAGTTGATTTCGCCGTTGCCCGCCTCATGATGTTTGAAATTCATAATTAAAAATAGTTGAAAATGTAGCGAGCAGGCAGTGCCTACATCATCCTTTGTGGTCGTATTAAATAAAATTTAATTAATTTTAATTATTTCCGTACACTAAAGCCCAGGAAAGCAATGCTCTGCTTTTCATCACGCCCATTGATCATACGCCGTGTGGTACCGATTTTCCAGCTAATTAGCCACCGTCCGGAAAAGTCAAAACTCCTGCAAAGCCATCCTTAACAAAAATGTTAAGTTCTAAAGTTCCAAAAAAAAGAAAAATGCATTTATGTGAAGAATTTAACTGAAACATTTCGAGTATAAATAAAAATTCTCAACTGGATGTTAAAGTAAATTTATAAAGAAATGAATTCATTTGTAAACCTCATCAAACAGGAAATTGTGTGCCTTTTGAGCAGGCTTGTTTGGTGTTAAGCCATGAATTATTTATTAATGTGACAAAACGATTGGGTGAAAATGTTATAGTTTTTTTTAACTTACAGGGGCATAAATATTTAATTAGCTCCCCACCTCAATTTAAAATGCATTAAAAAAAGAGTTTCAAATGCATTGAAAGAATAAGCCAAGGCTTATGAAAACATCGGAAATGACTATTTTAAAAATACAAAGCTGGTCACCATCGATAGAAAACTGATTCACATTACTCCAGTTAAAATAACAAGCAAGGTAGCTTTCGCTATCATAAGTTTTCTTTGAAACCAATTTCAAGCTGGGATATCTCTTCATCTTCCCTGGAATTCCCTGGCTTGTGCTGAACAATGTGTGCATTTAGATTTGATTTGTACTTTGCGCAGTTTGGCATAAATCCTCAGGCAGTCGCAATATAAACAAATCATTGCCTGCCCCGGGCAAACTTTATGTCACAACTTTCGCACGACAAACTTTCCCATTTTGTCCCTTCTATGTATGTTGGGCGCATGCCACGCCCACCCCTCACGAGGGATCGAAAAAAGGGTCGGAGATGTTGGCTTTTCGGACCCGGGGACACATGTGGCCCAAGTCCATGAATTATGGCTGAGGCTTAATTATGTCGGGCCAAGATTAGCCCGGCAGCCATGATTCCGTCACTCGGAGCGGCAGAAGAAGTAGAAAATCGGGTGGTGGCTGGTCTGCCATCATATTGATTCTGATATGGTTATTCGGTTCATTAAAAAGTTTCCCCAGCGCACCGTGTTGATGTTTCATGCAAGTTATGAATACAGCCGTGCTCTCGAAGTTTGCTTCTTCGGCTGCAGTTTTAATTAGGGCACAAAATCAACGAAGAAACTTTGACGCACTTTTAATGAAGCAACTTTTCGACGAACGGTTGTATCACCCCGCAGGAATCTTCTACCCCTCCCTCCCCCTCCTCTACCTTCCCCTCCTCCAATCCTCTTCCCTCCCTTCGAACTGGGGCATTGTTTTTGTGGGAGGAAAAATTGGGTTTCGGCACAGAGTTGAACCGCCAAACCAGTCAGCTTGCTGCAGTTATTACTTTAGAATTCTTTTTAATTTATAGAGTAAAATTTAATATTAGTAATGCTGCTGGTTTTTGTGGGTCAAACAATCTTAAACCCCCCAAATGAAATTTCAAAAAATTAATAAACAAGTTTAGCATTAATTTAAAAAAAAAAAAAAAAAAACAAAAAAGGGAAGAAAATAAAATATTGATTAAAGTAATTAGTATAATACTTGTTACTATTACCAACACAAATTTTCGACAATCCTTTACATTTTATTTTTAAAAATACCAGAATAAGAAGAGTATTTTCAGTTGAATACTTTTTAATAAAATTGGTTTTCCCCTTTCTTTTTAAATTTCAGACGACAGGCTTCGGTGGATTACCGGACGTCACCGAGCACTCGAACATCCGCCGCACTCTGTCCCGCCAGAACTCGATCTCGAACAGCGATTCCGGCGGCGAGATAGCCAGCATCCAGAAGTCGAAGGTGAACTTTGGCAATCCCCTGGCCGGGGGCGTGGTCGTGGGCGGGGATATAGTCGGCCTGGATGCCAAATCGCCGACATCGCTCAATTCGGCGACGGGAGCCGGTGCAGCGGGGAAGGCAAAGGGCAAGGCGTCGAGAAAGGCGAACGCCGGAGCAGATGGCGGCCAGAAGGGGAGGAGGGGCTCCTGGCTGGTGGCCCTCACCCTGGTGAGTGCCATCTGCCTGCTGGCCATCGCCGCCACCTTGGCCTACCAGCACTTCCTCATGGCGCCCAGCCGCAATTCGCACGCCCAAAGACTGAGAATCGTAAGGCGGATCCTGCGCGAGGTGCCGCTGGTCGATGGCCACAACAATTATGCCTGGAATGTGCGCAAGTACGCCCACAGCAGCCTGGAGCTGCATCTTAGCCACGACGTCGACCACAAGTCGCTGTGGGCGCGGCCAGCGTGGGCGCAGACCGATATGGAGCGACTCAAGCAGGGACTGGTCAGCGTCCAAGTGTGGTAAGTCCATTGGAAAATCTCTAAGCTACTCAGAGGACTCAATAAGAGCACACAAAAAATATTAAAAAAAATAAATAGTAGTGCTTACAAAATATTATTGTAGATAATCAAGATTTTTTAAAGAAAAAGTTTAGTATTTACAAGTGTTTATTGTTAGATTAGTGGTTTCTGTTATTGAAGAGTTGGTGTAGAGTAAGTAACTCTCCATAAAAGATCGTTTTTGCATTTCTCCTTTCATCAGACACCTTATAATATTTATATTTTTAAAACCTCAATTTTATAATTTATTGCTCCATTCAAAGAGAAACCCTACTACTTCCAATTATTGATACACAACACATCAATTACATAAAGGTTAAGCCTTCAACAATAATCATTTTGCAAACATTGGCATGATTTTTATGCAATTGAGCCCGTTTTTATGCTTAACTGCAATTGCAAAATGCAATGGGGCGTATACGCAATGAAAATTCGCCCACCAGCGGCCAAGTCATGAAAATTGAAAATTCACATAAAACTGCAATCAGAACGATGCGACATCTACCCGGGTCAGAGATTTGACCCCTCGACGATGCATTCGAGTGCTGGCCGAAAACATGGCAACATACAGCCTTGCTGTCACGCCCACCAAGTGGGCGCATCCAAATAGCCGCCCACTCCTGACCTCAACAGTTTTCCCCGCGCGGCAATAAAAAGCTGCCAACAATTTGACTGCAAAATAAAATTTGGCAACCGCCTGGAAGCCCCAGGGCAAGTAGCCAACCTGTCTGCCGTGGCTCCCCACTGCCTCTTTCTGCAAAAAGCGAGCACTGAGAAAAAAAAATTTTTAATTACTTTAAGTTAATTGAAGTTTAAAATACTTCTTGCGGAAATGAATTAGATATAATAGATATTTAAAATTATCTGTTTACTTTGAATGCATAAATCAACTTATTTCCTTACAGTTTTTTTCTTGTTAAACAAATAATATTTTTTTATAAAATCAATGAATAAACATAAATAATTAGAAAAATAAACTATTTATCATCAAAAATAGTTAATTAAAAACAGATGAAGGGGTTATTTGCGGTTTTGGATATGCAATACTTTTTTTAACAGAAAATAATTCAGAATTAAAATTATAATGTAAGTGTTAGGTATTTTTTTTTTGTGTGTAAGTTGCACACCCACTCCGCATTCCCGTTTCGAATTTGGCCAGAGGAAACAGGCAGGAACACAATCTGACAGGCGGCAGACAGTTGCAGTTTGGGAAAAACGCTGATGGGCAATCGACTTGACTTCATTTTGGAAGCAAACCTACTCCGCCCCCAAAAACCCCCTCACCGCCCACCACCCACCACCCACCGCTTACCGCTGTGACCGCCAGATGGCGCAAGCGTAACTTTTCGCCAATTTCGCATTTCAATTCGCTGGCTGGCCTTCTGCTGAACTTCGTTTAGAAGTTTGGCCCAAACCAGCGGGGATTTCTGGTTTTCGCCGCTCTCTCTGCAGTTTTCAATGGCCCCCGGCTCGCTTATTGCCGTATCAAATGGCAACCAATATGGAAACGTTCTACGTTGCTGCTAACTAGCCATTTCAATTTGCATTTGCCAGTTTCAAGTCGTTTGGGGGCAGAATGTTCAGCTATTTAATGAGATAATGTGTAAACTGGCGCAATTTATCAATGCTTTGCCATGAGAAATTTATAAAGATTCAACTTAAAGATCAATATAAATTGTACGGTTTTTTAAGCGCTTAATATTTGAAAAAAAAAAAAAAAAAAAAAAATAGTAGAAAATATACATATTTAAAATTAAAAGTTTATTATTCAAAACGAGAAGAAAATATAACAATGGAAATAAGATTCATAGTTGAATTAAATTGAACTTAATCAGAAATATTAAATTAGAATATAAAATTTAAAAAAAAGTATATTATTACTTCATCTTTAAGAAATATAAACTTTTCATTAATGCTTACTATCCAATAATATAAAATCACTTCAACGTTTTGAACTCCTAAAACGTATTACAATGGTACAACAATTTTCCTTTTTGTATAGATTTTTTTGGCAGCGTGTCCTGGAGCGAAAGTCCTCTGACCTTTGTCCGTTTCTCCTTTCCTCCTTGCAGGTCGGCATATGTGCCGTGCGAGGCGCAGGGCTTGGACGCGGTCCAACTGGCACTGGAGCAGATCGACATTGTGCGGCGACTGTCGGACATGTACGCCCGGGAAACGGTGCTGGCCACATCCTCGCAGGACATCGTGGAGGCGCACCGCCGCGGCCTGCTGGCCTCGCTGATTGGCGTCGAGGGCGGCCACACGATCGGCTCCTCGCTGGGGGTGCTGCGATCCTTCTACTCACTGGGCGCCCGCTACCTCAGTTTGACCCATCGCTGCGACGTCTCGTGGGCGGGATCGAGTGCCTCGCCGGCGGAACAGGGACTCACGCCCTTCGGCAAGGCCATCGTCCGCGAAATGAACCGGCTGGGCATGATGATCGATCTGTCGCACAGCTCGGATGCCACCGCCCGCGATGTGCTGCAGGTGACCCGGGCTCCGGTCATCTTCTCCCATTCCGCCGCCCGCCAGCTGTGCAACTCGACGCGCAACGTGCCGGACGACATCCTGCGCTTGGTGGCCGAGAACGGCGGCCTCATCATGCTGAGCTTCGACTCCGAGGACGTCGCTTGTGGTCGGCAGGCCCGCCTCCAGGACGTGATCGAGCACATCAAGTATGTGCGGGCCATTGCTGGCATTCAGCACATTGGACTGGGCGCCGGTTACGATGGCATCGAAATGCCGCCGTTGGGACTGGAGGATGTGTCCAAGTATCCGGAACTGCTGGCCGCCCTGCTCGAGGATCACAACTGGAGCGAGGAGGATGTGGCCATGCTGGCGGGCCGGAACTTTCTGCGCATCATGGAGACGGTGGAAACGGTGCGCGACTACTGGAAGCGGGCGGCCATCCAACCGATCGAACAGACGGAGCCGCAGCCGAAGACGCAGTGCACCTACATGTCCTCGTGACCCCAGGCACAGGCGCAGTCACAGTCGCAGTCACAGTCACAGTCGCAATCGCAGGCTGTAAGGCAGCGACGGCAGGAACCACCGCGAACCAATGTGGAGCGAACCACCGTGGAGCGAACCAATCGCACCACGGCAACACTGGCGGGTGGCCAGGCACAGAACTTCTGGGATCGCAGTCCGGAGGCGACCTCGGACTCTGCCACAAACCACTCGCATCCAGCGTTCATTGCGGCGACGACCACGAGTTTTACGGTCAGCGAACTGCTCCAGTAAACCGATTTTTTGGATGGCAAGTCAAAGCACGGGACTTCGGTTGGCGGTTCGGTTTGAGGCGAGTAATGCGACAAATAAATCTAGGAGAGATTCCTAAAATCTAGCAAACTGCATCTAATTTATGTTAAAATGATTTCAGAAATTTTATTTATTTTTAACATTTTACCTGGATTTATTTGTAATTGAAACAAAGCTTGTACTCAATAACTACATAATTCAATTTTATTTTTAATATATTGTAAACCCAATGAAGAGCTAAAATTGTATATAAACCTGAACTTATTTGTGCAACTGTAGACCCTTTAAGCTATGCAGTTCTAAAATCCATTACTCGCCGCCAGTAAAAAAAACTTTCGTGGAAAATGCCGTGAATAATTAGTTCGTACTCGTAATTTACTTCCATAGGATGCATCGATAGGCGTATGAATAAATAATAATAATAATAAATGTACTAGTATTTAGCCCATGATTGTTTGCAGCTAAACTTGTTGGTGTTGTGGCTATGCATAATTTATGCACAGTGCGGATACTTGATAATGTTGCTGTACCACGGGCCGTATGCGCGATGCAATGAAATCCGAACCGCAAACCGAAATCTTTCTTGACTTATCTGCGACTGTATTATATTAAATATGTAGGTCACACATCAATGATTCACGCTAATTATCGCAATTAAGCGGAGTATATTTAATCACGAGCATCACACAAGCACCCGAATATAAATCATCAAACTGAATTAATCGCAGCGGACGGATATCCAGATTCACAGTTGGCATTAAAGGCCAGGATCAAAAGTCGAGCAACATGCACTGCAAAATCTGTTGTAAGAACAGCCACCCGGCGAATGCAATTAAAACCATCTTAATTTCTGCATTAGGTTAGTTTAAAACAAATGATAAAAAACCAAATAAAAATCAAAAACCAAAAATCGAAATATTGTTCGTGTATGCATAGCTATATATACCTATATATATAAACCACAGAGAAACTGAAACATAAGTAAATTCCCGCAAAGGCAATGTGTATAATCGAATAGACCCAAACACATTTCCTTAAATAAATCGAAAATAAAAAACAACATACAATGTGTTATTCTTTCCACTTTTGGGTTCTTCACATACTAAAAACAAAATCAATGAAAAAAGGTAATCTGGTTGGGATTTTCTTTCCATAATTTAATACTGATGATAACTGATACTTTTTTTCAAAATAGCTTCTTGATGATTTTGAAAGCCTTTAATCTGATAAAAAATTTTAGTTCTGCTTACTAAACTACACACTTTTATGCCTAATCAATCAAGAGCTTTGGATACATTAGTTTATATACGCAAGCACATAGTGCCGTTAGCTTAGCTATACGATAATTTTTACACACACACACACACACGCACACATGAATTCCTTATACAATCGCTGAGTCTGGGAACATAAAAAACGTTAAGTGGTCGTAAATCAAAATTGTGGAAGAATGGGAAAGTTCGCAAAGTTCCTCCTTTACTACTTTGCGACGACACGGAGTCCCTTGGCCTATTCGGTCTTATTGTCTCCTCTCCGGTATTTATTTCCAGATACTCTTAGTCCAACTGAGAAAGCAACTCCCAAAAGATCCGGAAATTGGCGGCGGGAGCAATCCAATTCCGTGCATTTGCAGTCCATTGAGTTTTGCTTAAATTTTAATGAAACTAAGCGGCCGCCTCCCAACTAAGAAAAAATCCCAACGATTTTCGGGGCCAGACATCACTGCGACGCCATCAAGTTTTCATATCAGACTTTTTTCCCTTAATTTTCTTTCTTTTGTTTTTTGTTTTGTTTACAAGTTTCGGTTTTGATTGCTTTTGCTTGGCTTCGAAACCCCCAGCATCACAGCACTCCGCTGGGCTTTGTTCAATTTTGTTGATTTTGCAACGACTTAATAGAGTCACTAATTGTTGTGTACAGACAGAACCGCTGGCTAAGCTTGTATTCGAATTTCAGCGAATATTGCCTGGGGGAAAATGTTTATAAATTCTACATGGAAGCTATTTGTACAAATGTGCATTGAATATGAATACAAGTTATCATAAAAAACTTCCAGTGGAGTTTAAAAGTTTACTTTAAAAAACACCAGTCAAATACATATTTTTTTAGCTTAAACAAAACCACATATCTGTAACCTTTGAACTTCTAATTAATATTGTTAAGTTTAAAACATTACAATTTGTTTTGATATGTTATTAAAATGTTTATATCCTTGTTGTTGTTATCTTGCTTTTATATTTGCATACATATTTCTAAATAATAAAGAACAACAGATATGCTGAAAATCATTACAAATAATTATAATACAACATATAGAAATGTTTAGGTTTTCCTTATAATTATTTATGTATATAATTTTTAAGAGTGGCGTTAAAAAAGTATTTTTCCATTTCCACAATTTAGCGCAAAGTTACGGCTACCGAACTTGTGGACATCATCATAACTTCGTTTACAGTTACATTGGCCGTTAAAAGTAATTACCCAATTTCACGGACACCTCAGCGCAAACAGCCAGGACAATCCACTGGAAGTTGGGGCGGCTGTTAAAGGACAATGGACGTCCCCAGGCGAAAATTAAGAAGTGACCGTTAACGAGACGAGCGGCATGGCATCGCATTCTCATTAACACGCCAGTCCGGTTTCAATTTCCTGTTTAATTTTTCTTTCCATTATAAATGGCCCATTGCATGGCGAGTAAAGCCAGCGCCAGCAGATTCCGCTTTCAACTCCGGCCCACGAGGCAAAAAGCCATAAACAATGCGCTCCGACAACTGCGACGAGCTGATGGACAAAATAATGCCTGATGACATTTATAATGAGCAAAATGTTGTTCCTTCTTCCCCATCCTGTTGTTGTGTGGCTACTGATAAGTGGAATTTCGCATCATGTGGCCGAAATTTGCGCTTCATAGCATCATAAATCTGTGCTATCCCCTTCTGCCCCCAAAATAAAAGCTATTTACTACTTAAAGGTGATGTCACAAATGCTTGGTTTTAAATAAAGAAATGTAAAAACAATCCCAGGCTTAGTGATTCCTAAATTTTTTTAGCCGCTATTTAAATTATATAAATCACACTTTTGGCATATGAAAAGGATACATTTTATTACAGACGAATAAACAATAATAGAAAAAACAACGTTTTTGCTCCAATCCACGGACGTAAATATTCATTACTTTCGAAATACTTTTAAACAGTTTTAGCAACATAAAAGATATTCTTTTATTCTATTTTTTGTTTGATAACATAGTTTTTTTTAAGTAAAACTTATAGATACGTTCGATTCATTCGAAAATATTTTTAATAGCGTAATTCTAAGCGATTTTTCTCCTTGTCGTTTAACAAATTAGACTTGGTAATAACGCTGTTAAATTCAGTAAAAGTGATAAGTTTATAGTCAATGTAGCCCAGCAAAGTTTTTATATATTTAAGATGCGTTCGTTGTATGTCGCTTTCTTTTTGATCGCCTATTGCATCATCTGCAGCTTCTCCACTGCTATGGCAAATCGCCTTAGAAGTTCCTGGTTTATCATTCGGTTCTGGTTCTTTTAAATCGCTTTCTTTAGAAGTTACTCTTAACTTAATTTCTTTATTTTCATCATCGACAACATCCTCTGAATTCTCGGCGAAATCGGCATAAAGTCCATGCATTTTAACATAAAACTCGATCATTTTGAAACGTTCGATTTCGGGCACTCTTCCTCCGCTGGCAATGAGGTACTGCTCGAAGACATCTGAAGTCAGTTCCATCGCGTCCATTGCGAAACAGTTATTACTTTGCAAAAAGATTCTCTTCAAGCGCTTAATAAAAATAAGTATACAAACGAAAATGATCTCAATTAATTAATGTGTAAACAATTATATGAAAAACTGATAGAATTTTATTATAAGTATTTTTTTTCCAAATAAACAAATTTTATTGTAAATATTTTTTTTCAAATAAACGTTTGCCTGAAAACAAACATTGTTTTTTGTACTTTTTTTGCAAAAACGCTTCCGACTCTAAAAGAAAGTTTCTTAATATGAATACATGTTGTTAAGTTCAAAAAACAATAACAAAATCTGGCTTGAGTTGCTTAATTTTTGAATGTAATTAAGCGTATTTATTAACAATAATATGTATATCAACAATTGCTTGTGAACATATCAGTTTGTTTCAAAAATTTTACAAAAAGTTATGAGTTATATGTATTTTATATTAAATATATTTTATTTTCTTTCCTAATTTAATCAAAATCCCAGAAACACCCGAGGGCGAACTGGAAAAATACTGCAAGGAATATGTTGAAATTGACCAAAATTTTTATTTAATGGAGTGGTGGCACAATTCTGCCGAGAGAATTTACTTGAATTAAGCGAAGTTTTGGTATGCTGATCGTTTTGATTCAATCATACTCGTTGCAGATCTCTGGTATATACATACATAGAAAACAAATTAAAAAACTTTCTTTGTAAATACTGTATGTATGTACAAATATAGAAAACAAAAATTTCATTAGGCGCTCTTACCTCAATACAGCATTCCTGGAGCTCTTTATGGTTTGTGTCGTGGGCGCCCTGAAAAACCGGGACAAGATCGCTGATTATCATACTCTCGATCCGAATTTGTAGGATTTTTAAGCAATCCTGTTGGATGGAATCTACCAGCCAGGAGGAACCGAGTCTGAGGAGCTCAACTAACATCTCATTTGAATGCATTTCGAGTTTTTCTTTTTTGTAAGAATACACATATTGAAGGAAGTGGCTAAATGTCTTTGCCTTCACCTCTTCCAAGCAAATTTCACTCGATTTGGACTCCTGGAAATTACCCAGAAACATTCGCTGAAAAAACTCTGATGCACCAGCCAAAATATTCTTATGGCAAGCGAAAGATTGGTTTTCTACCAATATACAACAGTCGGAGAACATCTTGTTCTCTAGAATTTTGCTGAGCACGTTTTCTAGACTGAAAAGTTTGATAAAGTTCATTTAAGTTATGTTCACTTCTCCTTTCATTGTATACTCACCGGTTATTCATATTAGTTTGCATTGTTGGCTGTCAACAAATTAAACGAAGACTAAGCTCTTTGTATTAAAACTGATGCGATGAAGCCGGCTTTTTTTCTTCCCCTCTTTCTACGTATGTACATGTTTTTTTGTTTAAACCAAAAAAAAAAAAAGCTAGCTTTATATTATACACACGATGGATATTTTGGCAAGTTTTTTTTTCGGGGAACTCCCATTTTTAATGCATACGAACAAATTTTTCTTACCGTTTCTTGCCCTCCTGAAAAAATTGAAGACGACCTCGTACACTGGAAAGTCCCAAGCTAAAACCATGTGAGGTAGGGATGTCGAATATACATATATTAAAATATCGATACATCGATATTTATTCAATATTGATTATATTGTTATCGCGACCATTCTTTGTGATCGATTATCGCAAATCGATATTGTTAACCGCAAAGAAAATAACGGAAAAAAGCTTTCATTGATATATCATCAGTACGATATTTTAAAAAAATTACCCAAAGCCCTGAGTCACATCTTGGAAACTACAATACAATTTTTTATTTATTAAACATCGATTAATGTGTTAGGTAACTTATACAATTCTTAACTCTCTAACTTTGAAATTTCCCATTTTTTTTATGGGAGCTAAAAACTATAGTTTCACATACACCCAACCTAATACTTGAGGCCTAATCATGTTTCAAAGCTTTTTACTCAAAAATCATCTGTGAACTCGCAACGAATGGTAAATGCTTGGTCAGCTCAAATATAAATTATCACAAATCTGTTTGCCTCAATGGACCACTGGGCGGTCGGTACTTCACACATACAATCCATGGTGTGTCGAAGACATTCATTCGTGGGGAGTCCAGGCAAATCCGATAGTAAATATTGTGGTACTGAACAATTGACCGACTCCGTTGTTGGGCGGTCATCGCCCACCCAGCTGTAAGTAATTAGGAAATTTGCAAAATTTTCCATTTGTCGGACATGAATCTGCAAATCTGACGTTGTCCTTGCTGCCAATCCTGGCTTCCCATCGATGCTAACCGCATTATGCACACATACGAATCCCGTTTTCCATCGAACACTTGGCCACAGAGTGTGTTTCCAGGACAAACAGCAGTTAATTATTACACAACTCGCCCTTAATCCATTTATAATAATTCATCTTGGTCGGCCATTTCCCACTTGCTATTGATATTTGCCCAGGCTTATCGGTATTTACCCACAGCACTTTGGTGTAGGACTACAAATGATGCACATTTGTTAAAATTGGCTGTTATGTGAGCACATTGCATATGATTTAATAACGCAAATTTAAAATGTCAAAAGTAGTGTTAAGACAGAAGTTTGTAAAAATTAAATAAATTAAATGTAAACTGTTGTAAATTAAAAGAAAAATGTAAAAGATTTTTTACAAACAGTAAAGTGTATTTCCCTGATCACAAATATAGTTTTGATAATAGTTTTTATGTATTTTAACCATTTTTTTTATATAATTAAAATATCTATCTATTGAAATATGTATTGGTTAAAGTAAATGGGTAGGAAATAGTTAAGGAGTCTTGTCCCGTGGCATTTGTGCTTCTAAAGGCCATTGTTTGGCTGTGCGTGTTGTGCGTACAAGTTGAAATTGATTTACTTTTGCTGCAGGCCAATTTGGCACGCTCATTTGGCCAGCTCATGACTTGGCTTGTAAGAGTTGGCCAACAGAACACGGTCGTAATTAAGCGATGGTCCGTCCCCAGAGTGTAGTTAATGTTGTGGTGCCATAAATTTGACCATTGCCTGTGTTCCGATGCCTGCAAATGGGGTTATTTACGGCTGGATGCTGCATTTGTCAGGTGAAAATTAGTTTTGCGGGGGAATTCAAGAGCAACTGGCTCAAGGCGTTTTTAGATTCAATTGGGCACTTCGCCAAACAGGTCCTTTATGAAGATTTGTTTTTAGGGCAAACTAGTTAAATTTAATTGAATAAATAATATTTCACACTTGTGTTCTACAACATATAACTTTTATTTTTTATTGTTTACCTTCTTGGCCGAAAAATGAGAAAAACCCGTATTGCGTGTTTTATTTTTTTATAACTTGTATTTATATTTATTTTCTTAAATATAGTTTAATATTATTATTATTATTATAAGTTAATCAGTCCAATAAAAGCACGCAAACTATTTCCATGATGATATTTGGTTATTTTTCCGTTGAAGCCCAATTGTTGTGGTGTTAATATTGTTGCGAAGGATGATTTTAAAGCTACGCACTTAACACTTTTCTTTTGAGTTGCTTTGAGGAGGAGATGGGCTAGTTTTCAGGGGGAAACGGCACTAGTTTTTGTTGTTTTTCCGCCTGCAAAGTGCATTTGCCAAGGAAACTCCGTTTCGCCGTCGAAGGAAATGTTACAAAGATGCGACACCAGCCCACCGTCATTATCATGTAAGCAAAGGTATTATATAGGTACAGAGAGAAAAATATAACCCATATTTGACATAAAGTGTTAAATAACATATTCTACAGATGTTAATATTTTAAAACATATTTTATTTCACACTTATTTGACCAAGTTTTAATTAGTTTTTAATACAAATAATTTTTTAATACGAGATTCTCATATTTTCCAATTAATTTTCCAAAAAGTTTTGTTATTAAAATTACATTGTTATAAGAAATGTTCTCCCTACACACATTTGTTATTCCCATGCTGCCAACTTGTCCATCTGCTTGGTTGTTACTCCATGAAATATGAAAATCTACGGCGATGTTAAAATCTTTGTGGAAGGAAGCCCGACTGGAGGACTCCGGCACTCAGATGTGCACGTTTATGGACAACATAATGGCGGAATCGAGTCGGGCGAGATATATAACACCCACAAGAAAGCAAAAGGATGGCAACATACATAGGTGAGAGACAGGCTCATGCAAATATTCATAGGGGAAATATTAAAAATGAATTACCAACTCTGGATGCGTATGCCAGAGCGAACCGAAACTCTTACAGACACGTCGTTAAGTCGGAAGCTAGCCAACTTTGCACATCCAATCCCATCGAGAAATGCTCCGTGGGTGGTAAAGTTTACTATTTATGTACCATAGTAAATACAAGCACTGCCTTATAGTCCAATCACAACGTTGTTCATAACTAGAATAACTTTTCAAAGTCAAGGGGAAACCTCAGGCTTTTGTCATAGAACATTTTGTTTATCCTAGCGCGTGGTTTGTTCTGTAATTATTGGACATATAAATAATATCTAAAAAGACTTTCTTGCAAAGCCACTGAGCCACAAATGGATTCCCTCTTACTTTTACAAGCATAAGCTTTGAATTTTCAATTTGGCGAACATCAATGATTTTCCGCAATGGAGAAAACTTGGGGGGAAGACAAAGCCAGGCGCAAATTCAAAAAATCATCCGCGTGAAGTCGGTTAATTTGGCCATCTTCTCCTGGACGCGTTCGTGCACTCACGGCGCATCCTGCCGGAGTACGGCGCACCGAGTACGGCCGTAGTCCTTGTTCCTCGCCGTCGTTTGCCGTTCATGCATGACCACGCCGGTGTTTTGGCTCCCCATTCGTTTCTATTGCACATTGGGCTTCAAAGCTCTATAAAGATATGAAAATAAAAGTAAGAAAATATATACATATTTAAAATATAATATAAAATGGTTCATATTTATTTACCTTCAAACTTTTTATATTTTATTTAACTTTTAATATTATACTTTTGTAGGCAACTAGTGTTTTTTTTTTTTTTAATTTAAATTTGTACAATTTTAAACAGGTTATTCTTAGTATCTTAGTACTTTGATTTTAAGAAATACAAAGCTTATATGTTTATATAAATTTTCCAGCGATATTATTTTAATTTTAGTTCAAAGGCAAGTTTCTTGATCTTGAACCAGTGTGCTCCGCTTACATTTCCGCTTCCTTCTTCGGCAACTCGGTGTCGCCTTGGGGGTCCTTGGAGTCCGGAGAGAAAAACAACATTTTCGATTCGATTTTTTTTGCCAATTGCCCGAGACTCCGTCCTGTCGACATATGACGAATACGTTGTGTACGTGCCGCCAACGTTACTCATACGCACTGTAGAACTGCTGGAAGAGCCCGACTTTCACGTTCGCGAAATATTTTAAACTTGGTGAGCAAACGGCCCACCAGTTCCCAGGGCGATATTTGTTTTTCGCTTTTGCATATTTTGCGGGCAATTTGGGTAAAAGGATTTCCACACTCTGCAACGCCGAGGCGTCTCGAGTTTGCGGCTTTCGTTTTCCCTCAGTTTGGTTCCCATTTCGCACAGCGCCTCGGCAAATCGCTCACGTAAAATATGCATGCGTTTCCTCGGCGGTTTTCACTCTCAAGTGCCTGCAATTCAATTACATTTCGATTGATTTTCGTGTTTGGCCCCGAAACGAGGCAAAACCTCTTGGTCTGGTTATGCATGGAGCGTGGTTTTGGGCGATTTACGAGCCTGAACCGGCATTTTCCATAAGTAAAGTTTGCATGGCAAAGGAAGCTCTTCTACACTCCAGAAAAAAAAGAACTGATGTTACCACAAAGCTCGTTATAGGTTGTTGAATAGCAAAAAAATCCAGAATTTCAGGATAACACATTTCTGAACTTATAAAAAAATATAGCATTTACTAAAAATTATTATCTTCCAGTTATTTAGAAATGTATTTATTTAAAGACTAAATATTAGAAAAAAATTTCACCCATTTAATTGTTTTCCTTTTTTATTTTTTTGTGGATTGGAATTAGGCTATAAAATTCTTGTTCGGGAATTCGCTTCTATCAACGTTTTTATTACAAACGGCGAGACAGTTGAAATGAAAAGCTGAAATCAGTGGTACACAAAGCACAAAAGGCCACTGAAAATGTACAGATACAGATACAGAGATGCAGATACGCCAATAAATGAACAAACATACATACATAGGTACATGTAAATATACATGTAGATATACATATACCGAGTTATGTATGAAGTCACTTATGGTGGCCCTCGCAGATTGCTCCCTTTAAACAAATAAAAAAAAAACCGGCAGCACGCCGAAAAGAAATAAAATTAAATGGAAAAACGAATTTCCAAGTTGCCCCAAGAGTGGGTCAATTGTGAGCCAAGGGCAAATCAATAAAAATCTTTTGAAAAAGGAAGAAAGATATGGGTTAGTTTCTAGTGGAAAATGTCTCCGCAATTAAAAAGGCAGGTATTTCTAATATAAATTCAGTGCTCACAGACAGTCAACCACTAAAGCCTCAAGGAACGCAATTATTTGTGCTGAAAATCCCTAAATTTATTTCCATTCGAACGAATTTATGTATTTTAATCAATTGTTTCTTGCTGTGGCAGTAAAACACCATCGGCATTGATGCCTCAATTATCTAAATGACTGTGGCACACGTTTAATGGTTCCTTGTGCAATAAATAACCTTATTTTGCAAGAAAAAGTCCTATGCTTTTTTTTTTGCTCATTATCGGGTAGACAAAAAGCGAGTCGAGGTACAGGGAATCAATTAAAATTTGAGAAATCGTTTCATATCAGCACATCCGTAAAAATACGCCCAAGGGACCCATTTACATTCAGAGTGCTCCAACTTCAAACCCAAACGAATTTATATGTATATTGGTATATTGATTGTCTTTCCAAATGAACTTTATATTCTTCAGTAATAATATAAAGTGAACATTTCAGAATATTTAGCATCAACTATAGATAAACACAGCATAAGTTTAGGCCAATAAAATCAAATTCGCTAATACCAATTTAGGAAGGAGCATTAATTATTACCTTGGAATGTTAGAGCATCCCTCTTTGTATTTAATATTTTCTGACTAAGGAGAAAATTTATCTTAATGTTAATAATAGCCTAAAAAATATTTTTTCAAATTAATTAACCAAATGTATTTTATTTTTAGTTCATCAATTCCTTATATAAAATATAGGAACTTAAAAACAATTGCAAATATCTTGCACATTTTCCTTAAGAATTTGTGTATAAACTTTTGGAACTTAAGTTGACGTTTTTTTGGTAAACGTTTCAAAAAGTATTCACTTTTCAATGGCTTCAGAACTTAGAGACATGAAAAATTATCTATTTAAATTGCTAAATAAAAATGATGCATAAAATAGGAGAGTAACGCGCTGACAAGCCTTTCAAACCAGAAACTCGCGCTGGAGAGGATCTGCAGATGGCAGAGGACATGGCAAAGGACTCGGCAGGGCAGATAAGCGGTCATAAGATTATTTTTACTGGCGAACCGACGAACGTAAAAACGAGCGCCCGCAGCAGTGAGTCTGCGGTCGAAAGGACTCACTCCTGCGGACATCCTGCCACGGATGGAGCCGAGCTCCCATGTCCTGGATGTCCACCAATTTGCTTTGTTGTCGCACCCCGTCTGCCGTTTTATGAACTGCGAACTTGTCTTCCGCCTCCGCCCTTTTTTCCTGCACTTTATTCGCCATCGACGGAGCTTTCACTTCCCGTCAAGGACAAAAACGAGAGGCTGCGAACATAAAATTTTACGGGCTCCTTAGGATCACGGAACGGTATCGCCATCGAGCGCCATATATTGTTGAACACTTGAAATTAATGCCTGATTGACACCATCAAAGCGCGGCGAAGACACGGCGGAAATTGCAAAAATTTAACAATTTATGTGGTTCTTTTGGACACTTCAAAGCTTACAGTGGAGCCTCCCTTTATGACATCATGTGTGTATACGAGTGTGTATAATATGGTCTATTCGATGGTCATTTTATTTTTATAGTGCAATTGACTTTTTGGCCCTCTTAAAGATAACTTTGCCATTAAACTTGTATATACTATATTCCTTTATTTTATCATTGAAAAGGTTTTACAACTTTGACATACAATTTCTTATTTAAACAATAAATTGTTAATGCTTTTTTTAAGAAATTTATTGTGCTAAAATTTGGTTAAAAATAATAATTAGAAAAGGAAAATCAGCACATAAGAAATAGAATTTCAAAGTTTTAAAAGACTAAACTTATATATACTATATTCCTTTATTTTATAATTGAAAAGGTTTCACAATTTTAAAATACAATTTCGTATTTAAACAATAATTTGTAAAGGTTTTTATTAAGACGAAACTTGTGCAAAAATCTGGTTATAAACAAATTGGAATAGAAAATCAGCACATTTGTTGTATGATTTCATTGGCCACTGCTTTCGATAATAAAACTCAACGAAATTGTTAATTAATTTTTCAGTACAATTGATCTCACGTGATCCAAAGTTATGCCCTCCAGACGGACATCCATGGATGGGCACATAGCCCCCACTGTGTCCTCTTTGCTCTTTGGAGCCGGTGGAGCCTTGTACTGCATCTCGATGGTGTCACCACTCAGTGGATCATCGATGGCCTTGGCAATGGACCGCAGTACCCCACTCACACTGCGGACACTGGCGGGTGGCTTTTCCTTTGGTGGTTCTGGATCGGGAATTGGTGGCTCCGCGGCAATTGGAGCAGCCATCCTGGAGAATCTAGCGTAGATCTTGTACTGATCGGGATCGAAGACCTTGCCGCATTTGCTGTACTGTTTGATTGTTTTCCTGCGGAGCTTCTTGCGTTCCGCGGCATCCCGAGTTGTGGCACCCACGGCCACCAGGGCGACGTGGCTCTGGCTGTGCTCCAAGTGGTGGCCATCGCTCTGGCAGCTGCTGATCACGGCGCGCAGCACCTCGCTGCAATCCACTCGACATCCCAGCAGAGTGCACAGTCCGCTGGCAATCCGCTGGATATTCGACGGATCGAACACGACTCTGGCGAGCGGAGTCAGCAGTATTTTATCTCGCGGATCGTGATACACTGGCAGCAAATCGCACAACTTCTTCACCGCCAGCAGACCCGCCTGTTTGAGGGTCAAGTAGAGCTTTCCGCCTCCAAGTCGGGGCTGTCCGCTGATTGGTTTCTGGAAGGTGTACGTGTAGATATAGACACTGCCGCCGCCGTGGAAGGCGAGGCGCCACATCTGGTCCCTGCCACTCTGCTTCAGCTGCCGCATCTTGGGCCCCAGCTCGAATATCACCCGGTTGGCAAAGTCCAGGCTCTCCATCTCCTCCGATCCACAGCCATTCCGAAAGTCGGGACAGATTTCGGCAAAAGTCGCGCACAGAGTCTTGAAGTCAAATTCGTTGGACATTCCTCGAGATCCACTAGCCATGATGACCTACACACGAGGAAATCAGCAGATTAAGAAATCACTTTGATTGAATTTATTATAGGAATTGTAGACTTTATAGCCGACTTTAAGGTTTAAAGCTTTAATGATAAGACTATAATAAGAACTAGTATTGGTTGAGCTAAAAACAAGAAATTATAATCCCCTTAAAAGTCTTTTAATTCCATATCAAACTATTTATAACTAGACACTTTTTTCGCTGAATACTGCAGATCACAAATTCTTGAAAAAAAATCAGGAAATACGTACAGTAGACTTATGCACTTAATGAAACCGTATACAATTTCTTATTTCGTAGATGTTTGTAAACAAAAAATAGCAACGTTTAGGATTTCAGTATTCACTCGAATCGTATGTACAAATAAACAAACTAAAACTGCGCAGTTCCTCGATAATTCTTTATTTATTTGCTCCTCTGAACGTCCCGCTCCCGGGGAAAATGTAATTGCAACTGACTGGGAGTCACAGAATTTGATATGGGAACAGATCGAAAACGCTATCGGCATTGAAGTAGACTTTTTTCAATCGATAAATATGTGTATTCAGCTAAAATACAATAAAGATCTAATATTTAAGACGCAATATTTTATGTAAGGCAGAAAAGCAAGTTTCTTTTTTAATTGTAACAAAGGATTTAGTAACCTAAAATCTCAATATATATGTAGGGCCCACCTCTGACATGTATATATTTTTTTCAAACTGAGTGCTAAAGAAAAAGTAACAATGCAATGGAGCTTCGCAGCTTTTACTTACTTGCCAGAGGATATATTTATGTGGCCATGTGCGCAATAACTTGGCGACAGACAGGACAAGGCTTCTTTTCACCTTCGAATTTAATGAGCTTCCACGGCACGTGATTATTAGGCGAACGAGCGTACGTGTGGGATACCTCGCCGAAAATTTTCCCAGCCCAACCCGGCTGGCTGTTACAGGTGCTGACAATTTCCCCCAGCCCCGTGGAAAAGTGTTTTCCACAGTCGACGCAACCACACCGCATCCTCATCCACATTGGCTCACCGCCAGAGCCACTTGGGTGCGATTCCGTAGTTCCCTACCCATTCACCCACCATCACCACATATTCAAAAAAAAAAAAAAATGTTCCTTGCTCCTTTTAAGGCGAAACATAAACAATTTTTCGCGACGCTGGAAAACTTTTAACTCGCTCCGTTCGTACATTTTCCACGCGTGTTTCTGCTTCGGTTATCTCCACCTTCATGTGTGTATAGTACACCATTCAGGTGGGAGAATATAATATATACTATGCCCTCCTTTAAGCTCCAAACAAAGACTTTGAATTAAGGAGTAAAACGAAATGCTTAAAGGTAAGAAAGATTAAAAGGAAAGACTTTTGACCAAAATCATTTAATTGAATTTTTTCCCTAAAATTAAAAAAAAAGGATCATTGCTTTAGTATATTATTTTATCAGAAAAATTAACTTGGGATGCTTATACCTAAAAAGATGTTCAAAATGTTGTTTTGACATTAAATGTTAGGCAAGCAACATTCAAAACAAGAAGTATGTGATTTTTAACTTTCTGGATTTCTGATAATATTTAATAAAAGTTTTCAATTCCAAACTATTCACCGGTAAATTTGTTTTCGTTTGTACTTTAAACTTTACTTTAAACTTGTTTAAGCTTTAAATATGAAAGTTGTATTAGTTGCATCAAAAATAAACAATTTAAATGTTAAAAAACATGTTTTTTATCAGCTATAATGACTTCTTTATTTTAAATGATGGTTTTGCTCTACTAATATACACATGAGTCGTAGTAATGTTATCGGTCTAAATGTTTTTTGTTAATACACAAATGATGCTCTTATCAACGCCAACGTTTGTAGCTGCAAGGTTTGGGAAGATATTTGCCGTCTCCAATGTTTTCCAACACAACGGCATGTTCGGTTTGGGAGCTTATCACCTCTATCAGTCCATCGACGATCTCGTCCAGAGTGAGTGGATGGCCATTGGCCACCATGACGGCCAGGATTAGAGGGGCCAAGATGTCGTTGTAGCAGCCATCCATTCTGCTTGCTCCGCAGTTTGGTATTGGAAATTTACAGAAATTCAAAACGAGAGCTCAATTTGGAATACTCGATCTCTATGCTCATGTGAATTTATGACATCTCGGCTGACATGCCCTGAAGGGGCTACTTCGGATATAACTTCTCCGGTTTCCAGTTTCCACTTCGCCGCCGAGTGGAGTTCGGTGTTGAAATTCAATTCGAAAATGTGTCACTTGTCAGTTGGTCAGAGTCCATTGTGCGATGCCTTTTGTTGTTCCCTCCACCCATGCTGTGCATTTTTGGTTGCGATATATCAATACCCCGGAATAGAAAAGCGATGCGGGGTTGTGCAGATACATTTCGTATGCAAATTGCTCGCAAGTCGGAGACTGGCAAGTCAATAATAAAAAAAAAAGGACTGCCACCCGCCGACACACACAGATATATGTCTAGATGTATATGGAAATGAACAGGAGACTCGATGCCACTCCCACACCGCCCACATCCACAGACAGAAGTGGCACAACCTTCAGCACATTTCGTTTAGTCCGGATATTACACAACCGGAATTCAACAAAACTATAACCCTAATCCGAATTTGGGTAGACAAATTAACCGATTTAATTATAAGTTATAACAATTAGTAATGCGGTAATCCATCGGATACCTAAAACAAATAAGAGAACATGGATTAAAAAATAGCACTTGAAAAGGGTTAAAAAAAAGTGAACTTTATCTAACTGAAAAAAGTTAACACTATGAAATTCTATCACAAACCATTGGAGCCACCTTAATATTCTACTAATATTGGCAATTAATTTGAATAATAATGATATGAGATATTTGAGTAAGAAAGATAGATTAATAGATTTCAAATGCAATTGTATAAGTATGCTTAGGTATGTGTAATAATTAAACAAAACGTTTCAATGTCTGTCATATTACAATTGACAGTGATTCCCCATATTCAGAACCAGTTTTTTATTTTCATTTTTTTAGTATAAATAAATATTGATATAAGTATCTTCAAATGTGCATATGCATTCGCTTGTGAAAAACTGTGTTTCTAGATTTATCTCCAGCCCTGCAAGCTGCAACCGATGAGCAAATGAAATAGTATGAAAAATTGAGTACGATATGTATGTACGTATGGCTAACAATGCACTTTGGATGTATATACTATAGATATGCCTCTGGAATTGTGCGCTCTTATACACAATTGCTTTGACGCCCGATCATAAATCCAACTTCAGTATCCAAAGCTTCGGCGGATCGCGAGCATTGCAAAGTCAAGGCATTTAGCGCCGGGTTGCTTCCCTTCTTATCTTTTCTTTACATACACATTATATACAATATATACAAAAAAGCTGCGTCAATGAAAATAAAAGTGGGACTTCGAAAAATGAATCCATAACATCTCGGTTTACTCTTAAATTTGATAAGTAACATAAAAAAGAAACAAAAGAGTGAAACTTTTATGAAAAGACAGTAAATTCTTAAAATTAAAAAATATTTTAAAGTAAAAAAACTTAAAAAACTCTATATTTTGAAAATCATGCTTGTGGAATTAAAAACAACGATGTTATAATTATAACCATTATTTATATATATTTTTTTTATCCTTTTGATAGAGTTTGCCAATTTTAATAAAATTTAATCCCAAATTCAAAAGTAGTTAAAACACTCCATCTGGAAAAAATCAAGTCGATCTGATCAAAACAACGGCGTGATAATATCAATTTGAAATAAAATTGTATCGATTTTTTTTTATATTGGTTTAAATAAATTAAATTTTAACCCTTTACATGGTGGTGATGCATATCTGCATTATACCGTTCAAATTCAATTATTTTTCAACGGGCGATGCAAAACTGTCTGAAATCTTTTTGATGCAGTTCAGCAACTTTCGTTTTTTATATAACAAGTGTTAGTCACTCAGAATTCTGTCCAATATTGAACAAATGATTACTTTCCCGCCAATTTGGTGAATGTGGAAATCTGAATTGGTTGTGCAGTTTCTAATCCAAATACAAATAACAAAAAAAAAAACGTATAGTTGATTTAATTTATATTTATAAACAGGTAAATTTATATTAAGTTATATATTTTCGTGTTTTTGTGTTTGTTGCATTATAATACGAATAAATCAACAATTTCGCGTTGTTGCAGATATGCATTAAAGTAGCTTTACCCATAAAAAAATAAGGTAAAAACAAAAAAATTAAAAAAATAAAAAGAAGTGTATTTTTTATTTTCACTTATCTACCAAACAAAAAAAAAATCAAGAAAATCGGAGTTATTGCCATGTAAAGGGTTAAGGCATACATCGCTATTAAAAACAAGCCAATACTCCGATGTAAACTAACGAATCGGTATTGTTGTTGGTTTTGTTTCTTTCGCAAAAAAATATTGAAGATGTAAGATGTACATATGTATTAAATAGCGCAAATTTGCGCGTAAAAACCTTTTTGCGTTATTTTCTTTGCAGGTAATAAAATCGATATGCGATAATCGATCATTTAAAATAGACGCAATAACAATACAATAAATATTGTATCGATATTTAATCGATGTACCGATATCCTAATATATGTATGCAAGTTTAAAAACAAGTACGTAGAAGGAGCGGAAAAAAGCCAGCTTCATCGCATTTCTTTGAATACTCATAACTTAGTTTTTTAACAGTCATCGTTTTATTTATTGATAGCCAACAATACAAACTAATATGAGTGACAGGTGAGTATACAAGGAGAAGTGAAAATTACTTTAATGAACTTAATCAAACTTTTCAGTCTGGAACACGCGCTCAGCAAAATGCGAGAGAACAAGATGTTCTCCGACTGTCTTATATTGGTAGAAGACCAATCTTTTGCTTGCCATAAAAATATTTTGGCTGTTGCATCAGAGTTTTTTGAGCGTATGTTTCTGGGCAAATTCCAGGAGTCTCAATCGGGCGAAATTCGCTTGAATGAGGTGAAGGCGGAGACGTTTAGCCACTTCCTTCAATATGTGTATTCTTACAACAAGGAAAAACTCGCAGCACATTCAGTTGCGATGCTAACTGAGCTCCTCAAACTCGGTTCCTCCTGGCTGGTAGATTCGATTCAAAAAGACTGTGTTCAGATCTTAAAAGGACGGATCGGTGGTATGACAATCAGCGATCTTGTCCCGACTTTTCAGAGCGCCCACGACACAAACCATAACGAGCTCCAGGAATGCTGTGTTCAGGTAAGAGCGCTTAGTGAAATTTTTGTTTTTTATATTTGTACATACATACAGCATATACCAAGTGAGTTTTTTAATTTGTTTTCTATGTATATACAAAATATATTTAATATAAAATACATATAACTTATACATTTTATAAAATGTTTGAAACAAATTAAAATGTTCACAAACAATTGTTGATATACATAATTTTATTAATAAATACCCTTAATTACATTCAAAAATTAAGCAACTCAAGCCAGATTTTGTTGTAACTTAACAACAGGTATACATATTAAAAAACTTACTTTCCGAGTTGGAATCGTTTTTTATTATTTAATCATTTAACATTTGAAACATTTTTTGGAAAAAAATTATTTAACATAAATCTAGATGTTTCTCGTTTAAATTGTTTACATATTAATTAAATAAAATCCTCTTCGTTTGTATACTTATCTTTTTAAGCGCTTGAAGTCATTATTTCGGAATCAAAGTCAGTGTTTCATAAGCGACGCAATGGCACTGACTTCAGATGCCTTCGAGCAGTACCTCATTGCAAGCGGAGGAGGAAATGTGCCCGAAATCGAACGTTTCAAAATGATCGAGCTATATGTTAAAGTACAAGGACTTTATGCCGATTTCGCCGAGAATTCAGAGGATGTCGTCGATGCTGAAAAGAAAGAAGTTAAGTTAAGAGTGACTTCTGAAGAAAGCGATGTAGAAGAACCAGAACCGAATGACAAACCAGGAACTTCTAAGGCGATTTGCAATAGCAGTGGAGAAGTTGCAGATGATGCAGTAGGCGATCAAAAAGAAAGCAGGATACAACGAACGCATCTTAAATATATAAAAACTTTGCTGGGCTACATTGACTATAACCGTATGACTAAAATTGATTTTTACAACGTTGTCGGAAAGTCTAATTTGCTAAACGACAAGGAGAAATACGAAAATCTTTTCTTAACTTGCTAAACCCGTTGAAAATATTTTCGAATGAATCGATGGTTTTACTTAAAAAAAAAAAAACTATGTTATGAAACGAAAAAAAGAGAAGCTTTTATTTTGCTACAACTGTTAAAAAGTATTTCGAAAATAACGAATATGTACGTCTGTGGATTGGATCAAAGCTTTGCTTTTTCATTATTGTTTATTTGTCTTTAATAAAATATATTCTTTACATATGCCAAAAGTTTGTTTTAGATAATTTAAATATGTCTATAAAAAAAGATTCCAAAAAATTAAGAGATCACTATGCTTCGTTCGCATTGGATCGCTTTACATTGCAGAGGGTATTATAATTTCATTCAGAAGATTGCAACGCAGTGAAGTAGACACATCATATTCTTGATCAGCATCACGATCTGAATAAAAATACGTCTGTCCTCCTGTCCGTTTCTGCCCAAACTAGTCTCTCAGTTTTTAAGCTATCTTACTGAAACTTTCCCAGAAGTTGTGTTATTGCACGCAGTATATATGTAAGTCGGAACGAGCCGGATCGGCCGACTATATCGGATAGCTCCCATACGAGAGATTTATAAAAGAAAATCTCACTCCGTTGTTTTTGATCAGATCGACTTGATTTCTTCTGATGGCGTTTTCTAACCACTATTGAATTTCGGATTACATTTTATTAAAATCGGATAGCTCTATCATATAGCTGCCATACAAAAGATCGAAAAATATATATATAAAAAATGGAAAAAAATAATAAAGTTGTTGTTTTTAATCCTAAGAGCATGATTTTCAAAACATGGAGTTTTTTAATAACCCTTAATTTAAGAAAAAAATTTGATTAAAATCCGACAACGTTATTATATAGCTGCCATAGGAGCGATCGAAAAATCTATATAGAAATACGAGTCGAAAATATGGAAAACTAATAGAAATACATTTTGATCGACATATTTGATGACTGCAAGGGTATATAAGCTTGGGCTTGCCGAAGCTAGCTTCCTTTCTTGTTTATTTTCATTTTTTTTTAGAATAAATAAATATTGATATACATAGGTAAGTATCTTTAAATGTATGTACATATGCATTCGCTTGTGAAAATCTGTGTTTCTAGATTTATCTCCAGTCCTGCAAGCTGGAACCGATGAGCAAATGAAATAGTATGAAAAATTGAGTACGATATGTATGTACGTATGGCTAACAATGCACTTTGGATGTATATACTATAGATATGCCTCTGGAATTGTGCGCTCTTATACACAATTGCTTTAACGCCCGATCTGAAATCCAAGTTCAGTATCCAACGCTTCGGCGGATCGCGAGCATTGTAAAGGCATTTTGCGCCGGGTTTCTTCCCTTCTTATCTTTACTTTACGTACATATTATATACAATATATACAAAAACGCTGCGTCAATGGAAATAAAAGTGGGACTTTGAAAAATAAAAGCATAACATCTCGGTTTACTCTTACATTTAATAAGTGAGATAAAAACGAAGCAAAACAGTGAAACTTATATGAAAAGACAGTGTATTCTTACAATTCAAAAAAATTTCAGTGTACGTTCTCAAAGATTCATACGTATTTATTTTGTTTATTAATCACTCCGTGCAATTGCGTTGATATATACATATATATGGACATATAAAAACAAAGACAAAGTTGATTAACTCCTCGGTGCGCTTACATGGATGAAGTAAATAAGAAAAACCTGCAAATAAAAAGCGCAATTTTCTGCTACTAAGCTTATATACAAATTAAAAACATCAGAATAACCAAATGCATATTAAATAATATTTATCAAATACTTAAACAAAAAATTAAGCCCAATTTGTATTTTTTTTTCGAAATTATACAAACATATACATCATTTAAATTTGCAAAAGGAAGCAATTAAAACTGGTTACATATCTTCTGCATACATATCTGTATTCAATTTAAACTTTTCAAAAAAAAGCTATTGGCTATTTGCTCATTATCATTTGTTAAAATTCCTAATTAACTTACTGCAATGATAATGAATTCGATATGAAAAAAAACTTTTACAATTGCCTGTGTTTGTGTTTTATTTTAATACACAATTCAAATCAATTTAAAATTCGATATAAAATTCCGTATTCCCATTTTAATTTTGAAATGAAAGAACAATCAGATTTAACAATAATAATTATTTAAAAATACCGAAAATAATAATTTTGGCAAATAGTAATTTTTACAAAAAGTAATTTTTAACCTTCAACTATATAAAGATACAGGAAATAATACAATTGTTTTTTACCAAAATTAAGAATTATTTTTAATCCAAGGCGAATCCATATTTCAGAACTATGACTCAACCAAATTCCCAATTTGTCTTCGACTTCAAGAAGTTGAAGCAGACCTTCAGTGAGATCTGTCCGGACTTTAAGGAGGAGCCCAGCTATGAGAACGCCACGACCAGTCGTCGCTTCGCCCAGGAGGTGATCTTCACCTTCAGCAAGGAGGCGGCGGCAGCCAAGTCCCAGAAGAAGGACGAATCCTGGTCGATGCGAATGGATGTGAAGAACGCAAAGGGCACTCCGATCCGAAGCGAGGTTCGGATCCAGACGCACTGGATCCGCGATCCGCCGCAGAGCCAGCCCTTCGTGGTGCGGGGTGTCCTGCTGTTGTCCTTCAAGCAGGCCAGTCTGCTGGCCGTGGAGAAGTATTGCCAGCTGGTTCCCCACCAGGTGGAACGCGGCGAGGTGGTGCTCACTCCGCTGGCTGGAGCAGTGTTCTCGAAGTTCGAAATGCCCAAACTGGCCGAGGCACTGGGCGAGCCGCTCGCCGAAGTTGTTGTGGCCGTCATCAGCAGCTGCCAAACGGATGGTTACTATCTGGAGCACAGTCGCTGCCACATCGCCCTGGTTGCCCTCATCAAGACGGTGTCGGACCTTAAGATGCGTGCCTCCCTTGTCAAGAAGACCATCAAAATGTACAAGCTGCACGGCAAGGAATTCGACATGGACAAGTTCAAGATGTGGAGCGAGTTCTTGAGGAAATCTGCTCCTCCTAAGCGTCGGTGTAACAGTGATGGTGATGATTTCGACAAGCTTGCCGAGCAGGTTCTTGCCTTCCAGGCTGATGTGAGTCAAAATAAACGCGGACCCATGAAGTGCGCCGCCAACTTTTCCACGCCACCAACTGAATCCGCCAGCGTTTGAAGTACTGAATGAAGTTGTACTTACAATGAAACTGGATTTAAAACCATACTTGCGATTGGCGAAGCCAATTGTGTTCACATTGAACAAACCAACTGAACCTAATGAGAATACTTTGTTTGTTACATTGAAATATTCACTAGATATTATCTATCTTTTGTGTAAACATCTACAAAACATCTCAATAAAATGCAGTTTTTTTCTGTTCAGTGTACGCCAAGTTTTTCGTTTTACAATCAGGTTCTTGAATATGTATTTAACATAGTTTACAACGAACAAATTAATGTTGAAAGTTTAAAAGTGATCGATTTAGGTTTTCAATTATTTGGGCTTGTTTACCAAAATTATTTGACAAATTTATTCACATTTTCTTGCGCTTACGTCTCTTAAGCCTATATAATTGTAAGCGTACTTAAAATAACTTATAAATGACAAAACTTTAACAATTGTTTCCATCTTGAGTTATTTTGTTTTTTCAGTTGGCTTTGGCCTACGTTTCGGCACCAAAACCATCGACATCTTCAGGCGTTTGTGCTCCTCATGGGAGCAGAGACCCACGGACTGCATAAATAAATTCTTTTGCTCCGGCTCGACATCTTCCTGGATCTTTTTCGCTGGCTTGCAATTAGACCGAGCGCGTTTGAGAGCTTCCTGTAAATGAATGCGGCTTTTCTTAATCTCCAGATCAGTTTTTGTGGATGGCAGAGATTTCGGGGGTTCCATAGGCTTGGATTCGACGAGGTGTTCTGCACCCTCTATTATGAAATACTTTTTGAGCAGTTCAGTCTCGGTGGGTCGCTCCAATACAAAACACGGCTTGATGTTAACTTCCGGGGCAACAATGAGGGGAACAATGGCTTCACTGACAATGTCCTTAATCACCAATTCGTTCGGTTTCAAATTCTGTTCCGTGAAAGCCAAGCAGAAACGATCTATGTCGTCCTGGAGACGAAGAACCAAGTAATGGCATTCTGCATTTAATTCGTACAATATATCCTCCAGTTCGTTAATAAAGTTGTTTTTCATCACGGGATCCTATAATTTATAAAGACATTAAGAAGTCGGATTCAATTTTTAAAAGTATTTAGGTTATCATTCGACAAATTCATTTTTAAAATACTGTAGAATCAAATGGACTTAGAAATACTTCCATCTATCTTAATTGATATTGTTTTCTAAGAGTAGTTCAATCGTAGAGCGCCTTAATTAGGTTTATTTTCCCATGACTGAGACCAGTAAATGGGAGATATATAATACTCATTAACAACTCGATAAGCAATAACTTACTGCATCCGCCTGTTGTTCAAAAACACCAACAATTGTCTGCAAGAAACAACGAAGTCCACTTATTATTATATATTTTTATTTTATATATATATATTCACTTACTTGATGTATGGCCAGATGTGTTTTCATAGCCCGTTGGCAGTAGGCAATATCATTTACCAATTTTCTCGGCAACTTGTAGAATTTTCGCAAATAATGCTCAAAGAATTTTTGGACATGTAAATCTTTGCTTGGCATGGAATCAGCTTTTCGCATTTTCACCAGAAATTCTTTAATGATTTCGTAACGCTCCTTTGGCGTAAAATCGTTGAAGTTGATGGATTCCATCTCGTTTATTTACTTTCTATTGGGTTTTTACTATTTGTTTGTTTGTTTTGATGCAGAAATTGCCGCTTCTTAACGTAGAGTGACCAGAGTTAATAATTAAAAAAAGATCTCATAAAATGACAGTTGAGCAGTGGCAGCTCTGTGATTTCGATAAAAATAAATCGATCGTTGGTCATTCGATTTTTATCTGATTTGAAACTTATTTGCGCTTAATTTTTTAAAACCATTTGCTTGCTGTGCAAATGAATCAAATGATTTATGGTTAAATTATCCATAACTTACACCTGCTTTTTACTAAGATCAATACAATTATTTAATAGTGTCGCATATTAAGGGCTTTGATCTTCCATGTGTGACCTCCAATAACTGGTAATTAATGGGAAACCCCCCAGTTTACTGCCCAAGCTGGCGCAGCTGTCATTTCAGGCTAACTGTTTTGTAATGGTAGTAAATATGATTGATAGTATCGGCTGTGGCTGAGTTCTGTTTACCCATGTGCGTAAATAAATTAATTACTATTTTATTATGCACATATTGATCACTCGTTGGCAGCACAAACGTGCCAAATTAATGCGAAACCGTGTCCATTTCAATTATGCGTTGCAGCCAATCAACGTAGAAAACGAAAATTACTGAGTATTTTAAATAGAAAGTTCTGTTCGCTTGAAACGCACACAAAATTATAGTCGGAACCTACTTTACACAGATCTGTTCTCCACACATTTTGGGGCTGCTCAACTGCCAACTCTTGTTTTCCTTCTGTTTTGCAATATCCCCCGGCAACTTTAAAGCTCTTTGGCCTGGCAAGAAAACTTTTGACCGCAAAAGGTTCTGCTGTAGTAGCCCCATAATCCTCAAAGGGCTTTCACGTTGCCCAAGAAACCAGAATACGCAACAAATCTTGCACAGGAAAACAGATGCAGCCAAAATCTCATCATAAGCTGTGCTTCGTCCAAACCTGAAGTTCACTTTCAACACAAGGAGTTTCCAAGTATGTATATGCCTTTGACTTCCTTGTCTTTCTTGAAAATTGGTTTATTCCATATGGAGGAACATGGGTAACTCCAGTTTTAAAGTTTCTTGCCATAGAATGTTATGCAAATTCAGTTTGGTAAAATCGATTACCATGAATTAAGGCACTTTGGGAAACAAATTTGAATTTAATAAACTCAAAACTGAAATGACCTAAAGTTGTATTACAAACATTTCAATACATCAAAGAATGTTGCAAAAATATTGTTAAAAAGAGTAAAATATAAGACATAAAACATAATAATTAATATTTTATATTTAAGATTTGAGCTATATTAGTTTTAATTATATGTATGAAGGGTAACTTTGAAATGAAATTACGGCTTTGGACGGATTTTACTAACTTTGTCCTAAATCCTCAGTGAATTAATTATTTTTATCGTTTTTTTTGTCCACTCCAAAGGTCGTCTTAAATATCGCAAAGCCAATAATAAAAGTCGTGAACGAAGCACTCGAAGTACTTCAGCTTAAATGGGAGTCTATATAACTGATGGCTCCTGGATGCCGGGCAATATTCATCTTGCGACATCAAAGGATGGGCGTGGCAACAATAAATGGTCCTGGACAGAACAATACCCGTTGTTGTCCTGGCGATGCGATGGCTAAGGAGGCACTTTTTGAGGGGAGAACAAAAAAAATGAGAAGGACGAACAAAAAGGGACAATGGCACCTAATGGTCCGTTGTGGTGTCGGCGGTGTTGGAGGTTCGAGGTTGGAGGTTTTTCAGGGGCTGATGTGCCGGTGGTTCCGGCCGGAACAGTTGCACGCAGAGCCACCGACGGTGCCCCTCATTTATCATTTACACGCCAACGCACGGGAAAACAGTCCAAACATGGCCAAAAGATGGGATTTTGGCTGGGTCGGACGGGATTCTATTGCCAAAAGCCCGGCCGTCGGTTGAAATTCCATTAACGCTTTATGTCGGCGCATGCGGCACATCGGCCCGTCATTTGCATTGATTAAATCACTTTGCGGTCGGTTCGGCAAATGGTTGAAAAATCCCCACCAACTTTCCGCTCAATTGTTGCGCGCCTCCCATTTTTATGCACTTCGCTGGCCGCCTCTGTTTTTTTTTTTTTTTTTTTTGGTTTCGGGGGTGTTTCGCCTCACAAATTGCCTTTGTTTTTATTCGACGCTTTTCCCCGAATTTCTAACCAATTTTTGATGGCACGTTGTGTACCCGTATTTCCAATAAATTTCACCAGCTCTCCATGATGGCAATGTGGATTTTGGCTCGTGGATTTCTGTTAAAGGTGAAAATGTAATTGATTCCCAGGGGGACAGCATAAAATTGCAATACTTTTAGTACTACGTTGCTTCTCATCCGAGTTTGATAAAAATTCAATGGACTTTACACAAAAACGACAGGTTTAACGGGTCAAACACCAGTTTTACATATTTTTCGAAAGAGAAGAATTAAAAAATTATATTTCATGTGTATTTCAATTTAATTTAGTTCAATCTTTAATTTTGTCTCACAGAAAACGAATGACATTGCATATACTGGATATACTATATGCAATATATTCATATGTTCGTGAAATAGCCGGATTAATCAGAATTCAGTTCAGATGCATCCTCAAATGGAAACCAACTGTCGAAATTGAATATCCTCCGACACACTCACTGGTTTTCATTTGGATGCGTATAAACTTTCACTCCATTTCCATGATGTCTGCAACAGGCTTTCGAGCAATAACAAGACTGTGCGATGTACACGATGAAAAAAGTTGGAAACAAAAGCAAAAGAACGGATGATGGTTTCATTACATTGTTGCCACAACGGTGTGTGCGCAGCCCACCGTTAAAAGCGAACGAAAATAAAAAATATTGGGAAAGTGCCTATGGCGCTGCGCAAAAATGAGAATATATCCCTTGCCGGAGGGAGGAAAGATATCTAGATAGAAGGTAATATTAAATGGCTGTTAAAAGAAATGCTATTGTTGAGTGGCAGAATTATTAATTGTCTAAGATAATTTTTGAAATTAACGGTTGATAAAAAATATCAACAACAGCTAATAAAATCAGAGAGGGTGGCAACGCTGTTTCATTATCAGTCAGCTGTTTGTCTACTTTTTTTTTAATTGCACGTAACTTTCAAAACAAAACAATATTCATACCGGAAAATGATAATCCTGAATAGATGTTCGCCTATAAAACAGATTCTGAGGCGCTGTCATCGTCAGGGTAATTAAAAACATTAATCACACATATAACCTGATAGTTGTATTTATGTTAAACAATCCTATTTAGCGGTTGAAAGCGGCAGTATTAAAGCAAACTTAACCGCATACTTTGGGAAATGGCCCGAAAATGAGAAACAGGAATTCCGGCAGCACATGCGTATCATCCCGGATTTCATTAGTGAATCGGAGGAACAACAGCTTCACGAGGAAATCGAACCCTATATGAGTCGCCTGCGCTACGAGTTCGACCACTGGGATGATGTGGGTTTAGACTTCAATATATACATATTTAATTATAAATATAGTACCCAAATTGAGGTTTACTATCTTGCAGGCCATTCATGGATTTCGGGAGACCGAACGGAAGAAGTGGTTCCCTCACAATCGAGAAGTTCTGGAGCGCGTGCGTCAAGTAGCTTTCGATGGAGCAATTATGCCCTATGTTCACATCCTAGATCTCGCACCGGATGGCGTTATAAAACCACATGTGGACAGCACTCGAGTAAGTTATTGTCTTATAATTACATATTTTTATAGTAAAAAAATCATATTAAGGGTTGAGAAATTTAAACAAGTAACTAAATAAACTTGTTCCCCTTTTAGTACTGCGGCACCACAATCTCTGGAATCAGCCTCCTGAGTGACAGTGTGATGCGACTCGTGCGCACGGATGCCCAGCGGTACCAGCAGCATTCAGCAGACGCTGCAACGGAACCGGAATCCAAGGGGTCAGAACCCGATGCAGCTTATCGCCATCAGCCGGTGGCGTCACTGGAAAACAACTTCTACGCTGATCTCCTGCTGCCACGTCGCTCCTTGTACATAATGAGCCACACGGCTCGCTACAATTTCACGCACGAGATCCTGGCCAAGGAGCAATCCGAGTTCCAGGGGACGCCGGTGCCGAAGACACGTCGCATTTCCATTATTTGTCGCAACGAACCCTAAGAGTGTCATTAATTATTTGCTGGAAATGTGTTTCGGTGCAACTGAAGTCAAGTCGTTTGCTAAATATTGTAATTTATCCAGTTGTTAATTAATATATTATATAGTTGCTATAAATTGTATATATTACGTATGACATTATTAAAAAAAGTCTTCACGAGTTTCTTATTTTATATTAGACCATCAGAAAATCTGTTTTTATTCAGTTAAGATTCTTACCATTGCTTAACACTAATAATTAAATAGTTACTAATAAAGGAAACTGAATGACGAGTAATTCAGTTGATAAGCATGCAAATCACCTTAAAATGTTCGAAAGTTTGGCAGTAATTGTTGTCTTGTAATTACAGACAAACAAGTAGTTTCCGCCAATCACTACAGAAGGAATTTGATACCTTTTTCAGGAGTCCTGGCATTGTTGTTGTTTGCCAACTAGTTTGGAGGTAAACTTTCGGATGCTGCGAGCAGTAAAATAGAATTGTATACAAACAACGAGACTTTCGATTTAACTTCCTGGGGATTTCAGCAATGCGAATTGAAAGAACTACTAACCAACTACCAAATAGTGGGAGCGAATGAGAGTTGGAGAAGTGTATCTTTGATTAAAAGTTAAGAGCTGGGAGGACAACAAATCAGGGTTAGTGGCATTCGTTTGCACAGCGCTTGACGCCTTTTAGCCCATTTGTTTGTTTATTAGAGGTCTTGGCTTGGCTTATTTGCGAAGGAGATTGAAGACATCCCCGGCAGCAAATCCCTGTGCAAATATAAATGTGTGGGCGTTATTTTTAACGCCCGATAACGAAACATGACGATTTGCAAATGAAGTCATAAATTTACAAGCAACACGGCGTATACGTAATACGCATTGTTTATGATAAATGCGGAGGAGGAACGGATATCATTGTGTGATAAAGCATCTTCGCACTTTGATGCGATTTGTTGTGGTTTTTAAATTCTGTGGGGTGGCGCAATGTTTGGTGGCCCAAAAGTGGGTGGCCAAAAAAGCTCGCTGTTAGTTTCTCTTACGCTGTTAAAACGCCTTCCACACGGCTGTTAGGTTTAAGCCAACGTAAGTTAGCCATGTTAGGGCCAACCGGCATAAGTCTGCCTTAATAACATGGCCATTGCAGATGGGACACTGCAAATATTGTATAATTTTTTGTGGCATTGCAACTAAATACAAAGCACACAACTATTTATAAAACTCTCTATTTATTTAAGCTCTTTTCTTTTTCGTAAACTATGTGATAAAAACAAGCTAAAAGCGAACTTTATGGCAGAGAAAAGCAAATAAGATTATTACCACGTGAACAAGGACAATTTATTGCAGTTTTTTTACCTTTTTCGTTTGATTACTTTGGTGGTCGTTGAAATTGAGAGTATTTGTTCGTTTGCAAATATTAAACAACAAAAAGCTTTGTAAAATGTGGTTTTAAATAAACATAATAAGTGTTCATTTTATATAGTAAAATTAAATTATAACCAAGGATTTCTTAATTGGTTGTCAACTTAAACAAAAACTATGTAAAATGAGTTTAACTTTAAATGAAAAATAATGTTAGGATGTTTACATTGTTTGTTTGCCCAATCAAATTATTATATATATTTTTTAATGTATAGCATAGGGTAACCATTCTAAACAATTAAGTCTCCAACATCCCGTAAATAAAAGAACAATAAAACAAATTGAACATGTATCACCAGCAATTAAAATCTTCAACAAAGTTGCAGAACCAAGAAAATAGGCTAAATTCCGCAGTTCGTTTATCTCTAGTAGAAAACACTAAACTGCGCAGTCCACCTGCTCCTTGTTCAGGTGTTCGGTTCATCAACGGTTTAAGAACTTTTGAACAATGTTCAGGACTCAAGTGGAGAAATGGCTAAAAAGCAAAAGGACCTGCAAGGATAAGAAAGGGGAGGCAGCAGAGCTCGAGTGGCTCGAAATGAGAGCCAGATGAAGAAATGCCGGCTGCCTCTGCAGGTGAGTCGATAAAAAAGCCATCAACATTTTGTTTTGCACCCAAAAACTGACTGGAACCGACTAAGCTGAAATCTGCAGGGCGGCCAAAAGGGATTTAGCCATCCCATCCCATTCCTCGTTTCGTTCTGGCCAACAAAGTGGCAACTTGAAGTTTTGAACAAATTATCAACTGTATGTAGCAGAAACAGCACAAATAACAACAATAATCTCGGCGACAATTTCAAGAGTCAGCCAGCAAAAAAAAAAGGGCCAACAAAACCCTAAGCAACTTTTATTCCGAGCTTTATTTCGGTTATTGCTATTATTATTATTATTTGCCTGCCATCCACTCTCAACAATTTCACCCTTTATGTGTCGGTTGGGGGGTCCCCCGAAAAGTTTGGCGAAACTTTGGGTTTTTCATTTCGCTGAAACAGTTCGAGAACTCCACTCTTTAGGATTTTGACCCCGTACGAAATTGGACTCTTGGTAAATGGGTTTCAAACGAGGAACAGAAATTATACTCCGGATGCCATGAAAATACAAAGGTAAGTGTTGCTCCTAATGTAGTTATAAATATTTGTTACCAATTCACTACAAATTCAGCAATCTTGGATGCAGTTTTAAAGATTATTTTGTAGAACAACAGATTGTACATAGATTTGTTTTTTAATTTATTTGATATTTTATCAATGTTTTGTTGGCTTTAATATGAAAAGAATTTTAATTACTAACTGAAGAAATCATCTTATTAATATAGTACACTAAAACCATTTAAACTTGGAATACTTCCAAATTGCTGCTTTGCTTTAAGAAATTCCCTGCGGAACTTCAAAGGCGATGTCGGGAAAAGCGGAAAATGCGCCTCGGGCGGGGCTTTTGTCCTGCGTCGCCTGTCGAAGGACTCGAAGGGACACTCTCGCCTCTCCGCGGACTTTTCGCTGCCAAATATTTTCTTTTGAGCAGCTCTGAGCAGGAAAGCTGATGCGGATGCTCCTTGCCGCTGATCCGCTATGCAAGTCCTTGCTAGCACTTCAAAAAAAAAAAAAATCCAATTAAACGAAGTTCTTTTTTGTTGTTCCTTACGCTTTTCCAGTGATTTTCTTTTGCTCTCGCTGGAGGGGAAAGTGCATCAGCGATGGACAAGGAGCTTAATGCACAAATTCGCACCCTGACAATTACATAATCTTGGGATTTAGTCGAGTGCAGTGGTAGTGGAAATTAATACGCTAAGTAAATCACTTCGCAATCGCCCACTAAATGTCACTCGTGGATTAGTCTGAAAAAAAGTAGGAAACAATGGGGAATATTTGTTAGCGTACAAAAAACTTTTACATATTTCAAACTAGCAGTTGGTAAGACTTAGAAATTGTTACAAGCGATATTGTTCCCCAAAAGCTTTTGTATTTTAACACCGAATACTTATATGTATACTTAAATAAAGAAAATTTCTCTTGACTTCTCTACTGCAAAATTAATGTGATTTGCTTAACTAAAGACACCTTTTCCACATGAACTAAATTAAGCGCTGTTTATAAGCGTAATTTGGCTTTTGAAAACCCGAATCCGTTAGCCGAATTTTCCAGATTTAATCTGATTACCATCCATCAATTGCCACTAATTTTGCAGTGATGTTCGTTAAATGTGATTCCCACCGCTTTCCGAATTAATGTAATTACTCCCCATAAATTGTCACTAATTTTGCAGGGATTTTTGGCCAAAATTTTCCACTGCCTGTTCATTATTATTGACCGGGAATAGATTATCGATTTGCTGCCTTTTACTAAGAACTCTGCTGGCCGAGATTAATTGAGCATACATTTTTACTGTGCTTCGCAGGAGTTGCGTGAATTGTGAAAAATGAACGGCCAAAAACGGAGGGGAAAGTGTCCTTGGGAAATGTTTAATAGACTTTTAAGTCATTTTTTGTTGCTCCGCGTGGAGCCATTCAAGGAACCCTTGAAGGACCCAGTCTGTTAACTGCTGTCACCTGCTGGAAATCACGGCCATTAATCACGATTATTTCGAACTGAAATCGAAAAACGAGCCACTGCCTGTTGGCCATGTTCGCCACGGCTCCTCGCCATTACTCACATTAATAAGTAATTATTTAAACTTGCCTGGCACAGTTTCCTCGGCTCAAATTGGCACTCGAGCGAGAGTGAGGTGTGCTGAATTTGAGCCACGATGTGATTTGCAATAGTTAATGGTTGAATTTCGCACCTCGACACCCAATAAGCTCGGTTCATTGGGTTAGAAGTACTGCTTTAAACTTGATATTATCATAGGTGTAAGTTTCAGAAAATTATCATAATCTTTATATGTTTACTACCAGAAAAATACTTCTGAACTGATTAAACTCAGAGAAATTATATTTATTTAAAGTATTTTTATAATGTTCAATTTTAATGAAAATTAATTAATTCCTAAAATTATTATCTAATTTTTATATACCTATGTATTTAACTTAACTTTCAAAGGTTGTGTTTCTTAAAATGTAAACTTACCATTTATAAGTAATGCAATTTGCTGGTTTCTGGATTCATAATCATAATATTTGTATGTAATTGTTCAAACTCGTTGAATTTAATTCTGAATTAATTTTCTCATTTCCATAAGCTCTCCTTGAAATTATTCATAAATCTGATTTTAAAGTCCTCCAACTTGAAGTGAAGTTTGTGCGCTTAGTTAACCCTGCAATGCGTTGTGTCCAAAAGGTTTGCTTGGTAAACAGAAACACTTTAATCCCCATTAGGTGGTCCACAGTCCGCCGTTTGGATCGAACCCCCAGGAGGCCTCGGCTACCCGCCGATTAAAACTTTCTGCGGCGGTCCCTGTTTCAGTTTCAGATTCAGATACAGTTTCTGAATCAGTTTCTGGCGGTGACTTCTGCAGGCCCACAAACAGTTGGCCGAAAGTCGAAAGTTTCTGCTCTGCGGTTAATTCGTTTTTATTTTCACTGGCTGCGATTGTTTAACCGAAAGCCTCAAACCCAACTGGCGCCAGTCTGTCCCTCTTGCCACTTTCCCATTTTGGCCACAACAAGTGAGATGTCAATCAATAGTTCTTGGAAACTTTTCCCGCCAGAATAAATGTGTCTCGCCCCAAAAAAATAAAACCAGATGTGTCTGCTTTTCCGCCAACCCGTATTTGCCCAAAGTCCTCCTACTCTGATAGTTGTCAAAAAACTTAAAGCACTTATTTGAATGCTGACCAACAAGTATTTGTTATCTGTTTAACTGAATTTTAAAGCCAAAAAAATTATAAGTTATCATTATTCAATGTTATTAAAAAAGGTTTTCTTTTTTGTGAAGTGATTCTCAGTAGCATTAATGTTGTCCACGGATAATTTAACTGCTTACATTAACATATTCTATTGAAAGCATTAATACTTTATCAAAAAATTAATCCTTTTTTTTTTTTTTTTTGCTATTAAGATTCATTTAAACCTTTTTTTGATTGTCTAGGTCAATTTACCAGATATTCGGTTTTGCTGTTATTGATTTAACAAAACAATTTTAAAGGTTTTTAATACTAGATTTATTTAAAACTTATTTTATTTAATTGCTTTTTGACTTGGGAAATTTACCAGATATTTGGTTTTCACAACTTCACAATTCTTTAATACTAACAATAAAAATTGAATAATATTGTAGTAGATAATTGATGTTGTACATTCGTACACACTTATTTTAATTAATAAGTTTTGAGTTTTTCATCGTAATTAAATATGTGTATAAATATAACAAATTAATTCCCAAAAACAAAAAGTGTTCTTCTGTCCATAAATAATCTGTCTTCTTATCTATGGAAACTGTTTGTGGGGAGGAAAATCAATTTTCTGGAGCAGCTGAATCGCCTCAAGACAGTGAGTGAAAGGTGTATGAGATTTCGCATTGTCCTGCGCAAGAAATCCTGCAACTGCCGCCCCGGAAACTAACTTTCCTACCTCAGAAAACTACTGGAATGCGTAAACAATGAGAGTTATGGACAGACGTACATGTGTGGGTATGGAAAAAAAACCCCTTAAAATAATGGAAAACAGCTCACGTATCCGCAGTCTTGGCCAACATAACGTTGTGCGTTTTGCACAACCGTTGCTCGCAAGAAGAGTCAACACAAATGCAAACCGACCTCTGGGGTCCTGGAGTCCTGTAGTCCTGTAGTCCAGGTAGAAGGACAATGGACTCCGCAGTCATACACACAAATTGCATTTTGAGCGCGAGCCCATGTTGCATGCAACTGCAACTAGTGGAGGGAAAAATCTGGTAGTCATATAGGTACTTATATATATATAGAAATTATTTCTGGCTATCTTAAATTTGAATATAAATGCTTGCTTCTTAATTTTATATTTTGTTGTACCTAAGTAATGTTTTCATAAATATTTCTTTGGTACATGAACCTCACCTGCACTTTGTTTAGGTACCAAAAATAGTTATACTCATCTCTGATTGCAATTGGGTCAACGAACGAAGATGTCCATCAGCCGCCCGCTGCTGTCCTCTTAAGTCGACTATCAGAGGTCCAGGACAATGCCAAATCCGAAAGTCCTGCGGCGCTTTGTCTAGTGAGCAAACTATAAGCATCTGCAGCGCGACCGACAAAAAGGTCTTTCCGAGGCGTTTTCATCCAGAAAAGGCGCTTAAAGAGCGTAACCTTTGAAAAATCCGACTGCTCAAGCCAAGGACAAACCGAAAATGTTTCTAAATTGCTTTAATTTTCCCTAAGAGAGTTTTGTACTGATGGTAATACAACACATTCTAGGGTCATTAGGCAGATTAATTTTAAAAATAATAGATAATAAATCAACTAATAACCATGTAGTGTTATTTATTGTGCGAAACTGACAGCAATAATGTTTAAATATCTTTGAAATAACTGAATCCTTCAAAATCATGTGTAAATATTTTCTTTACTTACCAGTCATTAATCTTAAACGTCCCGCCCACTTTGAATTTGCCAACACTGGCACGCAGTGCAACGCTAAAATGTACTAGCGCTTGCTGAGTTCGATCGCAGAATACTGGTTTTAATATTTTGGGAAGTTTACGAACCGATCACTGCCACAAACCAATGCATTTCTAGGTAGATGAAAAGATCTATGCAGGCAAATATAGAGAAAATGCATTTTACAATCCTGCCGCGATTTACTCTTATTCAATAATTTTCTAAGCATTAAATTGTCTTCTTTTTACCAGTTTGGGTAATTTTGTTTAATGTAAGGTATCTGTAAGCCCGCCATTGCAATATAGGATTTTTTTAACAAAAATTGTGATATCGATATCGATATTTTGATATATTTTCGACAACTGCCAGCGCTTGACAACCCTGCTCCGACGTGTTGACCGGGAAGAAATCAAACGAAGCCTCCAATTGATTTTCGACCGCGATCCTCCACAGAAGTACAGAATTGCTAAAAGTGAAGAGAAGCTGGGTCCGAGCGAGCGTATCCAAACGAGGAAACATATTCCAACGCTCCCGTGACGCGAAACGCTGTAAAAATTGAAAGTCAAATGAATTCTGTATTAAACTGTGTGTGTGCGTGTAATTCAAGCGTCAATTTGATGATAAAATTTGCCTGCGCCCCTGCCAATGTGTCTGTGCGCTGCTGTTGAGCATAAGAGCCTGTGATTGTGTGTGTGTTTGTGCGTGTCGGTGAGAGCGTCGAGCATAAGAAAACAGCGCAAAACAACAACAACTTTAAGCCAGCGACGCTTAGCGAAAGAGTGGAACAAAGAGAACGGCGCGAGAAGTCACCATTTTAGTAGACGAAGAAAGTAAGAAAAAGGAGCAAAGATGTCCAGTTTCCAGATTCACCAAGACACCAGCAACAAGGAAAACCCGGGCCTTACGATTCCGGCCGGAGTGAAAAATGCCAAGCAGCCGTTGGGCGTAAAATCGGAGAAAAATGCGCTTGCGCCACGGACTAACTTCGCCGTGCTCAATAGCAACAACAATGTGCCGCGTCCGTCAGGAAAAGTGGTAAGTGTACCGTTTTTCTCCGATTACGTTTTCCGTAATTCCAATGCAGCTGCCGTTTTTTTTATGATGGTGGTGGGCTCTCCAAGTTACTGCGCCTGAACGTGTGTCTGCTTAGCGGTGGTGGTTTTTCTCCTTTTTCCCCGCTCTCTTCACCACATTGTTCCTTTAGTTGCTCTTTTTAGACAAATTTTGCTAATCATTGGAGCCTAACCTCTAAACTTTCCTAGAAAAGAGCGCAAAGCCTTGCTATTTCGCGCCTTTTTCAAACAACTGCAACAACAAATCAGCACACAAAAGAGGACAGCAATAGCAAATGCAATTACCCCCGCACACTCATGCACAGGCGCACGCATGGGAAGCCAGGGAAAGGCGCGCAACTAAATAACAGGATCACTCCAGCGGGAGGGAAGGGGACAGTCGTTAACCCTTTTTGCTCTTAAATTCACAGTTCATGGATTTCATGGCTTATTTCTTTTGAATTGTAAATTAATAATTAACAACATGCTATTGCGAATGCTTGGAGCTATTTATTTCCATGTTATTTTATTCAATATTGACAACATTTAAGAACATAGCCTATCTTCAAAATGATATCATCCTATTGCATCATATTTTTTTCCGTTTACTTATCTGCCCTTTTCCTTTGTACGCTCCTTCCAGCAAGTCTTACGTGACGTGCGGAACCATAATGTGGATGAAAATGTGGAGTATGGGGCCAAAAAATCGAATGTGGTGCCGGTGGTGGAGCAGTTCAAGACCTTCTCCGTTTACGAGGACAACTGCGACACCCAGGTGGCGCCACCCGGCAAATCGCTGGCATCCTTTGCCGACAAGGAAAACCAATATGCCGGCGTTAAGTTGTAAGTTTTGATTGGGCTTCATTGGTTTTCCTCCCAAACTTTAATGGTTTGTAATATCCAAAAGCGATGCGGGGCAAAAGGATTTTGTCAATTGCGATCCGGACGGCACGCCCATGTCCGTGACTGAGGTCATATCACCCATGTCCGTGGATCGCTCGATCCTTGGTGTCATCCAGTCGAATGACGACAGTGTCGTGGAAGTGGTAGCCAAGCCCAAGGAGCTTCCGCCGTGCAACGATCGCCAGCGGTTCTTCGAAGTGGTCCAGTACCAGATGGACATACTCGAAAATTTCCGGGAGAGTGAGGTAAGTTTGGAAACCAAAACTTATAAGTTTAAAACCCTAGAATTGACAATTTTAAGTTTAAGTAAAGTGAGATTTTTACAACAACTTTATCTTTATGCTAATTCATTTAAAAATGCGATAAACAAATGTAAATTGGCAAGTCAAATCAACTCATTATAGTCAAAAGAAACGCTGTTCTTGATAAGAAAGAAAAAGATTTATTAAAATGTAAGGCAGTGTAGTTCCAAAAGTATGATCATAAATTCATTTAGTTATTTTAAAGCATATTGCAGACGAGGTTTTCTTTTATCGTGATAGAGAAAACCAAGATAGCATGATAAGAACAAAAATGTCGTCTGGTAGGGATTCTCCCCTTGAGTATCTTGGTTGTTGTATTTGTTACCCTTCGCGTATTTCTCTGGCCATGTGCATTTCATATTTGTGTACAGACGCAGGCAGACGTAACTCCTCTATTCTCAAGGAGCGGGGGTAAAAAAAACCAGGAAGACGGACCCTGCCGCACCCTAATGTCGCATTCCCTTCACGCAACGCTGCCCGTTTTCTGTCTCTGTTTCTGGGTCCGTGGGTTCCCATTCCCTCGCTTTTTTCCCCGTCTTCGGCACATGTTTATCGGGCGGGAAACGCAACGCTCGCCTGCATCTCATCCTTCGCCCCGGTACTATTGACTATTCTTCGTCTTCTCCCGACTCCTCACTATTTCACCGACAGACGCAGCACCCTCGGAACTAATGGAATTTGACTTGCAGCTAATTGCTGTTGTTTTCTTGCGGCCACGCTATGTTTTCCTGCTCCAGAAAAGCAAAAATACATACTCATAATTATTGTTGACACGTTTTGCTCGGGTTCTTTTAATGCCAAAATTAGACAAAATTGTGCATATTTGTAGCAATGATTTGTTGTGCAACAACAAAGCTGAAATTCATTGTATTGAAATAAATGAGTTATAAAAAGTTATAAAAGCATTTAGTTGATTTATAATACTAAATATTCAAATTAATTCGTATACTACTTTTGGTAGCGCAGTGATTCTTTCTGATATGCAATAAAGCAATAGTTCAAATTTTAAAATAAAATGGTTATTTTTTATTCTTTAACGAATAACCATGAATTATTTTTATGAATGTTTAAGCCTTGTTAAAATTTATTAGATTTTTTGATGTGCAATTCTAGGTTAAAATGTTGTTAACTTAAATTTACTCAAATTTTTAGCTTTGAACTAAAACATAAAGAATTTCCTTGGAACATTCATTCCCAACGAACTTTTGCCAATTGAATGAGCTCTGGATCCGTGTGGAAAATTGCAACACACACACAAGTTCTGGTGAGGCAGCTTCCCAATCGCATCCAGGTCATCATTATCAATTTCCGCTGTGGGGAACTAAATCTTAAATCAATCAACGTGAGTTCTTGTTGAACTGATCGTAGAAATCGTCGGAGACTGCGTTGCTCAATGCCACAAGGGCCTCCTTGCGCTGCTTGTCCTGCTCCACGGCCAACTTTGAGTTGGCCCGCATCAGTTCATCGAACTCCGCCTTGCGTCGGCGATCGTCCTCGATCTGATGGAGCACCAGTGTGCGATCCATGTTGATGGCATACTGCTCCCACTGTTTGTCCATCATCTGGGCCTCCGTCTTGCGCTGCGTGGCCAAGCGGAGCTGCTGCTCCTGGCCCAGTCGAAAGACGCGCAGCTCCTCGGGCGTCATGCCGCGATACATGAAGGCGATCTTCTTGTTGGGATCGGTGCGCGACTGGGCCACATCCGGATTTTCGGTGAGCATGTCGCTGGAGAGCATATTGTAGATTTCGGCCATGTCGTCCTCGTACTTTTCGCGCTTCTCCCGCTCGCGATCCATTTGCTTTTGCTTGGCCATGTTGATGTTGAACTGACGCACTCGCTGGATCACCTGGTTGCGCATCTGGTGATCGGACTTGGCCATCTCCTGCAGATGCTGGTCCCGGCAACCGACGTTCTCCATCAGCAGATTGTCGGCTTGCTTGCGCGCCTCCTCCGCTCGCTTGCGTTCCTGCACCTGCTGATCCAACCAGGCGCGCTGCTGTTCCCGCTGGCGCACCTTGCGCTCGGTGTTGTACAGGTCCTCGCCCTGGAAGATCTGGGCACTGGACACGCCCAGTGCGATGTCGTTGTCGGCCACGCGGGTCGGACGCGCCTTCTTCAGGAAATCCGGATCGTTAAGGTCGAATTCGCGACGCTGCTCCTTCCGCTGATAGCGACAGCGATAGTAGTTGAGATCCGAGTCCACCATGCGCTGCTTCTTCTCCAGCTCCTTTTCCTGCGCGGAAATCAGACGCTTCTGCAGCTGCTCCTGCTCCTCGAACTTCTTGTCGCACTCCTCTTGTGCGGTCCGCTGTTTCTTCTTCTCCAGGATTTGCTTATCCAGCGTTTCCAGATCAAGCTATATAGTTCGATGTACCAAGGTGATTTAAGGGATATATTTAATAGAGATTTCTGGAGATTACTCACCCCATAGAGACGCTGCTTGGCGTTGAAGATGCGCCGCTTGCGTTCATCCTCGTACTGCTCCCGCTTCTGCAGCTTCATCGCATCGTCCAGGTCCTGCTTCGTACATATTCCGATTTTGAGCGTCATCTTGTGTCGGTATTGTTGTACAAAATACACAGGCTAAATTTCTGTTCGATTTTTTGTTAGGTCTGAAGAAATGTCTGCCGTTCCCGTACCCTGTAGAAAAATAATGAATACTTTATTTATGTTCCGGTTGAGTTTGTTTGCCCGGTTGCCCGGTGCTTTGTTTGTTGTTTGTCCTTAGTAAATACTCTTGTACAGTCAGCCTTTCTCAGTCGATTCCTTTTAAAGGTATTGTACCACACAAACCACTAAGATGGATTATAAAGAACATGCTACCAATTTGTTCATTAAAATATGCATCTTTGTTTTAACCATTTAAAGCTTAGGTAATCTTTAGAACATTTTAGTAAAAGCTTCTTTTGCATTTGGAATACCAAAAGGTTAAAATAAAACGAAGCGTACTTGCATTTTGACCAATTACGAATATCCAAACCAATTGAGAAGGCAAAATGGTCTAAACCTTTTCTCCATTTCTGCTGGTCGTGGCGCTTGACGTGTCCAATAATCGTTAAAGCGGCCATTAAATAAACACCTAATGTACATATTGCCCACATAGGCGTTTTGGCAAAGATTTTCACGTTTGAACTGGGAATTTGAATGCGACTCACGTACCACGTACCACGAAATAACCAATAAACAAATAAAAATTGGTAAATTCGATTCCCTCGCTTTTGCTGGCCACTCCTCCCTTGGGATACGTTTAGGTTGACTGGAGTGAATTTTGTTTCAGATATTATATGGAAATGTATTATACCCTTGTTTATATATGTTCGAATTTCTTTAATCTACTTTAAATTTTAGTTGATATTATTTGCACCCAAAATAAACTCACTTTTTTAATCAAATAGTAAACTTATTTTAATTAAGAGGTACAAAATAGTTGATACACTGACAAACCAGAGCAGCTCACAGGTTTTTTTCCCCGCAAACTAAACAAATTTATGGAAATAAATACTGTGTTTGCGGGAGGCATCAAGCCTTACCAAAATTTGCGCGAAATATGTTAACGATGAGAATTTCGTTAAGCCAACCGAAGTTCAGTTTCCAAAACTGAGCAAAGTTTGCTTAAGTAATTAGAAATTATGGGTTTGCTGCTAATTTGCTCAGCCGAGACTAATCTGTTGTTTAAATCTTGCAGAAGAAACACCGCCCGAAGCCATTGTATATGCGCCGGCAGAAGGATATTAGCCACAACATGCGCTCCATCCTGATTGACTGGCTGGTTGAGGTGTCCGAGGAGTACAAGCTGGACACGGAGACGCTCTACCTATCCGTTTTCTATCTGGATCGCTTCCTCAGCCTGATGGCGGTGGTGCGCTCCAAGTTGCAGCTGGTCGGCACAGCAGCCATGTACATTGCCTCGTAAGTGGTTACAGTTCACAATTTGATAGACAAACAAAATGATATGATATGTTTCTGTATAGGAAATACGAGGAGATCTATCCCCCAGATGTGGGCGAGTTTGTCTTCCTCACCGACGACAGCTACACCAAGGCCCAAGTGCTGCGCATGGAACAGGTCATCCTGAAGATTCTCTCCTTCGATCTGTGCACACCGACTGCTTATGTATTTATCAACACGTACGCGGTGCTGTGCGACATGCCCGAGAAGCTGAAATTCCTGACGCTGGTATGTCCCTAAAAATTATACAACCGAACTGAACTTAATTCCCTATTCCTCGCATTCATTTAGTACATTTCTGAGCTGTCGCTGATGGAGGGTGAAACCTACTTGCAATACTTGCCCTCTCTGATGTCGTCCGCTTCGCTCGCTTTGGCGCGCCACCTTCTCGGCATGGAGATGTGGTCGCCGCAGCTGGAGGAGATTACCACCTACAAGCTGGAGGACCTGAAAACCGTGGTCCTGCAACTCTGCAACACACACAAAATGGCTAAGGACCTCAACACGCAGGCCATGCGGGAAAAGTACAATAGAGACAAGTAATTTGGCTAAATACTAGAAATCCAATGGTGCAATGGTGCTAAAAGGTTTTTATTTCTGCAGGTACAAGAAGGTTGCTGCGATCGAATCAATTAAGCTGACCAAAGAGGACTTTGATCAGCTTTGCCAGGCCTACAACGCCAAGCAGAACGAGAATCAGCAGCAATTCCAAATCGAACGTGAATTTGTTTTATAAGTTTTAAGTGTTTTTCGCCTCTGCCATGGTCAAATTGTATTTTAGTTTAGTGTACCCCCATGTAGCATTTCGTAGTTTTAGATATAAGTGTAAACACCACACACACTCACATACACAACGTAGAGGAAAGGCAGTTTGATGCCATAAAAAAAAGAGGTCGCATACGAGCTCTCTGCAGTGATTGGCCGATTGGCAAGCTCCCGTAAAAAGTACTGGACAATTTTATATGCGCGCCATATGAAAGATTAGTTTCCAAACCAAGTACTCTTAATTTGAACCCAGCATTCACGTCTGTCCACGGTGAGAGCTTGCCACGCCAAGCGTGAGCAGTAGGAACTGCGGCAGTCTTAGTCTATCCGACCAACAACAACGAAAACCTTACCTAGTTGATCTGCCCAGGTTACCAATATTTTATTTTCTGTTCTATCTCTGTTCTCGATGTATTTTTATGTATTTATAAATTGATTCATACGGGATGTATACAATGTGTCTTAAGCAGAAACAGCTAGCTTGAAGAACTATTTTACCTTAACATATTTATACATATAAACCAACTATATTAGGCCAAGAATGTTCTGTGAACCACGATACGAAATACATAAGTGAATTTTACAAAATATACACATTTAGCCGCCTACGAAAGCACACACCCAATAGACCAGCAGCACAGCCAATCGTCCCGATCCAAATGGTGGCAGCCACGAATTGCTGCCCGACTTGTATTTATCTTAATCTAATGACGCTTACTACATGTTTACTAAACTTAGTCTAATCTCCCGTGTCGGTGGGTGGGTTGATGTTGCTGAGAGCATTAAAAGAGCTATAGCTAAATGCAGACAAGCCGAGTTAGCGAGGTTCTACGTTAACATAACTTATATACGATTGTACTAACTTCTCAATGTAATTTGGTAAAAGCAATGCGAGTGCGTCGTGCTCGCAGGCCGTATATTCCATATATACCTATTGTATTCAATAAAAATGTGAAAGACATGCACAACAAAAATATTGAGAATACTTATTTTAGTTATTGGTTTGGAGTTTCAAGCAACGTTTATGATCTCAAAAGAATTATTTGGGGAAAACAACAAAACCAAAATATATTAAAAATTGTGTATCTACTCGAACTCCATGTATACATGTACTTGAATTTTACTTTACATTTTAGCAAACACACAAACCTTAACTTAATTAAAAAAGTGTTTCTACAATTGACTATACATAATATGGTTATGCTTACTCTTCAGAATCTTTATCTCAGGTTTCCTGTAGGATTCTTTAATATTAGAAATTTATGATATATATTTTAAATAATTTAGTTTTAGCAAGTTTCTTGTTTGAAAATTAGTTTTTCCTCTGAAGTAACATACGACGTTGTTTGTGCTGTGCAAATATTTGATTGCTCGACATTTGTAAAGTCTTGTATTGATACAAGTTCAATTACCGTTTTTGGCCCTCATTGAGGAAATCAGATCAAAAGTTGGTATTTGCTAACTCAAATAGGAACAAATGTGGCCCAAAGATTAGTAGATCGCTATAAAAGAGCATGATTTACTGGCTTCCAATCACAACTCGATTAAGTTTCAAATCAACTAGATCAACAAAAAGATCCTAAAAAAATTCAAGATGAAGTTCCTGTTTGTGATCGCTCTCTTTGCATTGGCCATTCAGGTGGCTTATTCTGCAACTGGGACAACAACAACAACAACAACCACAACAACTGCTGCTAGTACCACAACAACAACCACGGATGCAACAACCACCACCACGTCCTCGTCCACCCACAAAAAGCGCTGCTGGAAGGGCAACAACTGGTGCCACACCAGGATTCCCAAGAAGAAGTGCAAGCACCCAAGGAGGTGTCACAAGACCGTCGTCATTGTAACCCACCGAAAAAACTAAAGAACACAACCTGATTACCAATAAAATTTCGAAATAAATACATAAATGTGAGCACTATAATTTAATTTTTCAATTAATTCAATAACCGTCGTTATTGTTACCCACAGGAAAAACTGAGTGCACATTGATACTGATTTAATAATTTCAAAATAATAATATAATATATAATAAAGTTAAATGCGATACAAGAACTGTAAACTCGTATTTTATTTTATTTTTGTTTATCAAACCTACCCCACAACAAAATGTAAATTGAGGATCGGCAAGTTCAACGCCGGCAAATTGCTCGCGCATACATTTAAATTGTAAATGAAATTTTCGGCTCGCTTTGTTTTCAACACTCGTTTATTCACAAATCATAAAATAAGACTTCAACAATTAGAATCGAATTAGTTTTTATTCGCTTTGCGTTTAAACACACCGATCCAAAGCCGCAATTTCGGGGATTCCTCGAGGATTCAGACGAACTTTCAATGAAGGCAACCGATATTAATGGAAAATGACTAAGCCGAAATGCAATTTCTTCTTCGCTCCGCAGGAGTGTGTTTCTAATAGGCGAACCGGGTGTCCGGATGGTAGCCGAGCTTGTCCAGCGCCGGATTGCAGGCGAAGTTGATCATGGGCGGTGGGCCGCAGAGCAGGACAATGGTATCATCGCTGGCGGGTAGCAAATTGGCGGCAATCATGTCCTCATTGATGAAGCCAACGCTGTACGGCCAGCCTAAGTAAACAAAAGATACAAATAAAAATATATTAAATGATATATTTGAGAAAGGATAGCTTTTCATTGGGGAGACCTGCTGCACACAATCTTTCCCACACTGGCTTGGCATTGTTAAATGAAAGCAAAACACAGGTGTAGAATCTAGTTTGCCAGCTGGAGCTGCTAATCCTAATAGCTAAATCGCTGCTCGGCCCGATGGCCAAGTCGCTCCAGTCCCGGAATGCACGTATAGTTGACCATCGGCGGTGGTCCGCACAGCAGGCACAATGTGTCCTCGTTCGGTGGATACAGATGCTTCTGCATCATGTCGTCGTTGACGTGGCCAGTATTGTAGGACCAGGCTACAAACCGCGCGTTTCCAGTTCGCGGCATCCGTTTGAGTGCAGCATGGTTCGAGGGGCAGACACAAGATTCTTAACATAATAGATGCTTGGCACATGGCTCAATGATATGTTAACTGCCACTAAGGATGGTGAATGCGAATGATACTAGTTGATGGGAGTGTGAGTTCTCAAGTCAAGGGAAAGATTGGTGCAGGCTACTATAGAATTCAATAAATTGTACTATTTTTCGTATGTGCATAAAAGTTGAACGTTAAGCTATTAAAATCTTTGATTGTTTTACCAAACATTTCCTGAATAATTTTAAAAAACATTATTCTTGTACAATTATAACTTTTAAAAAACATTTTACTTGTTTGATGAGCCTCTACAATAATATCCTCTTTGAATTTCATCTTTTAGGTTTTTAAATCAAATAGTTTTTTGCTTATTTGCTTATAATTACAAGAATTACGAATCAATAATACCTTCTAACCAAACATAACAAATGAAACTGTTTGATGAACACGATCATGGGGTTAATGTAATATAAACTTCATTAATAGTTTAACTCACCTTCTGCGGCTTTGTCGACGGTGTACCAGACCTTAAACTGATCGGGATGCTTTTGGGCCAGTTCGTCCAGCTCTCCGCGCAGCAAAATATCCTTTTCGCTCTGTAAGGTTATTAATAATTTATAAATACTTTCAAACAATAGAATTAATTTCGAACTAACCTGGTTGGCGAACAGCAGTGCCAGTTGGGTTTTGTCCTTGTCGCTGCGCTTGAGCACTTCTCTGGCCAATTGGAGCATGGGAGTGATGCCCGTGCCGCCGGCAATCATGTTCACCCGCTTGGCGGTCACGTTCTTGGGCGGATCCTTGCGCAGCTTCTTGATCGAGAAGGTGCCATTGCCCAGATACTGCAGTCGACCCGAGGGACCGCGGAACGAGATCTTGTCGCCCAATTCGAGCTGCTCCAAGTGCTGCGTCATCTTGCCGCCGGCGGGGAACTTCGGGTGCGTGTCCTTGAAGTATACCTTGACCACCAGATCCACATAGCCCAAGTCCTCGTCCGATGAGATGGGCGTGTATGGCCGAATGACAAGCTCATTGTCGATGGTCGCGATCAGATGGATGTGTTGACCAACGGGCAGACCAAGAACGTGCTGTTTGGAGGGCAATCCGAACCGGAATCGCCTCGTGTCGTGGCTGAGATTCTCCTTTTCGATGAGGGGCAGCAGGTATTTGTCATTGGGATCCACCAGAGTGCGCAGACGAGCGGTGCGATTGGGTTCGCGACGTGGCTTTGTGGACTTTTTGTTCAGAAAGTAATGGACGATCAGGGCGCCGGCGACCACGGCAACCACGCCCACTGCGATGGGGACAAACTGCAAGAAATGGATTGAAAGTCAGATAAGTAATCTAGCAAGTAAACAAGTCCAATAACTAAAGGGAAATGGTAATAAATAGAATATGTAATACGGAATTTAATAAAAGTCGATTTGTCTTTGACCCAGGAAGGTTTTAAATTCACCCTTAGCTGATTGCATATTAGTTCTAAACAAATTGCGTATTGATTGTAAATAAACCTGACTGATAATATACTGATTTGCTTTTACAATCTTGCTTACGTAAGTAATTCAAAAATGCTCATGGGTAAAGCAAAATCCACCGTGGGAAACTGCTGAATATAAATAAAATAACTTAAATAAATTAAGCTTAAAATATAAAAAATATATATTAAATGGGAAATTTACTATGGACTTCTGAATTAGATGCTAAGCGCATTCTATTTTAAATTTAACAAGCAGCAAAACTATAACTTCATGATTAACATGCTGAGAACAATCTTATTCAAAGTTAATGAGCGGCAAAGTTATAAATGTCCAATTAACATCTACTAAAACCTCTTTGTCACAACTCACTTTCCATGAATTAACATTTATCTCGACTTGAGTGGTACATTTAAATAACTTTTTGGTTAGTAATAGGTGAGTTAGCACTTGATGTTATGGTTAGACGTTTGGTGGGCTGATTTTCTGCTTTGATGAGAGGTCACGATGGCTAGTGGAAACTGCCGACAGTGATAAGAAAATATTAATACCAAACCACAGAAATCTCAGATAGTGTTTGGTTGTACACATACGAAAATGATATTCGCGAAGCCCCTCAAACAAAAACCTGCGGCTAATTGGGGTTACGAGCTCGAGACACCAAACTTTGGCCCGATATCACACCCGACCTTGAGTTATACGTATTCATAAAAAAATGTTGTACCCTAACAACAAACACGAAACCCATTAGCCATGACGTCACAATTACTGCTCAGATAAACAGAGAGCCGGCATTTTAAAAGAGAAATGTGGAGAGAGCAACCAGGAAGAAAGTTTTCACTCGAACTTACATCGAAATCCGTCATTTTAATACAAAACACTTGTTGTAAGCTGACTAATTTGTTGATTTGACTTGCACACCGAACTTGAAAGCAACCGCGTGCTGCCGATTCCAATTTCCAATTGAAATGAAGTGAAGTCGACGCGTGGAAGAGCCCCCCACATCTACAACAAAAACTTAGGCTCTCAATTTGACTCAGTCCCCTTTTTCCCTTGTTTAACTTACTCTTCTCTCTCTGCGTTTAAACTGCATAGTCAGCACGATTCAGCACCGTGACTGCAAAAAGTATATGACCACTTATTTTTCTCCACTAAAGTAAATATTTTAACTAACAATTTTAACAATGAAAGTATAACTTTCTGACAGCTAAATAAAATCTATGATTTTGTAAAATGTTTCTAATTAAATCTCATTAATTGTGTACATTTTGAAAAAAATGTATTGCTATTTTTTTTACAATTTATTAAAAACATTTAAAAACAAACCTAATTCTTTATGCCGATTTGCACAAATGTCTGCAAATTTTTTTTAAAAAATGATAAAAACATTGCTGTATAAAGATACAGCTGCAAAGTCAGGAGAGAGATAATAAAATAAATGGGTAAAGCTTTAAGAGATCCATCGCTGAGTAAATTTTTATTGATTACCAGACTAAGAGTATTGTGGAATGGGAGAGTATTGATTTAAGAGTGTCTAGGTGGGTATGTGACTAGTTGCAACAGCTGATGCTTCTGCTCTTTGCGAACTTGACATTGTATCAAGCGATAAGATTGTCGAGGAGATTGCATCATAGGAAAAACTGACGACACCGCTTTTTGAGTCTCTTCGGCTGTGGTCTTGTGTGCAGCGCCTGCGCTTCGAACACCTGAAAGTCATAATCCCCGCCAGAGTTGACATGTAGTATGGCCGCCTTGTTGCCGCAGCGATAGCAATAGTTGGGTGCCGACCAGATGGTCACCAGCTTTTGGCCGAAATGCCACCGATAGCCATCCATGACCAATTGATGAGCCCTGCATATAAGGGAAATTCCGTTCCGCCGATTAAACTCCTCCACAACATCGCCGCCAAAGAGATGACCATGTCCGCGTGGCGATGCAGTCCATCCTGGTGCTTCCTGGGGATCACTCCATAGGAGATCGGCTATGCAGCCACTTTCGGGAATCTCGTGGCAGCGATCCAGCTTTTGGAACTTATCCAACTGTTTGATTTCCGGCGAGAGGCCGCCATGAACGCAAAATATGTTTCCGTCAATGATGGCCGCCAGGGGCAGGAGATCGAAAACACGACAGCACATCTTCCAGACATTAGCGGAACCATATTGGGCCAGGCACTCCGCATAAAATCCATAGGATCGCGTGGCACGACGGCACTCGTGGTTGCCCCGCAGTAAGCTCACTTTTCCAGGATGCTGAACTTTAAGTGCTGCCAGAAGGAGAAAGGTTTCCAAACTGTTCTTTCCCCGATCCACCAGGTCGCCCAGGAACAGATAGCGATGTCCCGAGTCGATCGATCCGCCTAAGTCCAGCAGGTGCAACAGATCCTGGAACTGTCCGTGGATGTCGCCGCACACAATCTGCGGACTTTGGAGGCTTAGCAGATTTGGTTCTTCTAGGAGCAAGTCACTCAGGGAGCGACATAATCGGCGAACCTCCACCTCCTTGGGCAGACGAACGGGCACATGGCGCAGGTTGGCCACCAGACGATCTGCATCACTCATCTTTTCAGCCGTTCACCAGGCGGACATCATAGCTATTCTTATACCGGCGACGTCACTGGCCAACAGTGATGGGAAGGGTACTATTTTGGGTTAAGAAGTGGGCCAAAGAAATATGAACAAGCTTGAGCTGCACATTTTTTTTAAGTTGCTAAATTGTTGTAAGTTTAAACATTTTCAAGAGATCTATATCAACAAAAAATTAAAAAAAAAAAAATAAACCAAAACAAATGTACATATGTATTTGATAAATAATTTTGGCTAGTACATTTTTAAGGAGCGCCTGCATATTACAAATAAGACAAATGCACAGAAGAGGTAACTAAATAACAGAAATTAATTTTTATCATTTAGTGTGTATGTTTAGTTTAAAGTATAAAAGTACCTGTTACTACACCAATCTGTTTAAAATACCTTAAACGGTGGCTGAAAAGATTCCCATCACTGTTGACCAACAATATAAACAGCAGTGCAAAACCACTTAGGAATTTTGCCAAGAGAAAAACAAAAGATCATCGCTGACAATTATGAAATGGCAGAATGCGAGAACAAGAAGAAAGTTGAGAAAGAAAAGGGGGCGGGGCAGCGGATACGAATTGGGAGTTATGTAAAATCAGCGGTGAATGGATTTGTTTTGCAGTTAACTTACATTGGTCTCGACGACACGCGCCATGGTTAACCGACGGAAAATCAATGCAGCTTAAATCCCTTATATAATCGGCCAGCTGCAACGCACTGAGTTATTATCTACCTAAGAAATGCCGACTAAACTAATATGCGGACTAAAATCGCGAGGCTGTTGAAAGCAATGTTTTTATTTCCACGCACTCTCAGTGGCCAAGAGAATGAGAGAGCAAGAGTACGAAGAGAGCGCGCTTGGGAGATTCGGTTTGCCTCTCTTAACAAGCCGACAGGTCTCTTCTCGTAACAAGCAACTGGACCTGAAAGAAAATAAGTCAATTAAGATATTTGCAAGCAACACGTAGGCCAGATATTTACACAGAAATTTAACAGCTATTTATATGTTTTTTTTTTCAGTAAAAGTTATTCTAGTGGAGAGACTAACCAAAAGTTTAATATCAATTTACTCGGCTCCAAACAAAGCCGCAAAGCCAGGGCTGCTAAACTAAATCTTAAACACAAATTGGCAGCACCATAAAAATCGAAGATATTTTCAGGCACATCCCAACATAACTAGAATTTTTTTGAAGCTTCGAAAATGCATAAAATCTGTATAGGTTCTGAAAAATAAATACGATTAAGACGATTTGACAATAAAAGATATGCCTTCTAGACGGTCGGTTCAAAAACATCGGCGGCCAAACATCGATTTCGTTGAAAAAACATCGAATTGTATAATAACGATATCATCGTTTGCGACATCGATGTTTTTGCATCACTAATATCTTCCTCTTGTTTCCTCTTCCTTTCTGAAATTGCACGTTGAACAGTTAGGATGGCGTAAGTTAAAAACTCCATAATTTAGAACATCTTTGGATTTTTTAAGAGCCCTCGCAATACTTTGATTAATTGGGTCAGCTCTTTTTAATTTTGGCAATCAGAAACCAGCTCTTTTGACTTTTTTCCATGTCAATATTAGTTTGGAAATGATTGCAAAAGAAAACGTGATTTTTGTGCTAAATATGCAACTAATATGTGGGCTGCCATCTTTGCGCATTAGTTTGACATTTTACCGGCTTCCTAAACTTGATGTTAATATTTATTTCTTAAAAGCATGGGCTAACAAAGAATTTTGTTCTCGCAGATCGAAAGTTTCGCGTGATACGCTGTACGAGGGCGTCAATGGACTCCTGGAGGCTTCGGCCAAGAAGAAGCGCGGTTTCCTCGAGACGGTGGAACTGCAGATCGGCCTGAAGAACTACGATCCCCAGAAGGACAAGCGTTTCTCCGGCACCGTCAAGTATGTTGGCTAAATCACCTGCGCACGTGTTTTGAGACCTAATCTCTTGAGATTCGAGTCCATCACGGCATCAGGTAGTCGAGAATGTGTGATATCTGACACAACTCGGCGGACCTGCACTCAGGGTCTTTAAAATTTGAGTAGGTCTCCAGCAATGGACACCGTCCCCCCTTAAAACAAAAACGAAAACGTGCTCCCTGTGGGCTTTGTAAGTTTTCCCTGCCCCCACCAAATACCTTTTAATAAAGCTCCCAAAACACGCCAGCTTATTAAACCTCCACTTTTTGTTTTCCAGGTTGAAGCACATCCCCCGTCCCAAGATGAAGGTGTGCATCCTTGGTGATCAGCAGCATTGCGACGAGGCCAAGGCCAACAACGTCGACTTCATGGACGCCGAGGCCCTGAAGAAGCTGAACAAGAACAAGAAGTTGGTGAAGAAGCTGGCCAAGTCGTACGACGCCTTCCTGGCTTCCGAGTCGCTGATCAAGCAGATTCCCCGTCTGCTTGGCCCTGGTCTGAACAAGGCCGGCAAGTTCCCTGCCCTGCTGTCGCATCAGGAGTCCATGATCGGCAAGATCGAGGAGGTCAAGTCGACCATCAAGTTCCAGATGAAGAAGGTGCTCTGCCTGTCCGTCGCCGTTGGCCACGTGGGCATGAAGTCCGACGAGCTGGCCCAGAACGTCAACCTGTCGATCAACTTCCTGGTCTCGCTGCTGAAGAAGAACTGGCAGAACGTGCGCTCCCTGCACGTCAAGTCCTCCATGGGCCCACCCCAGCGTCTCTACTAGATCTGGCTGTCCTCTTTTTGTAACATCTTGAAATAAATGAGAGCCTACATTTTTACAATGTATTAAATATGTTGCAACAATTTAATCTTTATGGGAACCTATTTGTTGGGTTAAATTGTATTGCATTAGTGTGCGTCTCACATTATTTAATGGATTTAAAGATTTACAGAACTTAGAATAGATCGAAATTATACTTAGTTATCTTACAATTTTATGAGTATTTAAAGCTAGGTTTAAATTTCAGTGGAGCTTATTGTTCTGGCCAAAAAGTCGCGGACCTCAAGTGCCGCCTGCGATTGTTCGTCCTCGGCGATAGTGGAATCATCCAGTGGTTCTGCCCGAAACTTGGACACATCCACCAAATTGCCCCACTCTAACATGTGCGGTTCGCTCAGTTCCTCGAGCAGATTGTGCAGCACAGCGGCTGCTGTTATGATGCAGGACGCGGTGTGAAAACTAATGTCCAGCGGCTGGCTTAGGAAACTCCATCGGGACATAAGGCGATGCAGGGCACAGTCGCTAAGCTCTTGCAGATGCTCGGCTACCTCGTTGAAGTCGTGTTCATGCGGGGCAACCGGATCGGAATAGCGCTGCAGCAGCCAAGGACGCAGTGGATAATTTTGGGAAACCGGAGCCAGGACAAAAGCCGGAACCGGGTGGGAATTGATACGGAATTTGGGCAGCGCGGAGAGCGTATTTGGCGAGTGTGAAAACATGGGAACTAAAGTAGCCCGTAGGCCACAACCCAATTGCAGCTCCCGGAACAGCATCCGGTCGTCCAGCAGATACTCCATGCGCAGCACCGAGTTCTTGGCATCTCCGTTCGCTCTTATTGGAATCGAGCAGACGCCCAATACTCCGACGAGGGCGGCGGGCATGTTGCTCTCCCGTTGGAAGCCCTCGGCTACATTTTTGCAGTCTACCGGAAGCTGCGGCAACTGGCGAAGAGCTCGACCCAAGGTGGACATGACTGCGTTGCAGAATACCTTCAGGCACTTAATCGTCCTTGGACGGGGAAGGGAAAATCTCTCGGCGATCAGCGAAAGGCGCTCTCCGCTGGCTAGGAAGTACAGGGCTAAAGCTACGCACTTCTCGGGCGAAATGGCGGGCAATCGCTTGACCAACTCATCGGCCGATCGCAGTGTGGGAGCCAACTGCTTGCAAAGCGTCTCGAAGGTACCGCGCGTTACGTGGAGCGTGTTGAGGAACTCCTCCTCGCACAGTTCGGGAATGACATGCTCGAAGAAGTTCGAATCAAAGCCGGGAAATTCCGCTTGCATGGTGAAATCCTCTTGCTGTCCACCATCCTCTTCGCTGGTCTCCGAATCAAATTCGTCCGATTGTGCGTGTTTCAGGCGCAGCATAGCGTACATCTGGAGGTAATTAGAGTGCATCTCTATCATCTGGCGCATGAAAAAAGAGCGCAGCTTCCTAAACCGCTGCCTGGTTCTGAGCTGGGTCCTTCTCCTGTGCGTAACCACCGTGGTCTGGATATGCTGCAGGTGCAGGCGGATCAGCTGGGCCATTTTTTCTTTGCGGCCCTGCAGGTCATCGCCCTTGCTGCCTTTCAACTTGGCCAGCGCATTGTTTAAATTGTTGCTGATTGTTTCCAATTCATCTTCCATTTTTCAGAAATTCTTATTAGGGAGGAGATTACGCGTGATTTGAATTGAGAGGAGCATAATTCACAGTAAACGCTCACGAAGAGCTTGCGATATCGCAAGAGCGCATAGCGATAGTTTTTACGATATGATATTAATTAGGAATACGAATTTTTGCGGTTATAAGTTACATTTAAATTACAAAAAAAATCGGAAAAATGTTCAGAACAGCGGATTTTCTGAAAATATGTTGACTTCTCAGGTTTTTTGCGAGGAAAAAACGTTACAATAAAACGATTTGGGCGGGAGTACCCTTTTGAGGAATTTAAATTACAGCGTTGCTTCCCGATATCGATAAAAAACGGAGAATTAAAAGCGCAAATGGTAACTGACGTTTTTTTTTGTTGATGCTCAAATTGTAGACGAAAATGGATGAATCAGTAAACCAGACCATCTTCGATGCCAGTACATACCGATCAGGACGGTCCACACCTTTGCCTGCATCCGGACATTCGTTGCATATGGAGTTAATCCACTATGCGACGGCTTCGTGTCGGATGTTTTACATCCAGGACGCTTCTGCCTGGCAGGAATGGACGACGGAACTTGAGTCCTTTGAGGATCTCTCTGTCTCCGAAGTGTGCCACATATTCCTTACAGATGTGCTACCTCGACTGGACACTTTCAAACTACCGGAGCGAATTGCGAAGCGCTTTAAGCTTCTGGATATCCATCCATTTTTTCGACGCGTTTCGGAGGGTTATCAGTACAGTCCGGACTGCGAACTAGCGGCCCGCTTCGTCTTGCAGCGCCATAAGGATTATAGACTAACTGACGATATCGAGTTAACGAGGGTAAAAAAATTCAATATGACCTTTATATTCCAATAACACAGAAAACTTTAAAACTTCTGCTTCATATTATGAAAGTTGATTTTATTAATAGTCTAGAATCTAGCTAGTCGAATCTCTGAAATTTCCTTTATTTTTTCAGACACCAGATTCCCAAGAAATATCACAAACCTTACTTGTGGACAACAAAGAGGTGGAGCAAAAGACATGTGTTGGGTACAAAAGCAAAATTAGTCCGGAATCGGCTGTTCTGTTCTCGATCTTGGTGTCCACCGATCTGGAGCTTTCCATTGGCCAGATTCACGATCTGGGAGAGATTCACAGCCGGTTGCGACGTGCTAAGCAGTCTTTCGAGGACACTGCCAGATTGACTCCCTATCGCAAAGATGTTGACGACTTGATTTCTAATGCGAACGTCTTTGTCAAGCTAAAATCTAAACTTTGTCGGGCAATTAGTGATTGTAAGAAATATTAGAATTCGTAGGCCTACATATGTTATATAATGTTGATAGTTTTATTAATCAATTTCATAGCTTCTGATTTTTAAAAATGTAAAAGAATGCCAGTTTCTAACCAAGTTGCAAAATATCCATCTTGAATCCTAAACCATCAAAATTGGGTGATTTTTTCGCAGTTACGATGACGTTATTGTTGGTTACGGTATAATCATCTGGAATTTTCGGCCCACAGAAGGTTCTTAGAAGTCTGGGGCCTTCAGTATTGTTAGCATAGAATTGCAAATTGTCCAGATCACAATTGGTTAGCGAGCCCATGTTAAATTCTAAAAGGTATAAAGATGTTATATAATGGATAATTATTAAAAAAAAAAACTCTAGGCTTACCTGGAAAACTGAATCTTAGGCTAGCACCCTGCGGTACTGATATAGTCCAACTGCACAAAGAGCTATTTCGGCCTTCATACGAGGGATTCTCCAGGTAACTTGAGCTCGATCCAGCCACAGCTAGTTCACCACCACAGCCTCCGGGGAACTGGTTGCTAGTGGAAAAGTAGAAGAATTTCAAAGAGGATACTCCGCGACTGTCGAGGCGCAACTCGTTGGTCGTCGTAATTCTGGATTTGGTTTCCCATTGAATGTGCGATGTGCTAAAAAGCGTCTTGTTTGACTTTAAATCCGTCACCTAAATAGGTTTCACAAAGTAATTCAATTCTTAAATATTATAAATAACCATTAACTTACATTTAAGTAGTTATTATTTAAGCTGTTGAACAACACTGACATTACGTAAAACGTAATGCTGTAACCTTCTGGCACGCGAATATATTCCGTGCAGTTGGACAGATTGCTGGTATCAAACTTTTGAGTCAGTTCCGTAAAATTTCGATTGCAGACTGTAATAAAACCAAGTAATTTTAGGTGTTTTGTGGAACCAAATATTCTTAACACAATATACATACTTGGTTTTTTTCGGATAATAACTTCAAACCCTTGAGTTTCCAGGAGATGAACACTGTGGAAGGTAAGTTGCAAACTTTTAGTTCCAATTTCTTCCATTATCCTGAAGGGTTTGTCGTGCTGACCGCAAAATGATCGGGAAAACTGCAATGCGGTTATATTAGTATATGTTATGTCAAATAGCGACTATTTCTATATTACGTAAGAATATGAAAGTTGTAGGTAGTCCTCGCATTTTCCTGTCTGCTGAGATACTTCCTTAAGGCGAAGCTTTTGGAAATCCAACTCCACATCTCCCTCGACCTTGATGGTCCAGGTACAGTGAATACTTCCCTCTATGTTTCTCGTGGTATTGTCGTAATGTATACCCAACGTAATGGTCTGTTCGGATCATAGAAAATGGAATGTATTTCAATTAAAAGCCAATTCAAATTATTAATATCATAGAGAGAATTACGTCATTTAATGTCATGTCGAGATCCGTTTGACCGCAAGGAGTGCGTTCCATTTGCAGGATCAGTTCGAAGCTAATGTTTCTCTGCTGCTTAGCCTTGGCGCTCAACGTGAACTCCATCTCCGTGTACGAGCTAAAGACTATAGCACGGTTTGCTTCCGTTTCGTAGTATCTGCCAAGGCTCTGACGTTCGTCGAGTGCGTTGTCAATGATTTCCAGGTAGCTGCAGGTTTTGCAGTCGGCATCATTCAGTTGCAACTTGCGCATTTCCAGGGAAATGCGATGATCCAGCGGGACAGTGGCCCTGAAATGGCACAATAGCGACTCGGTGGCATTGATCCTGTACGACCGCATCAAGTTAGTGCGATTGGCGTCCGCGTCCAGGTTAACGTTCTCGTTGCAGTTCGTCGTGAAGCGCACGCTGGCCAGGAATCCGCGGGCACTGTTCGAGCTGTCCGTAGACAAAGCGATCAGTGCTTCGTTGCTGTCCACCATTATGAGTAAATCGTTGGTCTGATTGCCACACAATTGCACGGCCCGATTCTCCTCGCTGGCCACTTTGCCGCGATAAATGTTCAGGCTGTCGAAACGACAAGTTCTGCTGACCTCCATGTCAAAGTACTTAAAATCAATCACAATCGCGTGCTGCGGAGGTGCCGTCACCAGCCACTGACACTTGGTGTTGTGGGCGTAAACGCCGGATTCCTCTCCTTGCGGCGGGCGCAGGATGAAGGGTTTATCGTGGCTGCCGCCGCACCTAATGAGATGGTATTGGATCTCAAAACGACGCACCATTGGAGAAACATACTGCAGGCGAATATCCCCGTAGCCGTTAACTTCAAAGTTTGGACACATCCTGCCCAAATTCGTTTCCGCATTCTCGTTCTCGCGACGATAAGCAGCGAAGTAAGATCTGGTGCAGATAATCGGTGTCCATGAACGTCCTGTGGCCTTCACACTGACCACCAGTTGGTGTTCTTCTGCAGTTTGGAAAACATAGCTGCAGTTAAGCTGCATCCCGCGGGAAGCCTCCCAATCGGGACTGCCGACACTTTGGATCTCGGGTGTGGCCTGCAGCACGACATCACAGCTGGGCGAGACTTGGAAACTGAAGCCGTCGCCGGTGACATTGGCATCCGTACGGAATATCACTCTCATCTTGGAAGATGGCACCAGAATCTTGGCCGGCGCTTGCCTGCCGCACAGGCTGACCATCTCGGTAAACACTCCAGTTGACCGATCGTAACGCTCTACAGTCAATCTATCCTTCGTGCAGTTCGGCGACGTTTCAATGAAGAAGCGATCTTGGAACTGCAGCTGCAGGGACAAAACATCTTTGGTAGCAAACTCCCACATTCGCTCCATGTTGTTCAGGTAATTCTTGCTCCCAATTGTCACCGGTGGCGATGGAAGTCGGTCAACCCGTACAACGTTGCCGGCCACGGACACGGATTGTCGGGCTTGCAGGGTGAACCGACTTTGTCCGAGAACTCGGCTTTCCGAGTGGTAAAGTATCTTGGATAACGGTCGTTCCAGAAGCGTGCTATTCATGGTCATGCCTCGACAAATGCGATTGACTTCCCTCTGGCCATTGAAGATCACCAGGTACTCGCGATCGCAGCGTTCGGTTAGGGTTACATTGCCCTCCAGCACATAGTCGTTACTGTTGTCCAGCGTCCAAAGGCACTCCAGTTCACCGTAGTTCTCGCCAAGGGTGCTCAACAGTGTCGGGGACGCAATGGTGACACCCTCGGCTGCCTGCAGATTTCCGCCGCAATTGTGCCGGCGATAAGTCGCCCGAAAGCGAAGTAATTTGACGTCTTTGCTGTTCAGAAGCGTCACACTTCCAGAAGTGGTGGCCAGTGATACAAAACTGTTGGTGACATTGGCGTACATTGCTTTGAGTGCAGTACGAAGAACGCCGTCCCTGAATACAACTGCTGGACCGCCACGGGTCTGGAACAGGTACTCATCGACCTTAAAGGTTAGCGTTGTGCCTGCAGTGCCCACAAATCGGACTGTGCAATGGTAGTCGGACAGCTGGAGAAGCGTTTGAATGGACAGCGATCCCGCGGCCTGGTCTCCAATGTCCGGTGGACAGACTGAAGGCTCGCTGGAGCTGTACCTTGCCCTCAGTGCCGAGGTGCTCAAATCCAACTGGTTAGTGGTCACGACGACGAGCATGAAGTTGTCCGTAGACTCGATAGTTCCACTGCCGTTGTAGCCATCGATCCGGAATTCAGTGATTTTGGAAAGTGAGTTGGCGTCATTATAGAAAGTAAAATGCGGCATAGTTTCCAAACGTCTTGAGAATCTGAGATTAGTTAAAAAACCGATAGTTTAGCCCCTTTAAATCTTTCTAAAATAATATAAGATTTTTCTTTTTTAAATACATATTAACAAATAATATAGTTCTAGTTAACAAATTATGAATATAAATCGATCCAAGTCTCCTTTGGATGGCATTACTTACCGGTTGGTGTCGTTTCGGATGAGAACGCGAATATCAGCAAGGTTCAAGAGATCGAACCTCACCCGTTGTCCCTTTGCCACGATGATGGTGAGGCGGCAGAACCTCAGCCATGTTGAACTTGGCATGGGCGGGATCACAATGTCCCCGGCGGCACCGTTAACATCCCGCGAGCAAGTTCCGATGGCCCGTCTATATTCCAACCTAAAGCCCCGATAGCTATTAACATTTTGGATCGCCACAAAGCGGATGTCTGCCGCATTGGTGTTTAAGGTGACGACCATGGGCGTGACCGTGCTGCCGTCCAGAATCATTAGCTCTTGGGTCGGGTCCATCAGGTCAACGATTTCCAGACGGTCGCTGCCGTTCTTCGAGGAAATGCCATCAGGATTGTATGGTATGTGCAGATCCGTGATGTTCAAGCGAATAAACATGTCTTTGGGCAAGCGAATGCTGTAAACGCACACCGACGGCTTGGGATACCCACCGAGAGTCGGATAGTTCTCGGAGTTGAGCGTTCCCGACATTCCGCTGAACTCTCCGCCGCAAGCGCTTAGCGACAAGTTCAGCCGGAAGACTCCGTTGGGTTCGTTGAGCTCCGACTGGTAGTGCACGAGCATCAGGTTGCCAGAACTCCGCACCGTAGTCTGTGGCTTGTGACAGGTGCGGACCAAGCTGCGGGCCAGCTTTGTCGAGCCATCGAAGAGCTCCACGTGCTCCATGTTGCAGTGACGGGCGCTCAGCTCGAATGGATCGGAAAAGGTGGCAGCGATGGTCTCACCCGCCGGCGCCATTACCAGCCACGTGCATTCCGAATGCGGTTGGGGAAAATTGGGAAAACCCGGCGACTCGATCACATAGTTGGGAGCCTTGTGGTTCAACTGAATCTCACCATTGCATTCGTTGAACTCGCGGTATGTGAGTTTCCAACGGTTCATAGCTTGGAACCCTCTAAGGCCGAGATTGTATTTTATGTAGGCATGCGAGCCGCTTGTTCGGAACGCTGTCTTCCTAAAAGGCGCTTCGTTGCAGAATTTTGTATGCTCCAGCAAAGGCGCATGGTCGTCCAGTCCGTCGTAGATCAGACCGTACGACTTACAAGCCCCTGCAAATGCCGGGTTATCGTACTCAATAGAGATATCTATCTTTCGACCTGGCCGAACATCTATGTGCCAGGTGCACTCGGTGTCCAACATGCTGGCCAGAATGGTGCCAACACTATCCGTCATGTTGGAGCCACAAGTAGTGCGAACGAATGCCTGAAATCCGCTTCCATTCACGGACAAATCGCTATGGAATTGCAGTCTAAGATTGGGCGTGCCGTGAATTTGAGCATTCGCAACGTTGGCTTTGCAACTGCGCAGCTCGTTGGTCCAGTGGCTAAGATCGGACGAGCTCTGGATGTTAAGATAATCGGCGGAACACTCGCCAAAATCCTCCAGGTTAGTTTCGTAGGAACTGACATACACATGACGGGCCGGGTCCTTTGGCTTCACAGTCCATTCGCAATCAAGATTGGGTCTGTAGCCGGTCGGATATCCTGGTGATCTTATAGTCAAGAATGCTGCATTTTCCATAGTAATTTCCCTTGTACACTCCTTGGTGGTCAGGGTGAGGTTACCCTCTACCAGATTACTGGCCAACATGTGCCACGTAATGCGAAAAGGGTTCAGTTCCGCGTTCACAGTCTTCAAAAAGACCACATTGCTGCTGGAGGTGAATTGTCTCGGACTGTCTGCGATATTTACTGCCAAAGCATTCTCATCATATCCATTGAAGAGCTAAAGGGTAGTTTACAATTCGTATATTAAAATGACGTACTCAAACACTAAATTAAGAATGCAACCATACTAACCAAAAGTCCGGATATATAATCCTGAAAATGCAGCACCAAAACCTCATCGCGTCTCGAGAAAATGCGCCAGGTGAATGGCTGATCCTCGCCTTTAACAAACAGCGGTGGCGGTGGCTCTATTGTTCCATTTATTCCCGATGTTATTTCTATGTTATGCACTAAGAATGGCAAACGAAAGAGTTGAGATAGATTATCAAACAATTATTAAAGATCCCCTACCGTAACTCCAACGTAAACGGAAACCGCCGGCCGTGTTGTTCGGCCTGCTGCGGAATTTAATCCAAACCTGAGATTGCACAACCAAGGGGCCCTCCGGTTTTTTCTTATCGCAGTAAAGGCCCAGCAGTTGACCCTGGACGCCGGCGCGTAGCTCCAGGAAATCCTCGTTACAGTGCTCGGACCGGACAATGTCCATTGCCTCGAAATTGATCTCCAAAGCATTTCCCGGCCGAATCTCGATGGTCCAAACGCACTCTATGTTGGCCGGATAGCTGTCCGGATAGTTGGGCGAACTGAGACTACCGCGGGCGGATGTGATATTGCCGCCACACGAGTTCTCAAAAGTGCTATACTGCGCCTGCAGCCGAACGCCTTTGGTCAGGATGCGCACATTGCTGGCGGGCACAATCAAGTTGGCCGGATGATCGCGACACATTTGGTACAGTATTACCTCGTCATCGTCGTTCAGCAGTTGCAGACCCTCCGTGCAATTTCCCGACAATGCGAAACATTTTGGACACTCAAGCTGATTAATCTGAAGACTAAGTTTGCTGCCCTTCGGCAAGGAAATCAACCAGTTGCAGTCCTCGTCAAGGCGGGATTGCAAGTAGCCCTCTCCAGTGGACAGAGGTCCACCGCACTGTCGTTCAAAGTACATGGCAAAGCGGCCCCAAGTGGCAGCTTGTGCCTTGAACTGGACACGCAGCTTCTGGCCGTGAATCATTCGGATCAGGGGTGCATCGTCTCCGCAGGCCTTCTCGAGAAACAGTTCCTTGTCGTCCGCGTCCAGCTTGACGAGTTCCAAGAAGCAAGTCGAGCAGTTGCTCGAGTCGGTTAGGTTGAACTGCTCAAACCGCACCCTGATGCCATAGCCGTTGGTTACCTAAAACAATCGGTTTTTAGTTATGAATAAATTGGAATAAATTTGCGGATTTTAGAGAGCTTAAATCTTTGTTGCCAACAAATTACGATTTACCCTATGATTCCTTCAGGCCTACCTCAATAGTCCATATGCAGTCTGTGTTAGAAGAGTAATTGGCGACGTTGCTGCTGTCCTGGAGATTGTGGAAGCCAGGAGTGGTTAGCACACCGCTGCTGGCTCTGATATATCCACCACAACTAGCTGGCACCTGGACGTAGCTGGCTTTGAAGAACTTCTTGCCCGGCGCAGAACCGCTGATAAACCGAACCCTCAGCTCAGTGCCCGGGGAAGTGAAGGTTTGCGACTGCGTCTCCTCGCGACAAGTCTGGTATAAAACGACCGATGAGTTAAATCCATTGGGCGCGGAAACTATAAGTTTAGATTGTGCCTCGGTACAATCGCCCTGAGGCGCATCAAATTGTACTTCATGGAGCACGAGACGGATTTGTCTTCCCATTGATGATGTGATGACCCAATCGCAGTCCATGTCCCCGCTGGATGATGTTTTTGGCGATTCAAATGATCCGCCTGGCGCACGAAAGTGTTCTCCGCATCCTACACGCTTGTATTCCACCCGGAAACCCTGTTCCTGGGCTGAATAATCGCTTTGGAAGCGAAGAAGGAGCCGATTCCCTGGCGTAGTGATGGGCGCCAAGCCATCGAGTCTGCAATATTTCTTATCTTGGAGACTTTTGTCGTCCTGCATACTTATTAGTGTCAAGTGATCAAAGCAGTATTCGCCATTGCCATCCTCTACGGAGTAATGAGAAAAGGCGAGCTGCAAGTGATTCTGTCCGCCAGCACGAATATCCCACTCGCAGTCTAAATTTGGTGGATAGTTGTCCGGAAAGTTCGGCGATTCGATGGCACCCTCCAGTCCTTGAAGTTGAACTCGACAATCGGTTTGGTAGTTTAGTACGAACGCGATGTTGTCGGCCGTCCCATGACGTACATCGTACCGGACAAGGACACGGTTAGCGGAGGACTTCAGCGGTTGGGCAGTGGTACCATTGCATCGGATTACCATCGTATTGCTGGCGGTAGTGGGACCATCAAAAATGGTCAGTTGGCCGTTGCAGAGCTGCTCGTCATTGCTCTCCAGTTGCAGATCCACTCTTGAGCCCTCAGCGACGACGATTTGCCAGTCGCAGGCGATGGCATTGCCAATTCCCCCGACAAATGCGGAGAATGAATGCTTCCCGTGAAGGAGCTGAGTTTGCCACCACAACCGGCTCCGGTCTGTTGCCAACTTATAAGAAATCCCTTATCTTGTAAGGCGAAATCCGAATGGAATTTCAGGCGAAGTACGTTTCCAAACGAGGGCAGTCGACTGGGAATATTAGTACCGCAGTAACGTCCGATTAGCGGTGACGTAGCAGAATTCCCGTTTCTAAGGGTAAATTTATTTAAAATTATATGCTGAAGACGTATTAAGCGGTTTCTTGGAATATTCACCTGATCTCTAGCCAGTCGCTTTTGCAAGTGGGAGTGAAATCTTCTTCCAGCGTAAAGTTGTGCACCACCAATTCCAGGCGGTGGCCAAATGGTGCTTGCACGATCCACTCACAATCCTGATCTGCACTGTATTTCTTTGGCCAGTTTGGCGACTTTATGTAGCCGAAAAGGCTTGTGAAATTTCCACCACAGTGATCTAATTCGAATATACATATTAGAGGTCAAATGCATAAAGTCTACGTACAAATCTACAGTTAAAAAGCTTATACAAGCAGTACAAATTCTATATTGTTTAAAATTCTATATTGTTTAAAATTGTACTGCTTGTATAAGCTCTATAATTGAACTTACCTTGCTCTACAATTTCGAACCTTAACAAAGCAATATATCTTTCTACTGATGCAATGTTAATGGTCAAAAGATCTCCGTCGAACACGTCGTCTACAGTTCCCGTATATCTAAAATTTGTGAATAATTGGTTTAATATAACAAAATCTTTTTAGTTGACAAATACGCACGTATTTAACAGAATATCGGGGCTTGTGGAATTGTCATATATAGATATTTTTATTTCCGATGAACGGAATGCACGGACCGAAATCTTTTTCCTTCCTGGAGCGTCAATGAAATACTGACACAAAGGGGCGTCGGATTGTTTCATGTATCCTCTATCGGGTTCGGTTAAAAAACCACCGCAACGGGTGTGGATGAAGTTGTACTCCACTTTCATGCCGCGGCCATTGCCAGTTGCCCGGAAGACCAGACTAGCCCGATTTGAATGGGATGTCAGTACAAAGTTCTCCGTGGACTTCACAATGTGCCGCTTTTCATCACGCGATAAATATACCTACAGGACTTAACCGTGATAAGTAATGTAAAATAATAAATGAGTCACTTACATCTAAATAGGATGTTTCGTTGTCATTATTGCCAGTTCCCAGAGATAGGTCTGTGATGTTGAGACGAATCACTGTATTCAGCGGTGCCGTCAGGTTGTACGTGCATTTTATGTCATCGAGATAGGAACGCGGGTAGTTTGGTGTTGTGATGATGCCAGATGAGCTCAGAAAGCTATAACCAAAGTTACCAGTGCACACTATAATGTGATAAGTATATACATAGATTCATTAAATTTACACCACATTTATTATTATTATCTTCGAAATGGTTCATTTAATTAGAAACACCTTATCATATAAAGGAGCAAATTGATGTGCAAGTTCAAAATGTTTTTAAGCTCATTAGGTTATAAATGCACGTTACTTACCCCTATTGTAACTCAAAACAAAGTTTTTGTTTTGTTTCACACCACTCAGCCGGTATCTATAGCGCACGAGCATAACATTTCCAGTGGATGTCAGCGGCTCCAACTCACTAGCCTCTGGACTACCACACAGTTGTCTGAGAGGGATCGAATTAGTTGTTCTGCCGTCAAAGATGTCGATCTCTTGCCAGAGACAGCCCATAAGGTTTACTTCATTAAAAACCAGCTCCACTTGTGTCCCCTGGGGCTGTTCGATCAGATAGAGACAGACCTCGGCATCCATTCGGCCAGTGATGCGACCCCGTGCTTCCGTGAACACTCCTCCGCACCCTGGGAGTGCTGGCACCACTTCGTAGTGCATCTGGAAGGAACTATCCGAGCGTACATTGTCCGTATGGAAGTCCAGGCGCAAGCTATTTGAAGAGCTATACAACGGCGCTGGCTGGAGCGATTGGCAGGCTCGGAGCAACTGGCGATCGGAGTCGTAAACAATGAGCGAATCTTGAGTGCAATTAGCCGCTTCTGTTTCGGTGCTGCCCAGTGTGATGTCGTAGAAGCGCAACAGCAACCGGCTGCCAAACGGCGCCGTCAGTTGCCAGCGACAGTCGACGCCCGGTCGAGTCTGGCCAGGATAGCCCGGAGATCTGATAACGCCGGTCTGTGCAAGTGTCAGATTCATACTTTGACCGCAGGCGAACGGCAGAGAGCTCCAAATCACATGGAAGCCCTTTCCCTGCGTCTCGTTGTCGGATCTGAACCAAAAGAACGCCTCCTCCTGGGTGGTGATCACGCTCCCGTTTGTAAGGGGCAAGCGGGATCCACAGAAGCGACCAATCAAGCGCGAGGACAGCGAGTGACCGTCGTGCAGCTGCAGAAAGTCCGCAGAGCAGTCGGTACTGTCCTGCAGCTCAAACTGGGTGAAGGTTAAATTTAATACCATATTGGGAGTGGTGCGTATGATAAATGGACAGCGCTCGTCCGCCTGGTAATTCCCGTCGGCCGTGTTGGGTGGAAAATGTAGCTGACCCGTTGGCCCCGTGAGAGTGGCTCCGCAAAAGAACCGCTGATGCGAGCAGGTGGTGCCGGTGAAGCCTCGTGGGCAAACGCATTGGTACTTGTTCTCGGGCAACAAGCGACAAGTGGCGTCATTCAGGCAAGGACTCGGATGACAGGCGTCCGACTGGTTGCACACAGCACCAGTATAACCCGGCTGGCATATGCAAGTGGTTCCCCTGCCATTCTGCACGCAGGTACCGTTGTTCTGGCACGGATGCTGTTCACAGGGCTGCCGGCTGGAGTCCGAGGTGCATCCATCAGCACCGTAACCATGACCAAAGCTGCCCAGTGGACAGGTGCAAACCACCGTCTCGGAAACGTACTCGCACTTGGCCAGGGGATGGCAGATCCCCTCGTGGTTGCATGAGTTCGAATCGGCAGCTGTGCATGTGCGTCCGTCACCTGTCCAACCCGTTGGACAGCGGCCACAAAGGTGGGAACCCTCTGTGTTGGTGCAGGCCACCCGTGGCTGGAGGCTGCAGCCGCCATTATCCTCGCCAGCACACTCGTCGATGTCGCGGCAGAGTCGACCATCACCCGTGTATCCCGGAGGACACGGACCACAGCGAAAGCTTCCCGGCAGATTGATGCACACGTCATGGCAGGGATTCACGCGAGGATCACACTCGTTCACATCCCTGGTGCAGGCACTTGGACTGGCGGAGGTTGCATTCTCATCGGCCCACGTCCATCCCTGGTCGCAGATGCACACATAGCCGGCGGAATTGGCGGCCTGGAGGCAGGTCCCATGCTCGCCGCAGAGTTCCCGGGATCCACTCATAAAGCAGGAATTGTGACGGAGTCGGCAATGGGTTCCGGAGAAGCCATTTCGGCAAACACACCTAAACATGTTGAACTTTTAACAGTGGGGAGATTTTAGTTTCCGGGGCGCCAAGATTTGAGGACATATTTTGGGTAATTGGCCCAAAATAAACACTTTTTAATAAATAAAATTTTTCGATTTCTCGCACCGTTTACGAGATATCGAGCCCTAAATTTCGGATTATAGTGAGGGCTGGTAGCAGGCGAAATTACTTATTGCACATATTTTTCCTGGAACTTTCAAGTTTTGCGGTACTTTCGGTCGAAGACGAACACTTAAATTTATTTGTTCAGTTTTTAGCTTAGTTTTTTTATAACAATTGCCTCAAAAAATAATATAGCATATGTATCAATGCATAAGTGCGCGCGCACTTATGCATTGATACATATGCTATATTATTTTTTTGAGATAATTTTTATAAAAATAAAATTTTGGCCAATTTTCAGTTTTTAGCTTAGTTTTTTTCTATAACAATTACCTCAAAAAATAATATAGCATATGTATCAATGCATAAGTGCGCGCGCACTTATGCATTGATACATATGCTATATTTATTTTTGAGATAATTTCTTTAAAAAAATTGTTTTTGCCAGTGTAACGGCCGCACTACAAGCCGATATTTAAGGCTCGATATCTCGTAAACTGTGCGAGATATCAAAAAATTTTGTTTATTAAAAAGTGTTTATTTTGGGCCAATTACCCAAAATATGTCCTCAAATCTTGGCGCCCCGGAAACTAAAATCGTGCCTTAACAGTTTTATCCCTTTAATCCTTTTTCACTTACCGATAGCTACCGGGTGTATTTATGCACTGGCCATTATTCAAGCAACCAGCAAGATCTGTGCCTGCCAAGGTGATGCACTCGTTCACATCATCCTCACAAGTTTCCCCCTAAGACATAAAAAAGTAATTTTTTCTTCAATGATTCAGGAAGAAAGTTCCTTATTAAATATGGCGGACTATTTAACGGCGAAGCATACACATTAACCAACATTGGCTAAAAGCTGTTACACATTAATATAAGCCGTTCGTTTCATTTGATATGCTTTTGCAACACTGGTTTGTAATATTTGCATTTTTGTCTTTTCTTAAAATAAAAGTCTCAATTCACTGAAATTGTTGTAAAGATTATTTATGTTATATTTGTATATTAGGTATTATACATGCATATTTGAAATGCTAACTAACGAAACCTTTTTCTTTCTATGTGAGAATACGCCCCCGATCTACAAAAGAGACGCCCCCGATTACTCACTTGCCAACCGGCAGTACATTCGCACTGGAATCCCTTGTAGGCGTCGTGGCAGGTTCCCCCGTTCTTGCAGGGACTTGATTCGCACTCGTTCTTAACCAGATTCGCGGTTATGGTTGCCAGAATACCGCTGACCCGTTCCACGCGCTGCAATTGTCGCCGGAGGATGCGTTGATTCAGGCCACCCCTTCGCGTGGAGTTGCTCGCATTAAAGACCTTTCTCTGGACCTTCGTAATCTTTCGCTCAACATTCCGGAACTGATCCCTAACCACCTCCAACGAAAGGGGCTCTCTTCGAGCCGCCGCCTGGCGATTAGCTATTATCCTTTGGCGTCGCCGGAGCAACGACAACATGTCCACATCGTTGATCGTCACAGTAGCTGATTCGCCCATCAATCTCAGAGTTACATTTTGATCCCTTGCTACCTCGACGAGGAGGTTATCGTTTGATTGCCTTACGATCTGAGCACGCTGCTCCAGATTTTCGCTATATCCTTTTGCGGACAAGATTTGTAAGCACAACACCAGCACAAATGGTATTTTAAGTAGCTTAAGAAACATTTTGGTTCATTTTGTCTGTTCTGTAAGAAATTTATATATTTTTTAACTTTATATTTTTTCTTTGTTGGCTTTAATAATTTTTTCCACCACACGACAGGCGATATCCACGGGAACTGGAGCCAGAATGACTTGGACCCCAGAATTTATACTGACAAAAAGTGGGCGTCTACAATATTGGTAAAATGAGAAGCTGTGGAACTCATTTTCTATTGGTGAGTTGCACATAAAATTAAAATTAAGATATTGAGAACGGTTCTCAAACATAATCAGTAATGTTTGGAATCAGAACCATCGGCTCCATGCAAATTTTTTACCTACCGGTCATTCACATCCACAAGGTCCTTGCTTTAAAGCCAAGACATAAAGTTAAAGCTTATCTATAATTTTAATAATAATGTATGTATGTATTTATTTGTATAGAAAAGTATGTACATTTTGAATTAAATTGATAAATGAAATCCTTTAGCTGACATGAAAAGGGATAAAAGATTTTATTTCGCAAATAATAATAGATTTTATAACAATGGTTAGTAGCGGAAATTGCTGTTGATTGAAATGTTATTACATATTTATAAGTGAAAATTAGCCGTCTATAATTTATATATGTGTTTTGACCTAACCCCATCTCTGATTAAACTGCGCTGATAAGACATGTTTTTCATAGCTGAAGGCAATTAATCGAGGTTCGTTTCTGAAACAAAATGTTTAATTTTGTTTCCTATTTTGGACTCCCGAAAATTAGTGGTTCTATGGTGTAATGGTTAGCACTCTGGACTTTGAATCCAGCGATCCGAGTTCAAATCTCGGTAGAACCTGAAAATCCGCATTTTTATTTTACTTGCATTAATGTAGTGTATATTCTTTAAGTTATGTATTATTTGTTTAACAAATATTGACAACTTCCATTATAAGCCACTTATACATATATCTTTGGGTAGACTAATAGGGGAAAAAATAAGAATTGGTCCAAATTTATAATGATTTATGAAAGATTTTTTAAAATCTTAATTTTACTCATCGTTTGTTATTTTGCATTATCAGCTTGACAAATAATCTTTGAAAGTATGTTCAATTGGAATAAAAGCAATGCTTAACTGACATCGACCTTGGATACAATTTGCACAATCTGTAGCATAAGCACGAATCTCTATTCTGCATGAACTGATAAGCAGATACAATTGTATCTAAGTATCTCTCCATGTGTATCCTATGTAAACACGCCGCCATGACAACGAGAGGGAAAGCAAATTAAATCCATTTAGATAAAACGAAAGCTGCCGGTATGTATTTGTTTTGTGAGGCTTGACTCGCATGGATACATAGTCATATGTACTATTTATAAGTGTAAAAACAAAAATCAGCTGCTTAGTTGCCGCTGGCAGTGCGAGCCCCCAACTAAGGTTACTTGTTTCCACGTCTGTCTACGTCGACTGGCTGCCGTCATTTAGTCAAGAGCGAGTCGTCGAACCGATCTGGACACCAGCCAGGCGGAAAATATATATTCGCGAATAGGAAAATATAGAAAAACAAACCAGCCGCATTATGACAATTTTCTCAAAAATTTTGCTGTTCCGAGCGGGTAAGACAACCAAGCGTTTTCTATAGACCAAAATTATTGTATATATGTACATACAAATGTGTATAAAAGATATATGTACCTTTAAATATAAATGTGTTTATAAAAATAAAAACTAAAAGGATTGTTTAGTTTTTATATTTTTTGAATTTCTACCTTTTTATTTTCACTAAATTGAGATTATGTTACAAAAATTAAATCTCATTCACAGCGAGCGGACGTCATTACAGCGCTGCGGCTCAGACTCAGCTGCGCGAGATCTTGGGCACCCAGCTGGCCGGGATTAAGGAAGCGGGTACCTTCAAGGCAGAACGAATAATCACATCCTCGCAGAGCACCCAAATTACAGTGCAGGGCAGCGAAAAGAAGATACTCAACTTTTGTGCCAACAACTATCTTGGACTGGCGGTAGGTTAATTGAATAAATGCCCATTAGTTTCGATTTATAAGTTCTTTTGACCACCAGAATAATCCGGAGATTGTGGAGCATAGCCAGAAGCTATTGGAGCAATATGGCGCCGGGCTGAGCTCAGTCCGATTCATTTGTGGCACTCAGGATATTCACAAGCAACTGGAGAAAAAGATAGCCCAGTTCCATGGACGCGAGGATACGATTCTGTATGCCTCCTGCTTTGATGCCAATGCCGGCATCTTTGAGGCCATTCTCACTCCAGAGGATGCGGTCTTCTCGGATGAACTCAACCACGCCTCGATCATCGATGGTATCCGCCTGTGCAAGGCCAAGAAGCAGCGCTACAAGCATCGGGATTTGAAGGACCTGGAGGATCAGCTGAAGGCCAGCGATGCTCGCCTTAAGCTCATCGCCACCGATGGTGTGTTTTCCATGGACGGAAATATAGCACCATTGGCCCGCATTGTTGAGCTTGGTAGGAAGTACAATGCACTGGTGTTTGTGGATGAATGCCACGCCACGGGATTCTTTGGTGCTACGGGAAGGGGAACCGAGGAATACGACAATGTCATGGGCCAGGTGGACATCATCAATTCGACGCTGGGCAAGGCATTGGGCGGCGCATCCGGTGGCTACACCACTGGTCCCGCTGAGCTAATCTCGTTCCTGCGCCAGAAGTCCAGGCCGTATCTGTTCTCCAACACCCTGCCGCCCGCCGTGGTGGCAGTTGGCCTGAAGGTAATGGACATGCTGCTCGAGTCAAGTGAGCTCACGCAGCGGGTCCAGAGCAACACTCAGCGCTTCCGAAAGGCCATGACCAAGGCTGGGTTCACCATTGCCGGCGAGAACCATCCCATCTGCCCCGTGATGCTGGGCGATGCTCGCCTCGCCTCCCAGTTTGCCGATGAGATGCTCAGTGAGTTAGCCAATTGCTTTTCCTTAAGCTCTACTTATCTTAATCGTGTTTTACTTTCAGCTCGTGGCATCTATGTTATTGGCTTTAGCTACCCAGTGGTTCCTCAGGGAAAAGCCCGCATCCGCGTCCAAGTTTCGGCGGCCCACACTGAAGCGGAAATCGATCGGGCAGTTGATGCGTTCATAGAAGTCGGTCGTTCTTTGAAAGTAATCCAGTAAGGAACGGGAACTGGTTTCAGTATTGTGTATTGCATTTATATAAATGAAACCGCATTTAAACGATTTAGTTTCATTAAAATGTATAGAAGCTTATACAAAAATGAATTTACCTTGGATAACCATTTAAATGTTGCATTTATCTATATTTTAAATTTTTGTAATATATAAATAATCAAGAAACAAATAAGAATTAAAGTAACCATCTAAAAAAAAGACAGGTTATACAAGAATTTACGTTCTATTGAAACAAAAACAAATTGACCAGAAAGTCACCCATGCCGCATAACTATTAAATCGCAATCGCTGTGTTTAAGGTGTTGCTTTATTTGGTTCGTAATATTAACTAAAGATCATTTACTAAGTAAACAATAGACTGTTGCAGTTGCGTTTAACTTAAGCTTAGATTGCACGATGAAAGAAAGACTGGCCAAGTCAGTAAATGCAAGCGCCTACTTAACCGAGCACAAAAGTACGTATATGTATGTATAATAAAAAACAATAACAAATAATTCGAGTCGAGTAACAAATAAACATAAAAACAATTAATGAAAGTAAGGGGCGGCTGGCCGAATCTCTTAAAACATATGGCATTCTCTAAAATGGAATTGATGATTCAGATCTGAAAAAGTCTCAGTAGTTCAAATGCCAGTCCTTTGAGTTGGCACAAGCCAAAAGGAAACTTTTACAAAGCGCGAAATGTGGGTAAATTGGGCTAGGAGTACCGAGGTGTACATATTGCGATGACTATGAAATACTTTGGTTAGTGTTGTGTTTGCATGATATTGGTTAGCTGCAATTCGAGTCGTTTCGATTGTGTTTTTATTTGTTGACCAGGCCGCGGGCTTTGGGATACGCTGAAGCTGGCTTTTTGGCCGGCAGACGACCTGTGGGCGGACGGCGGTTCGAGTCGAGATTAGAGGCGGCACTTGGGACTCCGCGACTCGACTTAATGTTCCGGACATTGGGAATGGCACTGCCCACGGCTGAGCCAGCGCCAGGACCCGCTCCTCCATTGGCATTCGCATTGATGATGTTCTCCAGCCGGCTGCGCAGTGAATTCGTGTGCGAATCCACAATGTCGATATCATCGCCGCCCGTTTGCATGGCCTGGGCGAGCACCGCTTGCAGCGAGGCAGACACTTTGGGTGTACGGTACTCCTGGGTGGTGCGACAGGGCATCTCCAGCTCGTAGTTCACGATGTTCTCGCTCTTGAAGCGCAGGGAGCTCGGTGCATTCGACTTGGCCTCCTGCAGGGCGTACTCGGAGGTGGGCCTCCTGCGCTGAGGATGCGAAACGGGACGCTTGCTGCTGAACTTGCCATCGCCACCGGGAGGCGTGGGCAACGGCATCGAGGAGAACTTCCATTCCTCCTGCTCCTCGTCGTATTTTGCTTGCGTGTACAAACGTTGCTTAACCTCGATGGGCACAAAGTTATCGATTATCAAGAGCTGACGCTTCAACTCCTTGACCAGTTCATTCTGGGCCATTTCGAGTTCTCTGAGATCCTGGTTGTGATCAGACTTGCAGTCGTTGAGCTCCTGCTGCAGGGCCAAGTACTTGGCATAGCATTTGGATAGCTTGCGCTTCTTTAGCTCCACCTCCTGTTCCAGGGAAACATTTCGCTCGCGTATCTCTAGCGTTGTCTCCTCTTGCAGCTCCAGCTGCTGCTGGATTTCGATTTCGCGCTTCTTGCGCTCGGCGATTTCCACCAGCTTCTTCTCCAGCTCAATCTGTCGCTCGCTATAAGTGTCCAGCAGGTTTTTGCCGCCGCGCACCAGTTGACCTTCCAGCTCAGCCAACTTGGCTGCCAGTTTGGAGTTCTCAACACGCTCGCGCTCCAGTTCCTCGTTGGACTTGGCTACCTCGGCCTCGTTTTCCTTATCCGACTCGGATTCTGCCCCCTCCGGATCGCTCTCCTCTTCCGCCGGCTGTTCAATGGTAGACACCTGCAGAGAGTCGGACATTTCCTTGGATACGGGCTCCTTTTTGGGCTTCTTGACCCGTTGCTTCTTCGCAGTGACCTGCTTTTCGCTTCGCTGTTGCTGTTGCGGTGCAATCAGCCTCTTGAGCCGTTCGATTTCCGCTTGGTACTCCTTCAACTTGGCGTCCTGCGGATCCTCGTTCTTGATCGGCTGATTCTGGATGGACTTGGCTCGCGAGGCATAACGCAAGGTGGTCAGCGTCTCATTGTAATTGTAATTAGAGGGTCCAATGTTGGCTATCATGATGGTCTTCGAGTTGCCACCCAGTGAATCCTGTAGTAGCCGCGTCAGCTTGGAGTCACGATAAGGAACGTGAGGGGAACTCTCCGCCAATGCGGAGATCACATTTCCCAAGGAGGAGAGCGCCAGGTTGATCTTGCTGGCTTCTTTTAGGCGCTCCGCTGAGGCTCCCGTTTTCGACTGTCTCTCGCTGCCGGCCAGATCGATGAGATTTAGCTTGCCCACCTTGATGGTGTTTGTCTCCGTGTCGCACATTTCGATTTTGATCATAAAAATGGCATGAGATCTGCAAGTTAAAAATCACAGTCATTGTTACGGAACAAAGACCACCAAAATACCCCTCTTCTTACCTAGAACTATGCTCATTCATATTGGTAAATCCCACGGTGCGATTCTTGTTGCCCACCTGCATCACTTTGACCATGTCCTCCACACTTTTGCAGTTAATGGCATGCAGATTGGGCACATAAACGCCAGATCCCCGCTCCCTTACCTCCAAATGCTTGGAGTTCGGCTTCAGGAGATCACGTAGTTCCTCCATGTAGATTTCCAAATAGGATACATCCACCAAGAACTGGAAATTCTCGGTGCGATTGATGTGCAGCCAGATTTGTTCGAAGGTGCGCGGTATTATGCCCATTAGTTCGTCATTTCCGCGCACACCCTCCATGGTAAAGGTTTTTCCGGTGCCCGTTTGTCCGTAGGCGAAGATGCACCCATTGAATCCCTCCAGCACGGAACTGACCAGGTTAAAGACCACTTCGTGGTAGAGTGTCGTTTGCGAGGCACTCGCATCGTAGGCGGCATCGTAGGTAAAGACCTTGCGCTGCTCCTTGTTGGCGTCCACCACATTCTGGAGCTCCACAACTCCTCGATTGGGATAGACATTAACCACCTCTGGGGATCCTTCCGAGCGTTCCCGATTGCTCATGGGTCGGCATCTGACCACCACTTGGACGCACTCATTGGGTGTCTGGCTGCCGCCAGTCCCGGGTCTTCTGTTCTTGGCACTCATCGCCGGAAGTCTGTGTTTCCGTAATTTTTGTGCTCTTTTGTGTGCAGTGACTCAGGGCGCTCCCCCTCAAAAAAGTCAAGTAGCTGTGGCGACCGAAAACAAATGACGAATAAAATCAATAATTCCTCCTGACGCAACCATCTGATTTTGCCACTTCGCCTTCGTTTTGCACGCAACGTTTGAAGTTTTTTAGATACTTCAACATTTCTGCGAGACGGTTTGGCAATCAAGTATTATTACCTGTTATTTTGAAGCCAATTACTTCACCTTGAATTAGCTTTTTTTGTCTCAGCTGCGGTTAACAGTGTATGGCTCAAATTGTAGTGTGGCCAGGTGTCGTTTTCATTGTGTCGTTAAACATGAGCGGCGTTCTGAAAAATATATGGTACTCCCAATATTTGGCGCGCAATTTAAAAGCGAATAAAATAAATATTTTGCCCTGTATACTTTCTGTATCGTATTATAAAGAAATATTGTTAATGGGAAATTCATCGTTTCCACAAATTAAAACAATGTAATTCTTTGAATCAATTAACCCTTAAAATACAATTTATTTGTTTAAAAAGGTTTTATTTTTTTGTTTTTATATTTTATTACTAGTCACGTTTTCTCGACTTTGATTGGCTCGAACTAGACTTGCTAGAACCAGTTTCCCCGCGCTTGCGTTTATTCAAAGGGTTTCGTGGATCGTAGGCATCATACCAATCGTCACCCTTTTTATTGGCGTCTTTAGCCAAAACAGGAGCGGTGCTATTGAAATTCAAGGTGTGCGACAGCCAGTCGTCGCCGATTATTTCCTGTTCCACTGAGCTGTCATCCAGTTCCTTGGGTTCCGGTTCAGTATCATCGGAGTTTGACTTTTGCTTCAAGTTATCCAGTTTTGTGCGAAATTTGGAGAGCAAGCTCAATGTAAACTCCTCTCTTAGAAAGTAATAAAAGTTTTTATGACACAAAATCTGTTTTGCTAGGAGATAGAACCTACCTTGACTGTCCTTTTGGTTGGAGCTTAGATTTAGCAGTGTACTTTTCCTTGGACTCTATAAAATCGTGGATGTAATGGTTTTCGCTAGCTCCTTTAATTTCTGAAGATTTTGATGATTTCTCTTGACTATTTAGAAGTTTGTCTTTGGTCTGCTTATCCATTTGGTATTGCTTTTTTAGGGAGGCAATTTCTTCACGGATCTTGGATCTGAAATGGGTAAACACAAATTAAGATGGAACTCAGAGTTTAATATAATTAAGCTTACTTTTCTTCGGAGACTTTTCGACTTTGTTCTTGCTCGCGTGTCATCAAAACATCTTCTTCGTCCTCTGAATCAGTCTTTTCTTCCACAGGCTTAGCCTTTTTGTCTGGTCGAGTCTTTGAACTTTTTGATAGCTTCATTTTAATGAGATCTGAACTAGCGGCTGACGGTTTATCATTGACACTGTCCTCAAGGCAATCATCGGACAAAGCTTCTTCGATTTCGGGTTTCTCCAACTTGGGTACTCGAATGGGTTCCTTGCTCAGTTTAGGATCATCGGTTACGTCGTGCAGGGATTTAGCTTTACCGGCGTTCTGTTTAACATACACGTTGGTTTCTTCTTCATCGCCCTCGGCTTCTTCTCCGAATGAAAGCAGGCCAAAGTTTCTGTGAAATATTTAAAAAGTCTAAGTCAAAGTACTGGAACAAATTGTTGGTCACGGTTAATACAAATATTTAACCCTTTACATGGCAATAACTCCGATTTTCTTCATTTTTTTTTTGTTTGGTAGATAAGTGAAAATAAAAAATACACTTCTTTTTATTTTTTTAATTTTTTTGGTTTTACCTTATTTTTTCTATGTGTAAAGCTACTTTAATGCATATTTGCAACAAGGCAAAATTGCTGATTTATTCGTATTATAATGCAACAAACACAAAAACTCGACAATATATAACAAAATATAATTTTTACCTGTTTATAAATATAAATTAAATTAACTGTACATTTTTTTTTTGATATTTATATTTGGACGAGAAACTGCACAACCAGTTCAGATTTCCACATTCACCAAATTCGCGGGAAAAGTAATTATCTGTTGAGTATTGGACAGAATTCTGAGTGACTAACACTTGTTATATAAAAAACGAAAGTTTCTGAACTGCATCAAAAGATTTCAGAAAGTTTTGCAACGCCCGTTGAAAAATAAATGAATTTGAACGGTATGATGCAGATATGCATCACCACCATGTAAAGGGTTAAATATTCACCTATAAGTAGATAAATGGTACGGTGGAAAACGTAAGGAAAAAATTTAATATAAAAAAATGCAAATATGTATTGAAATTTTTAAACCGTAAGAAGCTTTGAACAACAATTACAACAATAATATGTAAATACATAAAGTCATATCTGAGATGAAAAGCTGATATCTTACTTGACTCCCTGTCGATCCTTCTTGCTCTTTTTGGTCTTGCTGGACGGCTTAGCAAATACTCGAGGTACGATATCATCAAAGGGATTGCTCAGCACCTCCGTGGAAACAATTCGATGTGCGTGCATAGGACGCTCCTGGTGGTCAACAATGCCATCCTCTAGCTTAAGCATGTTGTAAATGGTGTCACCAGTTATCTTGCCGAACAGTGTATTTTTATTCTGCAACTCCGGCGTGGGTGCAAAAGTGAAGAAGAACTGTGATCCGTTGTCATCTTTCCCAGAGTTGGCCATTCCCACGAGACCACGACGCGTGTACCGCAGACGCGAATGGAACTCGTCCTTGAAGGGCTGGCCATAAATGGACTCGCCACCCGTGCCATCCCCATTTGGATCGCCTCCTTGGACAATAAATCCCTTGACCAGTCGGTGAAACTCGGTGTTCTTGTAGTATCCCTCCAGGCAAAGTTGTACAAAGTTGCGGCAAGCCTTCGGACATTCCCGTGCCCACAACTCGATGTCTATATCGCCCACAGTGGTCTTTAGAAGGACCTTGCCTGATGTGGGCGGCTCTTGGATGTAAATATTGCTCATTTTGGCAAAATAATAACAACTAACCAAAACAATCAATGCAACAGTGTGACCTGAGTTTGGTTTTGTAAAACTACCAACGGACGGTGGAAAATTTATATTAAAAATACCAAAATAATACCCTTGTATTATCATGGACAGGCAAAGAAAATAACGAATATAATTTTGAAAAGAAACATTTATGTTTCCAACTGCTTTTTAATTTAATGTAATAAAAAAATTGTTCACATAGATTAAATAAGGTAAGTTAACATTAATTTATTAACTAAAGCGCTTTCGATAACTTTTTCCTTTAGACGTTTAGAATGTGTTACTAGGCAACCGTTTTGTTTCTTTTATTACTTTTCTTTGATTTGTACTTTTTCAATTGTGAGTTTTGATTAACTTCAGCATGAATTTTAACGAAGATCCACTAGCGGAACTTCTCAGCGATAATAGCCTGGATAATGACAACTTTTTTGACACTCCAGCGGGAGGAGGACACAAAAAACCGTCGAAATCGGCAAAACCGAAGGGAAAACTGGAGGATTTGTTTGGCATTCAGGAGGAGACGGAGGCTGATGTACAGGGCCAGGGTTCAGGAGCCAGGAACAAACCCAATGCGACCAGCACGCCAAGGATTGTGAAGCAGAAACCCTCGATTTCACTGGATGATGACCTCGGCGATGATGACGATCTGGGCTTTGATCCCAAGCGTCCCAAAAGTGGTGGTGCCAAAAGGAGTCTTTTCGACGACTTGCTGCCTAGCAATGTGGAGCCGAAGAAGAATATATTCGATGAGATTCTCGCGGGAGATGCTGGCAAACGTCCTGCCACCGCCAAACCATCAATGTCCCGCCAATCCACGGATACCACCACGGAAAACTCGCAGGCGAGACCCAAAACCTCCACGGGTAGAAGGAGTTCGGCGCAATCGGTCATCATGAATACCGATCCGTTGGGACTTTTTAATAGGGATACAAATGCCACCGTTTCGGGCATGTCTACTCCGGTTTCGCGAAAGCGGGGAACCACCGCCGATTGGTTGGGTTTGGAGCAGGAACAGGATCAGCAACCCGTTACTCTCAAGCCGCAGACGCCCCAAAAGAAGCAGGAATCCAATGAAGACGCTCCAAAGAATACATCCGAAATTCTGCGACTTCCCGACTCCGATGAGAACGAAATCGAACCGGAACCGGAAATGCCTGCTGTACCTGTTCCATCTGCCGTGACAGCCTCTACTCAAAATATCCTGATGCTTAGCAATCTCAATTTGGAGAGCAATCACAAGTTCAATGCCTTGCAACAACAGGAGGCGCAATTGGTGATTGCCGCGCAAATGAAGAACCAGGAAAGGACTTTGCTCGAGATGCAACGGCGTCAGGAGAGCCAGGATCGCAAGTTCCAGGCTCTAATTCAACAGCAATTGCAGCGCCAGCAGCAGATGGAGGAGCACATCAAGGGACAGCAGGAACGGATTAATATGCATATCCAGCTAATGATGTCGCAACCCGTTCATGTCCAGGACGTACCACCACCACCACCAACGGTAACCGCACCCGTGGAGAAACCGGAACCGGAACCCAAGGATACCATGAAGGTAGCGAGCCAGGAACAGGAACACTTGCTGCTCCTTGAAATGGAAGCCAAGCGCAATCTGCTCGAAAAACAGCGACTGGATGAGCTAGTGGCCAACATGAAGGTCAACTACGAGCAGGAGATCGAAATGATCGACACTTCATACAAGTAAATATTTTTCATTATTATATTTTGTATATGAAAATATTTCAAGTATTTTCTTTTACATTTTCATAATTTTTACAATACAAATCATGCTTACAAATTGTTTTAATTTCCAGAAAGCAACTAAAAGTACTGGAGGAGCACTTGGCCGCCGTGGAGGATCGCCTGAAGCTGGAGAACAGCGAGTTGCGTCAGTACTACACGGATAAACTGGAGAAGCAAAAGGAGGACTACACGGAACAGATCTCGAACTTGCGACAGGATCACGAGGACGAAGTGCGCAAGTTGCGTCAGTCACACGAACAGGATCTCGAGGGAATTCGTCAGGCGAAAATGCTGGAGCTTTCTGCCGTGCAGGATCATGGAAACTATCTGGAGACCCTCCGCCTGGCCTCCAGTAATCTTCAGGAGCTTCGCGACGGGATGACTGGCAACCAAGAGAAGGAACGCCAGTTGGAGGCTCGGGAACGTCGGTTGGCCGACCAGGAAAGGCGTTTAAAAATTGATGAGGAAACGGCTGACGAGGAGAAGCGCCGACTTATGGAACTTGTGAGCACCCTGGAGCTTCAGTTGGGCCGCCTTTCCAAGGATTCCGCCGAGGAGAACTGGCAGCTGCGACAGCGAATGTCCAGTTTGGAGGCGGAACGCAAGGCTTTCGAGCGCGAAAAGGACTTTCATCGTGAGCAAATGAAGCGCGATGAAAAGCGCGTAGAAGACCTGAAATCCCTTCAGCTGGCCGAAATGGAGCGACTACACCAGGATCTCCAACAGGAGCGAAATCAACTGGCCGTAGAACGCCAGCAAATGGAGCTGAAACAGCAGCTCCACGAGCACGGCGATTCGGACAAAGATCGCCGAGAGTTGGAGGCTCAACTTCAGGTGGCCCGCGATGCCATTCGACGGGCGGATGAGGAGCGGGATCGGTGTCACAAGCTTCAGCGGGAAGTGGAGCAGCGCAAACGTCTTCTGCTTGACAAGGAAAATGCCCTCAATCTCAAGGAGGACGAGCTGGGTCAAGCCACCGGTGCCTATCGCCTGGCCACCAGCCGCACCCACTTGGCCGAGCAAAGGCTCGAGAGGCGGACCAGGTGCTCCAGGCCAAGTTCAAGATAATGGCCAAACGGGCTCAGGATCTGGGCGAAAAGGAGGCCCAATTGGCCCAGGAACGAATGCTTCTGGCACAAGATCGTATCGCCCTGGTAAATCTGAAGAAGCAGATTCTTCGCAGCAGGTGTGCCCTCTGCAAAATGGGTGCAGAATCTGCGGAATTTGCCCTTCGACGGGGTAATCCACAGACCATCACGGATATCCAGTTGCCATCCAAAATGTCCGCCCAAGAACCGGGCCAAGTTCAGAGTGACATTGTGGATCGAATGCTGGACGAGAATATAGAGGCCTCTTACCGTCGGATGTATAACGCCCCACCGAGTAGTTCCTTAGATGATCCCGATTATGGTGGTGGACTGGACGATGACTCCAAGGCAGCAATGGATCACGGCAGGAATCTAGATTTGGATGAGGCATTTTTGGCCAACTTTAAATAGAAACTTTTAACCAAAGATAAATAAAAAAAACTTATCAGTAGACGCATAATTACTTATGTATTTTAGAATATTTTTTTATAAGAAACTAAATATTTGTGTGAATAGGACTTATAAAAATGATTCTTCCCTGGTTTTCGGTTATTTTAAAATTTTCGGTTAATTTAAAAAATTATTTTTCGGTCTTTGTTGGTATGTTTTTTTTAAAGTCAAGATGTATTTATTTTTAAAGTTTCGTTGGTCACACTCCCTGAGTGCTTGTTGCATTCCGTGTTTTCATGTTATTCGTTCGTGCAAAAGAAAGAGCATTTTAATATAAAATTAACCAATATGTAAATAGTATGTGATAGTGAAAGAACATAATCTAAGGAAAATCCAAGTTATCAGTATTTTGACGTGTTATGTTTACCGTTTTTCGTGACTGTTTTTTGTTCGTCTTTTGTGTATGTTCGTTCGCCTTAGTCCCGCATGTGTGTGTGGGTGTAAATGTGTGTAGGAGGTGAAGCACCTCCCCATCCAAAAAATATTCCGAAAGTTATAACTATTTAGTGTATTCGGTAATTATAACTGCCAAGTAAAGAAGCAAGAAAAAAGCAAGCAGCTTACCGGAATTTGTAACCCCAGCATATTGAGCAAGTTCAAAACGGAACCGAAAAAAGCCATCAAAGGTGACACCTTAAAAAGCGAGTAAGTTGGCAATAAGCGAATGAGAATAACAAAGAGAAATACAAGTCTGCATATTAATGGCAGCCTAAATTATCATATTTCCTCGCCCTTCTACCAAAACTCAGAGTTTAAAAAGTTAATTCATATTCTCATTCTATTTTACATTCGAATAAATTGGCAATCAATTGAGCTGATTGCTGTGTATAAAAAGTTAAATTATATTTGTTGTAATCTATTGATTTACCTTAACCTTTGCTGCAAATGTCCCTCTCTCTCTCTTTTTGCCGTTTCCCTCTCTTGTTTATTCTCCCTCGCCGGTTCGCATTTTCTTATCTTCCATTTCCCCTCTTTCGCCATACGCACACACACTCATGACGTCTGTGGGTGTGTTTATGTTGAACAGCTGTTTCCTATCTGCATACAAAACGGTTTCAAGGGGAAAAAATCAGAACACTTCCATTGCAGATATACACATGTATTTAATTTCCATATATATACATATAATCTGTGGGGAATCGGCACTTGCAGCATTCATTCACGCAAATTGATGCCGCCGCTATTGTTTGTATTTGTTTATTTATTTACAATTGAGCGCTCAATTGCGCCTTTTTGCGCCAATCCGGGGTATCGCATCACAAATTTTTGTTTGTATGTGAAATTTAAAATATTGATATATATATATATATATGACCCGACTATATGCTTTTTTTGTTGTGTTCTTATCATAGTTTTTAATACTGTTTCCGTTGTTAATTTTAAAATATTTTCATTTGCTCCCGAAAGCTTACGCTGACCATACATAGCTTAAATGTTAGTTTACGCGCCGTGTAAACAATTTGTATATTTTAAAAATCATTATTTAAAGCATTTTGAATAAGAACGATTCCACAATAAGATTGTAATCGTTATAAAGCATATTGACGCTAGTCTATTTCAACGTACAATCAGCATTTGTCTGGTTTCTGAATCATCCGATTGGTACTCGCCAATATTCCGATTGCCGAACCCCTTTTGGAGCTCTTAAAAAGCTATTTCGTGAGGAGGGTCCCCCCATGAAACTGTTTTTCACCTGTTCTTCGTCCAGGTATTCATACCTTTACATTTAACAAGGCATAATCGCTTTTATCGCTGCCTGTTTGTTATCGCACAGATAAGAGGTCCCAAAAGCAAATGCCTTTGTTCGCATAGAGAATAACAAATAAGCATTGAAAGAAAAAAAAAAAAGAAAAAATTGAAACAAAATTTGAAATTTTCTTACTTTCTGTTCAGGTCGTCATTCGCAGTTGAACGCAACGGACGCTTCAGCGGGGATAATGTCAAACCAGGCGCAGATCGACTACGACAAGCAGTTCCAGGATGACCTGGCCAAGGCGACCGCCCTGAGTCTGGAGCAGCATGCCCTCGACGATTACCGGCGGAACAAGAAATACGGCACTGGATCGGGCTACCATCAAAGTAGCCACTCAGCTGGCAGGGATTACCAGCGTGACTTTCAGGCTCGACGACATTCGGAAGTCCATCAGGTGGCCGTTAGTTCGGGGAATGTGGAACGATCACGCACACCGCCGGCTCAGGTATTGGATAACGACCTGATATGCTTCGCAAGTCCCACCAGCAAAGAGCCGGAGAGTAGCACGCCGTTTGGCAAACTCATCGAGGATCTGCAGCGAATGCAGGTCACGAATCCGCAGTCGGCTGTTGTGCCCATGGGACCGGTTGCAGCCGCATCGATACCCCCGCATTACGGCTATCCACCTCAGCAACAACAACAGGCACCGCCTGCGTATGGCATGGTGGCAGGTGCATCAGCCGGAGGGGGAGCGTATGGTGATCTCCAGCTGGTGCCCTATCAACCGGCGGTCCAGCAGCAAAGGCCGCTGAACAACGAGGAGCTCCAGCGGCTGTACAGTATGCCCACCCAAATGGCCGTGGCACCAGTTGCTCAGCCTAACGCGTATTTGTATTATCCTGGAGCGCTTGTGGCACCCTACACGGCGCCCATTGTATCCGGATCGGCTGCCTATATGCCACCGCAGTATCCAGCTCAGGGATACGGTTTTGGTGGTGTGTACACACACATGGATTTGCAGCGTCCCCAATCGCAACCAGCTCCGACACCAGTTCCGCCAAGAAGTCATCACAGTCAGCCGTCCAATCGCTTTACTCCTCCCACTTCTTTGGAGTCAAATGGAGTGGCCTTCCAGCCGCGTCGCCAAGTGCCAACGACCGGCAGTACGAGCTCCAGTAGCCACATCGGGAACAATGGTCATCCTCAAGGACCGCGTAGGGGCAACGATTTGATAGACCTCAACCAGGAGGATTAGTATGTACCCCTAAATTCTGGTTAACCTATTAGTATTTAACAATTTATATTGCCTTTCTTTTGACTTTTCAGTTCCCGTGTGAGTGTGCTGGAGGCTTTCGATCCCCTGCTGAACGACAATACCGGTAAGAAACCACAATGTTGTAATTAACATGTAGTCCCCGGATCTCAGCCAAAAATTCTATAGTATTTTCACACCCTAAACAGATTTAAACATTGTCCAGTTTTCAATAAAGCTATTTGGCCTAGTTACATTCCAGATTAGACTATTTCAATGATAAATGAAATTATACTTCAAAGAACATTTAAAAAACATTATTAAGCTTTAGTATTGGATTACGAATTTAGGTTTGGAATAAAAAAAACGTTTACTTGATTTAAAATTAAAATTCATTTAAAGCCTAGTTTTTTCAATTATTGCTTAAAGTACTTTATTATTATTATTTATTTTTTTTTCGTAATTAGCTACCATTATTTGAACACTAAAGAGGTGTATTTTTACAGAATCATTAAAACTGTAGAATTGATAATAGCTAATTAGAACGTCGGCACTCGCCATTAGTTAAAAATTAAACTGAATGTTCTCGTTCTCTATATTGCAGTGTCGAAAAAGTAATCCATATTAATTGCAAGTCCTCTACTACTATCAGTACTACTACTACTACCAAAACTGCAAAAAACTGCAACTACTTTACACCCACAAAAACTACACCATCTAAAAGGTTTCGGGTCGGTTTGGTTCGTTTCGGAGGCAAAGACCATTTAGTGTCTGTAGCAGCACATACTTAGAACCACCTACTTACACAGAAAGTAATAATGTCAAATAATTAAATGTGCCTTCCGCTATTACGTGAAGCATTTTGAAGACAGCCAATAAATCGATGTCGAAATTATCATATTATAATTATAATTATCGTATATTCATAACGATCGAACAGTATTGAGCTTTTCAAAATTTAAAAGAATTTAACGACTGTCATTTAAGGAAAAAAAGTGATCCGAAAAGAAGATCGAGTCTTCTCTTTTTTATAACCATGTATTACGAAATGAACACGTTGTGATTTGCTGCTACATATATCCATTAATACACATATATACAACAAATAAATACATACATATGTTTAATACTATCGTGTATTTCTGTGAGAGAACAAATAAATAATTTCTTAAACAAATTGCAGTCTGTTGTTGTTTTATTAATCGTTTAGTCGCTCGTTTCCAATTCCCGCTTACCAGATTTAATTATGCCTGTTTGTTTACGCTTTACTAAACAATAATTGTCGTAAGATTGGAATTTAAAAGCTTTTTAACATATGTATGTATTTATTCATTACATTCAAAGGGATTTGGGAACAGTTCTGATTTGTTGAAATACTTTCACTTTTTGCTTGCGTTTAAATGGTTGCACCTTAATCCATTTTCTTGTAACTAACTAATTTTCGATGGTTTTGTTTTAAGAGAAGTTTTAGTTTTTCAGAGTAATTGGTTACATCTGGACTTTTGCCAATGACTTTGAATTACAAGGCTTTTAGGGAAATAGCTTCCCTTTTTGTGGTACAAGAAACAGATGTGAGGGCACTAGAGACGACGGATTGGAAAGGAATATATAAATAAAGCGATTTAAAAATACAGTGGTACAGTGGTCAGTCGACTACAAATCAAAATGGGATACTTAATTTAGCTTTAGGTTAAATACAAATGTGGAAAGACCAATAAGTATTTATAGTTGTTTATTTGAAAGTCAAATTCAAAGTTGTCCTGCATGAAATATCAGAATTTTTGCCTTCCACATTTATGATGTCTAGACATGATCGGTGCTCCACTGTACCGGGCCAGCGTGGGCGACGTTTGTCAGAAATCACAATTAGCTTTTAGCGATGGCAGAGCAGCCTCGCCGACCGCCGGATTTGTTAGAGTAGATTTGCGAAACGTTCTCACATCGCCAGTGGTGCTCACACAACTATGTGCAATCCACAGCGGTCTGCTTGGCCCGCCTGTTGGGGTCGTCTCTTATTTATTTTTGGCCACGCGATCTAATGTGCCCGGACTCACGCCGCAGTAGGCCTCGGGTCTCGAGCAACATATTTGCATAACTGCTGGCAATATTCAGACTGGGGGTCTGGCAACTGGACTCGAACCGGAACTGATCATGCACTCGCTACTTGCAGGATACGACAGCGCCTCCGACAGCACCTCCTACTATGCGGAATACGATCCGTTTGACTTTCTGTACAGCGGCGATGGAGGCACCCAAAATTCGGATCCCATGTACGAGGCGGTCAACAGGTGGGACAAAAGTGCGACCACGGTTAGTCCGAAAGAGGGTTTCATCGGTTGGCGGCAAGATTTTCTACCGCAACCAGCGACATCATCGTCGTATTACGGTGATGTTCCGCCGGAGGAGAGTGTAAAGGTGTCGGAGAACGGATCCGGAAGCATCTCACCGCCGCCACCGTTGCCGCCAAGGAATCAACAGCTCTATGAATCAACTCAGGCAACAGTGCCCACCACCTCGAAACCTCACCAATCCACTCATCTGACGGACAGCTATACCTCAAGCATTCCGGCCAGCGTGGTCCTGGATCGACGGAAAACCTGCACGCGTCTCTACGAGCTAATCAGCGATCAGCGCACGGATGATCCCGAGCTGCTCGAGTTCTACCACATGGTTAAAGAGCTCCGTGCTCGATATCCGCATGACGATGCGCCCACCAATGTGGGTCATATTGTGGCCGCCGAGTTCAACTACCACTACATAATGGACACCAGCATCAAGGTGATTGTGCATCCGGCTCTGAACACCCTTCAATCGCACGTTCTCTCCGCCTCGATTGGCAAGGAGCAGGTGAAGGGTTATGGAACGCCAGTTACGTTCACCTGCGATAGTAAGTGAGATTTTAAATTGTTTGGGGATCTCTCTAAAGGTTGATTCTCTGCCCACAGTTGACTCAGTTGTGGCCCAGGTGATTGCCCAGGCTTTGGTTTCGCTGGAGGGACAAGTCAAGGGCACCGTCACCGATTATGTGGTTAAAGTGGGTATTTGAATATAAATAACATTGCATTATAAATTTAATTTATTTTTATTATTTGCAGCCCATTGGCCTTTTGGAGTGGCTGGCACCCACCTCGAAACTAAGTCAACTGGAGTGCGTGCACAACAGCTTCCAGCTGGAGAAGGATGTGCATCTGGGCTTGTGCCTCAGCACGACGGCCAACATGCAGGCGGTGGCACGAACGGAGCGGGATGACGAGCACGATGCGGACCTTCTACCAGAGCAATTGCTGCCCAACGAAGTGGTGCCGATTGTGACCTACGACAACATGATGATACTCATTGAGACGCTCGAAATGGAGATCGATAAGCTGGAGTCGGCGGCCGACGGAGTGCCCGGTCGGAGTGTGGTCAGCTGCTCGGGAGTGGTGCAAGCGGTGAAAGCCATTTGTGCTCTTCTGGGTTCCATCGATACCCTGGAAATTGCCCGGTGTGTTGCTGACTTGAAGCGCATTTGCGAAGTGGAGCAGAAGAAGTACTCAGCGGGTGCCAGCAATCCGGAGATTGTGAGTGACTATGGTGACTACGCTCAAGTTGTTCTCCGTCCGCGTTCGATGCTCGAGCAGATCAAGGTCAAGTGCAATGAGCTGCGTGATGCCGTTCAGGAACTGGTTGAGCTCTACGCGAACGTGTTCCGGGTGGCATTCTCTGTAAAGACTCCCGATTACTCAACAAGTAAGTTTGCTGATTAAAACCTAAACATATGTACATACTTAGTTCAGATTCTGTTTTATTTTTCAGCTCCAATTCCCATCTCCTGCGTGTCCAAGCCGATTGTGGTTTGCATTAACTGCTTACACAGACCACCGCCAAATTGGAAGTACGAGGATTACTCTCTCTGTGTCCAAATAGTCTATGGAACTCGCTTGCTGTCCAGGCCAAATGTGCTCACCTGCTCGAATGACACGAGTGGTGGCCTGTTTCCGCGACTTAACTTCAGTGCTTGGCTGACTTTCGATCAGCATCCCATTTGCACTCTGCCAAGAGAGGCCAGGATCACGTTCGTCTTGTATGGCAAGCAGGCGGCCAGCGAAGGTGAACCAAATGCAGAACAGAATGGTGAGCGGCGCCAGGTGACCACCGAGTTGGGTTGGTGTTCGATCCAGCTGTTTGACTTCAAGCGCGTGATGATCTGCGGCCCCTACTTGCTGTCCCTGTGGCCGCCGACCACGGACAAGATGTTGGGACCAGCGCCGGCGAGGGGTTGTCATCCGCATCCCGACTTTTGTCCCGTCTTGAGTATCGAGGTGCCACCGTACGGAGGGCGAATTGAGTTCCCCGAGCACCAGGAGATACCCAAACCTGCACCGCAGTAAGTAGAAGATTCAAAAGATATGATCGTAATAATAAAGAAACTAATTAAATGTTCTTATTCAGCTATGACTTTGCCTCTCTGGATGCCAATCTGCAAGAGGAGCTGCTGGACACCGCTGAGTTGGGCTACACTGGCGCAACGGAGCGTCGTGAAGTCTTCTGGGAGAAGCGTTTGTACCTCCAGAACTATCCCAACGCCCTGCCAAAGGTTTTGCATGCTGCGCACAGTTGGGATTATGCGAACTTGATTGATTTGCATGCACTCCTTCACTCGTGGGCACCGCTGTCACCTTTGCAATCGTTGGAGCTACTGCTGCCACGCTATCCAGATGCCAAGGTTCGCGAGAAGGCCGTGGAGTGGATCTCCAAGATGCCCAACGATCAGCTGGTTGACTTTCTGCCTCAGTTGGTTCAAAGTCTGAAGCATGACACGTACGAAGGCTCGGCGATGGCGCGATTCCTGCTGGCCAAGTGTCTGGAGTCGCCGCGTTTCGCCCACCACATGTACTGGCTGCTGGTGCACAGTCTGCCGGATGATCCGCACAACTCGATCGGCGCAGCCATGGTGGACCAGGAGTACGATGAATCGCAGGTTACCCAGGCGCGCTACTACCGCCGCAACAAGATGATGCTGCGCGCTCTGATGGCCATTTGTGGCGAGAAGATGCTGCAACGATTCATGTACCAACATCGCATGTGTCAGGTAACTTTTAACTTTCTTGGTCAATTAATTTCCTGGTTAATTCCATTTGATTTTGAATAATTATATACATATTTGTATAACTACATCCTTGTAACATCTTGTTAATCTTTTATGTATTGTTTATAGAAACTCACGACGATTGCGGAGTCCGTGAAAGAGGCCAAGGAGTCAATGCGTCAGAAGACCCTGGCCGCAGGCATGGACGAAGTGCATCAGGATCTGCTTGAGAAACCCACTTGCCTGCCTTTGGGACCCGAATTGGAGGTAACGGGAGTAAGTGTCCGGAATTGCAGCTACTTCAACTCAAATACGCTTCCGCTGAAAATAAACTTTGTGGGACCCGATGCCGAATCTTTACCAGCAATCTTTAAGGTAGATATTCTATTACTAATGTCATGCAAATCCTAAACTAATGAATCCAATCCACCAACAGTGCGGAGACGACCTGCAGCAGGATCAGTTAACCATACAACTAATTCGGATTATGAACAAAATGTGGTTGGCCGAACGCTTAGACCTGAAAATGGTTACCTTTAATTGTGTGCCCACGGGATATAAGAGCGGCATGATTGAGCTGGTCAACGAGGCGGAAACACTGCGAAAGATCCAAGTGGAGTATGGACTGACGGGTTCCTTCAAGGATCGTCCGATCCACGAGTGGTTGAGCAAGCAGAATCCCAGTACGTTGGATCACCAGAGTGCTGTGCGGAACTTCACATTATCCTGCGCTGGATATAGCGTTGCAACCTATGTGTTGGGCATCTGTGATCGGCACAACGACAATATCATGTTAAAGACTTCGGGACATTTGTTCCACATCGACTTTGGAAAGTTCCTTGGCGATGCTCAGATGTTTGGCAACTTTAAGAGGTATTGTAGTTGATCATAATATACTATTAAATTATTATAATTATTTCTTTTTATTCAGAGATCGCACTCCATTTGTTCTGACTTCCGACATGGCGTACGTCATAAATGGCGGAGATAAATCCTCCACTGCTTTTCACTATTTTGTGGACTTGTGCTGTCGGGCCTTTAATATTGTGCGAAAGAACGCGGATCTTCTTTTACATACTCTGGCTCACATGGCCACTGCCGGCATGACAGGAGTAAATTCGAATGCTGTGCAGTACGTGCGACGTGCTCTGCTGCCATCGCAATCGAATCCCGAGGCGGCCGCCACCTTTGCCAAGATGATACAGTCCTCGCTGAAAAGCTGGTTCACGCCGTTCAACTTCTTCTTGCACAATCTGGCTCAGCTGCGATTTACCCCCGATGAGGGAAACGGCGAGTTGCTGTCGTTCGTGCCAAGGAAATATACGTGAGTTTTCTGTACCATTAAATATTAAACAACTATATTTTAGCTAAATAAATCTTCCTTCTTTCAGTATGCAGCAGGATGGCCGCTTGAAGATTGTGAAAGTGGTGTGTTTCCAGAAGCATTATAGCATGGAAAAATTCTATATGTATATTCTGGAAGTGACGCGACATGGACAGCCGGATCCAACCCACTTGTTTAGATCATATCGCGAGTTTACCGAGTTCCATCAGAAGTTATGCTGGAACTTTCCCTTGGTTAAACTGCACAGGTGAGTTTGTCAATGGTATTATGCCTTTTAATAATTATTTAAATAGTTAGGAAAAACATTTTTTATAACGTTTGCCATTCCCTCGAATTTTTTTAAAACAATTTTCATTTTAAATGATTTATTATTACTAACAAATGATTTGTTTTTTATACTTACTGATAGGAGATTGATAAGTTGATTATATACCTTGTTTATGGTTACCCTTTTGCCAGTTAGTGACTTATGTCTATCAGGCATTTTATCTAGACATTGAAGAATGGAAAACTCACATGCCGTATAATCAATAACTGTACAAATATGTACTCAAAAAATGTTTGATTTTCGTTTTTAATAATTTTTTAAGGCCCCCAAGAACTATGTTAAAAATGTGTGTTTTTTATCTTCATGGGCTTTCCTGTTATAAGTTTATTATTATATTATATATAGTCAACACGATATGGCAACTTATCAGCGAAATGTATGTACATAAATAGGTCATAGCCTTTTGGCAATAATTAACACGTAAAATACTGTATTTGCTAAGGAAGTCAGAAAGTGCGGCAGTTGGCGAATTTAGGAAGGATTAGGCCTCGGAATCACTCCGCACAGCGTTTGTCCTCAGGGCCGCGGTCATGGAACGATGTTGGCTAATCGCGCGTCCAAAGCCATCGTCATCTTCATCACTGTCCTCCTGGGAGACTTGGGAACCGAAGAGACTGGGCACTCCGTTATTCCTCGGCTCGAAGATTGCGACGCGCTGCATTGGCGTCGGGCGAGGCAGTTGCTCATCCTCGCCGGACTCCTCGCCACTGGAGGTTACCACCTCGGCGGACTGGTAGTACTGCAGGTTATCCACGTCGAAGCGGACCTTCAGCGATTTCGGATCACGCCTGGCAGGTTGTGGAGCTGATGATCGGGCTCCATCCTCGCCATCCGAATCACTGGAACTGGAGTTGGGCAGCTCGCCGGGTTGATAGCACGCCAAAGGAGGAGCATCCCCCCGAACATTCAGGGTGGCTAGCTTTGTGGATCTTGGTGCTGGCTGAGGAGCCTGACGCACCAATGGCGCCACCATCGCCATTTCCTGGCACAATTCCTCGAAGTTCTGAATGCCATTACTCTGGTTAGGAGAAGCACCTGCCACCTGCAATCCATTCACTTCCAGATCCGCGTACAGATCCTCTATGCTACTCACATAGTTGGCTTTCTTGGACCTTTGCTCCATTACCTCTGTGTACTTGGGTAAATTCTGGCCGCTCTTCGCGCTTTCCAACTGCATGAGGGACTCGTAGTCGGGTAGATAGGGCAGACCAGGATCGTAGGGCGGTGGATCCACAACGGGAGCTGGCGGTTCAGGCTCGAAGATATCCAACCCGGGCTCCACCAGCTCCAGTTGATGGAAAAGACCCTCATCCCGTGGCACATTGTCCAATCCGAGAGTGGCTTCACTTAGCGTCGTCTCCACCGTGGGCAATTGCTCTAAACTATTTCTATTTGGATGGTGTGCCCAGTTGGGTTCTGGCAGATCCACCGCCGCGTCGAGGTTCTCGAAGTTCTCCCAATCCTCGTCGATGCTCTTGCCAAATCCTGGCGGACTACTGGCCGCCGGCAGCTGCAGCTGATCCAAATCCAGGATGTCCGCCTCGTTCATCACGAATGACGAACGGATTCGCACGAAGTCGCTATCGTGCTCACCTTGTGGCAACTCAAGATCTTCGAAGAGGTTCCTTTGCATTGGGAGCTGCATGCTTGGAGTTCCCTCCGTTTCCGGACTTCCTGCTATGATTTCCACCACGAAAGCGGAGTCTGCATGGCTTGCATCCTCGAAGGGATCTCTTCTTTGGCCGTCTGGTTTTGGTTCTTCCTTGGGAATTGCTCCTCGATGCACCACCGCTGTGACTGACAGAGCTCCTCCCAAACCATCATCCGGAGTCAGTGGCTCGGGAATCGAATCCTCCGGGGTGAGAATTTCCGGCACATCATCCACAGGCTCGAATTTGACGTAACGACCACTGTTTTTGTTGCTCAGCTGGGTTGCTTTTGTGACTTCCGTCGTTGGTTTCACACTGAACAGGTTGTATTTCTCGGCAAAGTGATCGAAATTCGGCATTCCCAGTTCGCTGGGAGGTTCTGGAACAGAATCAGCAGAAACTGAAGTCAGGGGTAGATTGTTTGGAGGCGAAACCCTGCGTAAAGTTGGAGCATCAGTCGCAGCTTTAGATGATGATGATGGTATAGATTCCGGTATTTTAGATGGAGAAGGTAACGCTTGTGTTCCCTCATCTATATCCGTTTCTACGGGAGGAGCAGGTGGCTTTCGGGTTGGTGGAGAGGTATAGTATTCATAGCGTTCACTGTGCACCTCCATTCGCTGGACTCGCAGAGCCTTTGATTTGTCCCTATAGGAGACCTCTGATCCTTCAGTGGTTTTCGTCTCCCTGGGACTGGCACCAAATAGTTGCAGATTTGGAACGCTACCAGTTATGTAGTTGTTACCTATTAAAAAAAGATAATTTAAATTACTAAAATGGTTGGTTAATTAAAAGGAAATTCTATTGACAGAAATATTACTTGGCATATGAATAGAAAAATTTTTATAATTAGTTCTTCAAAGTTTACTAAACAGTTTGCTCTAAATATTAAAAAAAAAAATATTTATAAAAGATCTGTGAACTTGACGTTTTCAAAAACAAGTAACCAAGCATTTTCTTTAAATAGTTAAAGAGTCAGGAAATTTCGACACTTGTTACTTAAATATAGTAGTTTCGATTCAATGCCTTCGGTTTGCTATCTTCACCTGTCGCTGTTGATGGCGATGGCCATGGGCTTTCGAATTCCTCGAGATTGCGCCGTCGGAACACTCCGTGAACAGCGGTATCGGTGCCATTAACCTGTTGAATTACACAAATTGCATTTTAGGGTATTGCGATATTCGGAATTCATTATGAACAGCTGCTGATCAGTGGGATGCGTCACAAGTGCAAATGCAAAAGGTGTTACACATGACCACAGACACGCCAACTCAGACGAGTATGAAAAAAACACGTCCATGCGATAAGGTGTGATTTTACCATTCGCTTTGAGATGTCTGTTTAACTATGATTTCGATAAGCGATTTAGCCTTCTTGTTTCAAGCAACCTGTTTTTTATGGGAAACCACAAAACTAATAGTTATTGGTAAGATACAAATGAAGTATGTCTGTTTTTGATTTGAAGGTTTAAATCTAAAGAGAATTTACAATTGAATTAAGCGAATGTTTATGGCTGCCCATTGAAAACTCGTAAAATTCTTTCATTCAACTTCCTTCTGCAGCATAGAATTTAAATGAAGAACCCCGCCATTCTAGCCAATATTCAGTTGAGTGAAAGCCGATTTAGAATTCGATTTGCATTCCTCACGCCCCCATCGCTATCTGTCCAACTTACACACTCTCCAAACTGATATAGCCACAACACCTGCGAATGTTTGTGTTCGTATTTGCCCTGCCTTATCAGAACCACTCGTCGTTGGATCTGTGTATTCGTAAATATATGTATTTATATATGAATATATATATGGGTATCAGTCAGTGGTGGTATCGGTATCACATTAACCTTTATAAACTGCGTGCATCGGCTGTTAAGTTCTTGTGATTTGCATACGCACCTGAGACTCGAAAGCTGCGTAACGTGGCGGATTGATTGTGGGCTGTTGATTTTGCTGCGGCGACTGTTGCACCTGCGATCCACCGAAAGTCAAACGCCGCCGGAAGCCAAAGAACTTGATGCCCAGCAGGGCGAAAACCAAACCCATGAGCAACATGGCCGAGGCGACCAGTGGGCCAACAAAGGCCTGCTGATCTGGAGAGATTATTCAATGAGGGGTAAACAAATTCTGGAAGATAATCTAATAGCCGATGGATCACCTACCTTGGCCCACATTCGTTAGCTGGGCCATGTCTTTCGTGTCTCCTCACCAGCAAATCTGTTGGCTTGGCATTCTGACTTTAAGTCGACGGCTTTGTTTTGGCCAAAAATATATAAAATGAAATGAAACTTCACCACCACGTCGTCTGCTAATCGAAACGCTCTTTGGGCTTCGGCTCCTCCGTTCCGTTTCCCAGTTCGCTTGTCGACTGATTGAGCGCTGACGTTGCCGCTACCGCTTTTGGCGGAGCGGAGCGTTCCGTTCGCCGCTTATCGAAGCGATTCGGGCCCGATATCTCACTCACTCACTCACTCACTCTTTCACCCACTACATATTAAAGGTTCTGGCTCTCCCACTCTCTGCAATAATAATTCTGCAATAATTCTCCGGTTCTCCGATTCGGGTGAAATCAGTCCCACTGAGTCGCCGATTTATCAGCTATTAGCGGTGTTACCTCAGTGCCATGGACTTTGGGGGAGACGCTCTGCCAGCACTGATAAGTAATCGCCAATTTGTACCATGATTTGTCAACGCACCTTCACAAACCGCTGACTCTACAAACACCATGAAAAAAATAATAATGGCTTCTCAATGACCGGCTATTAAAAGCTGCCGACGAACCGTATCTTAGGCGATAGATAGTAACGCCCATGTAATTATAGATAATCCGATTTTGTTTACACTCAATTATTACCAATTTGATCGATCTTTTGTAAGTATTTTGTTACGGTTAAATGTAATACGACCGACTGTCCGGATCGCTATTAGCAAACTTGTTTGTCAGCTTTTCTGGCATGAAAAATGTTTAACTAAATAATCAATTAGTATAGGTAATTAATATTATAGTTTCACATTGTTCCTATTTGAATAATGAGTTTTTAAGTTGTATAATTATTTCAAAAGCCCTTATTTTTTATTTAAACAATATAATAATATATAAATAAATACCAATTAAATATCTGTTTGCAACCCACATTTTTAAATCATGTTTTTCCCCTTTTTTTTAGTCTTCCGGCTGGCGTTCATGTGGGCCGTTCTAATATCAAATCTGTGGCAGAAAAACGACTACCTCTCATACAGCGATTCTTGAAATCACTGTTCGATGCGTCCGAGGAAATAGCGCATTCCGAGCTCGTGTACACATTCTTCCATCCGCTGCTGCGCGATCAGCAGGAGGCCAAACTAGGGATGCCAAAGATAAAGGGTGAGATAATAAATTAATTAAGTAAATACATATACTATATTTAAATAAATGTATAAATATGTTGCAGAGGTGAAGCGACAACCTTCGCGGGATAATCCTGACGAGATTGGCCAAATTCGACTATCGCTGCAGTATCAACGCGGCGTACTTACTGTGATGGTGGGTGGTACTATATAGTTTGATTTATGATAGTTTAATCATTGGACCTCTGAATCGTTTATTGCAGATACACCACGCCAAAGGACTGCCCATGTTGCAGGGCGGTCAGGAGCCAAACACTTATGTGAAGTGCTACCTAAAACCGGATCCTAAAAAGGAGACCAAACGCAAGACCAAAGTGGTGCGCAAGACCTGTGTTCCCAGCTTCATGGAAACGGTATTAGAATTACCTTTATTATCCTGGGAATGTCTTATTAATTTGTGGATATTTCTTTGTAGTTGGAGTACCGCATGCCCCTCAATATTATCCAGGAGCGGAGACTGCAGGTCACCGTCTGGTCACACGATACGCTGCAGGAGAACGAGCTGCTCGGAGGCTTCGAGTTGGATCTGTCGAAACATGACCTGCGCCAGGAGCACTGCGATTGGCATCGCCTGGGCACGGTGCCCAGGAACTGACCAGATCGGACGAGCGAGCTCTGAACTTCTTGGGACACTCTGCCTACCGACAATCAGGCCTAGGATTATGCAATACTAATATATGTTTGTGCCTGTCCTCCCTTGATCGAAATAATACTTAAATACTTGAAGTGATTGTACATTCCATATACAACTATTATATATATAACTTATAAGTAGAAGTGTTATTTCTTTCAACTTGTGCCTCAGATGTAAATATTTTATGCCCACCACATAAAACATTCTTTGGACATTTAATTGTAATTATAACTCTAAAGTTTAACTTTGCACCTACTTTCTACTTTTAATTCGATTGAAGTTGGATGAGATTTTAAATCGATCAATTTTATTGTGCACTTTGGGAATTTAGAAAATTTTGCATATTGGTAGTTTTTAGTTCGAAACATTCTGTTGTAGGTAAACGGGAAATGTTCTTTTCGAGTAGTTAAATAAATGTTCAGTATTATGACTAAAAAAACGTTAGAGATTATAAATTCTCTATACTTCAAATAAATTAGTTTCTTTTTTCGATGAAGGTCTATTTGTGCACTATGAAACTTAATATTAAATAATTTACATTAATAAATTACTACTCCTTTTTCGACGTCTACTTACTTAATAATTAAACAAATCCGAAAATCAGACCAAATCATTACGCACAGACTCAAATTGAAAAACTAATGGTATATGTAAATCAAAAGCACACTTTTTAATCTTCACTCAGCTGCTTTCAGTCTCTCAATGAGATCACTTTGCCTTTGGCAAGCGTCTGTGCTTGGGTCTAAACTCAACTCTTAACTACTAACAACAAATTTACAAGGAAATAGTTGATAACAATCAGAGAGAACAAGTACTAAAAGTGTCTTAACAAATTAAACGAATATTGTAAAATATGTATAAGAGCATACACCGCAATCAACAGATTATATTTTTATAAACGGAAACCATTTAAGAGCTACATCTGCCTGAATATTTTAAAAAAGTACTTTGAAACTATCGGTAATGTATCTGTTTTTATAAAAAGAAGAACAAAGTTAAGGAAAAATTCAAAACTATTCTGTAAATGCTGAGGGGTAACAAAATTTGTAAACTGATGTAATAATCAATTTTTTGGCACAAATATATAAGCATAACAAATAAAAAAACTCACGCTTTTTTATTTAAGGAAGTTTTTTAAATGCCTGAGAGAAAAATAAATTCTAATTTCTATATATTTCTATATATCATATTTTCATATTGAAATTTTAACTTCTACAAGTACTATATCTTTATAAAAATAGTTATATTTGCTTTTTCTGTTCGAACCAGGTGTTCGACAGAGGCTCAAACCTGAATAGTTCAGTTTCGTTTGTAAATAAAAATTGTCGATCCAGTGAGGAGCTGAGGAGATGGCGGCTGCCAACATGGAGAAGGGGGAGCTAATGAGCCAGGTGAAGCAGCAGATCGCGCTGGCCAACGCCCAGGAGATGCTCTCGAAGATGACGGAGAAGTGCTTCAAGAAGTGCATCCAGAAGCCGGGCAAAGCCCTGGACACCACCGAACAGCGATGCATTTCGCAGTGCATGGACCGCTTCATGGACGCCTGGAATCTCGTTTCGCGCACCTATGGAAATCGCTTGCAGAGGGAGCAGTACAGGAATCTGGACACGGTGGAGATAAACAACTGATCTCCTTGCCATTAAAGTATGATTTATTTTATTTTTGATCCGATCTCAACTGCATTTTGAGTCGTTTTTAATCATTTGCCAGTGGCAACTTATGCTTATCGCTGCTAAAGAGTGATAACCTCCTGATTATATATACATATAGTAAAGTGCAAGTGCAATGGAAGACCCTCTTGGGGATTGGTGGGGGTTGTCTTTTGGGTATAAACCGATAGCCGTCAGCTTGATATGTGCACTTTTCCTGATCGTTATCGTGTTTGGAATGGTCTCGTTAGCTAACGGATGAGCAAGTGCCCCGGCTCACTGGCCCAAAATGCAGTTTGCAAGGAGAGCACCGAATGTGTAGTTTCGAGACCACTCTAATCCATTGCATGATCTCTCGGTGTATGCAAATTCGACTAGATTTTCTTGCCAATTACGAAGTTTTTCTTGGTTGGCAAACTATATGGGTTAAGGGTTTGATTAGTATTATAATACATTTTCACGAAATATCTTTAATATGTGTCTTGAATAAAATCTTATTTATAATATGAAAAAAATTGCAAAAAAAAAAAGAAAAGTTTTCATTGATGAATTCGTTTTAACAATATTAATTTAAATGCAGAAGAAATTTACTTAGTTGTAATAATAATTAATATAATATATTATTAAAACCACAATGCAATCATTAATTGATTTTACAAAATATTTACCATAAATTCAATGTCTAAAGGTTTCTGCTTTTAAACAAAAGTTTAGTAGCTCACCAAACTTTTGCGACCCAAGCTGATTATTCTAAAAAATAGATCACCGGTTTTAAGAATTAAACATGACCCCCTGATAGCTAAACCAATTTAAGGCCACTTAAATCAAAATTAACATGACTGTATGCATTTTTGTTGGTGGGCCAAGTTAAGTTAGAGGAGTTATCAAAAGTATGTGGTATCAGTACCGGCTAAAGCACCTTGAACATGGCAAATTACGGAAATTCTAGCAGGTGCAGGTGACCCCGTGCACTGGCCAAAAAAAATGCTGCAAGTAATTCCAAAATTAATAAAAAAAAAAAAAAAAAAAAACGAAAAAATCAAAAATAATAAAAATGCAAAAGATAAAATGCGAATTCGTGGCCGAACTTATTGGCTCGAATACCAGAGGTAACAAAATCCGACATGGGATCTTTCCTCAACTAGGTACATTCGAAGCCACACAAGTTACGATAAGAGTGCGGGCCAAAACGGTGCTATGTGCTGGAGATCGGAGCTTCCCATCCAAAGCTTTCTATCGCTCTAAAAATAGATATAACGCCCACCTGTCCCGCCCCTCCCAAAACCATCAACAACAACAACAACAAGTGGCCCGGGGTTTTGAGTAATCATTGCAAGAATACGGGTGCGATAAGTGCTGAGACGGTTCCTTATCATCAACAACTAATCGGAAATGTTCCATGGAAAAGGGAGGGTGGACTGGAGGGTTGGCGTATGGTTGGGTCCGCCCCAAGGGGCAAAGGGGGGGTGGTGGGCACTTGTGGGTGGGATACGTATACAACGGTCGGCATTGGCGTCCGCCCAAGGTGAGCTGAGATAAAGACTCGCTGACAGCTCCATTACGGTTCCAGATTAGACAGATTATAAATGCGGTCGGAAGACCTTTCCAGAGACAATATAATCGCTAATCAAGATCGTGCAAATAGTTGTTATTTTCATATTTATATTTTGTTTTATCAGGGGCTTTACCAAAATCTCATCCAAACGTATTTTCACAGTCAAATCTCGCTTACATAAATCTCTTTAAGTTTTTTTCAAGTAATATTTAATAAACTCTGTAATACTATTAGCTTTTTGGGTTAATAGAAATTTAAGCTATTTAATGCATTTTATAATGTTAATTTATTTTATGCTTACATATACTTAATGGATTTGCAATGGACAAATCATTTTAAAAATGTATTGCAAGCCCCAAATCTGTTATACAATTCGATCTGTAATTTCATCGGAAGTTTTCCACTCCTTATCTAAGAACCGAAAAAAAATTAAAATTAAGAAATCTGTGAACGAAAATACATTGAATAATATTTTGTAAAACCTAGTACATTTTTTTCGTTCATCGTTTTGCATAATATGGATATTTTTACTTCCTTTTTTTGCAATTATGAAACATGTGTTACAATCTACAAGCATTCTGTTTTGGTCGTTAGTTAATTTGCTTAAAATACTTGTACTTTACAAATTGTTGTACACATTCCACTTAAGATAACTTACTTGTTTTTCAACGAAAATGTAAAGTATAAAAGGAGTGAACATGGGCCTGCCCCATAGCATTTTCTTCAATGTGCTTTTAAAATGCTATGTGGTAAGTGTTGAGAAAGTCAATTCCCGAAATGGATATTTCATCGCTTTTATTTTTCAGAAAAAGTCCTTTGGGCTTTGCTTTGGTTCCTTCCTCAGGCCCTCGCAAAGGATTTCTGCGTGGGGCAATCGTTTGGATCCAGAGTCGTCGATCCCGAAGACCCTCGATCTTACTATCTCTGTTTCGGATTTCTCGGCCAAATAAAGAATACTTGCGAAAATGGATATAGCTTTGATGGTGAAACGCTGGCATGTGTATTCGAAAGCCAATCATCCTTAAAATCACTGAGACAGCAAAGAAAAGATGAAGGTAAAACGGAAGTGAACATCAGGCAACATGTGAATGTGGACAGACCACTTATCTTCAACATCTTTGGAAACTTCAATTTCTTTGCAAGTCTATGGGGTAATTCCGAGGTTACCACTCCTTCGCCCCCGAAAACCAACTCCATAGTTCACATGCAATTATTTAACAGTGTCGGGGATGTTCAACAAAGTGAAAACGTGCAAAATATCAACTCTTTAACAGCTTCCAGTTCTGCAAATGATTCTTTAGATAGTGCAGCTGAGAATAACTTAACTAGCTCAGAAGCTCCGAACTCATCCTCTTCTGAATCCTCAGCAGATAGTTCTTCAGAGAGTCCTTCCACAAGTGAATCACCACCGGAAATTTCCACTGAAGCAGGAGAAAGTTCCACACCGGAAAGAATTTCCAGCTCAGAGGAACCCTCAACCACAGAAGCTGGACAAGAAAGTAGCTCACATGTCCCCTTGTCCACAGAATCCTCACTGGAGGATATCTTCCTTAACTCGGAAAGTTCTTTGACCACAGAATCATCACCTGACATCGATTCAAGTACCGAAAGTGCCTCCACAGAATCAGAACCAGAAAGTTCAACTCAGAAAAGTATCTCGAGCTCTGAAAATCCAGAAGCAGAGAGTTCTACCCAAGAAAGTAATTCAAGTTCGGAAAGTCCTTCTTCCACAGAAGCTTCTGAAGAGGATATAATTCTAAGCTCGGAAAGTCCTTCAACAGAATCTGAACCGGAAAGTTCCACACTGGAAAGTATCTCAAGCTCAGAACTATCAACTGAATCAGAAGCAGAGAGTTCTACCCAAGAAAGTAGTTCAAGTTCAGAAGATCCTTCGTCCACAGAAGCTTCCGAAGAGGATATAATTCTAAGCTCGGAAAGTCCCTCAACGGAATCTGAACTTGAAAATTCCACACAGGAAAGTATCTCTACCTCAACCTCTGAAGATTTATCGTCCACAGAATCTTCAGCAGAGGAAAATGAGTCTTCTTCAACAGAATCAGAAGCAGAGAGTTCTACCCAAGAAAGTATTTCAAGCTCGGAAAGCCCTTTGTCCACGGATGCCCCTCTAGAAGATATAGTCATAGGATCGGAAAGTCCTTCGTCTACAGAACCAACAACAGAAATTGCTTCCAGTTCGGAAGGCTCCTCAACAGAATCTCAGCTCGAAAGTTCCACCCAAGAGAGTGGTTCAAGCACTGAAAACTCTTCCACAGAATCATCCGCAGGAGAAGTGGAGTCTTCGTCGACAGAATCTAAAGCAGAAATTTCAACTCAAGCGAGTAGCTCAAGCTCTGAAGACCCGTCTACAGAATTATCAACAGAATCAGAACCAGAGAGTTCTACTCAAGAAAGTAATTCAAGCACTGAAACCTCTTCATCCACAGAATCATCCACTGGAGAAGAGGAGTCTTCGTCAACAGAATCTGCACAAGAAAGTTCCACCCAAGAAAGTAGCTCGAGCCCTGAAGAACCCTCGTCCACAGAACAATCAGTAGAAAGTTCAACCGAAGAGAATATTTCAAGCTCTGAAGATCCCTCGTCTACAGAACCATCCGTAGAAAGCTCAACAGAAGAGAATCAAGAATCAAGCTCTGAAGATCCCTCGTCCACAGAACCATCAGTAGACAGCTCAACGGAAGAGAATATTTCAAGCTCTGAAGATCCCTCGTCTACAGAACCATCCGTAGAAAGCTCAACAGAAGAGAATCAAGAATCTAGCTCTGAAAATCCATCGTCCACAGAACCTTCAACAGAATCCACAGAAAGTGGTGTCTCCGAAGAACCATCCTCAAGCTCGCCACCTTTGGAAAGTTCAACGGAAGAGAGTATATCCAGCACTGAAAGTTCTCCTCCAGAAAGTTCTACAGAGAATGTTTCTTCCAGTTCCGAAAGTCCCTCATCCTCGAATCCTTCCACAGAGCCATCGCCACCCAGCTCAACTGAGGATATCATATCAAGCTCTGAAAATCCAACGACTTTAGAACCATCAACAGAAACCACAGAGGAAAATGTATCCAGTTCCGAGAATCCTTCAAGCACTCAATCTTCTCCGTGCACCACAGCAAAAGATGATGACTCCGGAAATAGTGGATCTGAAAGTGGAATCTCCACAGAACCTTCTCCAGCAGAAACTACAACTGAGGAGAATATCTCTAGCCCAGAAATTCCTTGCACCACAGATTCAAATCCTGTAGTTACCACAGACACACCTGAAAATCCTGCGACCACTGAACCCTCAGAAAACACCACAGAAAAGGACGGTGGCTCCGGAAATGGTGGTTCGGAAAGTGGAGTCTCCACAGAGCCACCTCCATTAAGTTCGACAGAGGAAAGTGTTTCCAGTTCGACAGAGGAAAGTGACTCCAGTTCGACAGAGGAAAGTGTTTCCAGTTCCGAGAGTCCTTTGACCACAGAGCCTGCAGTAGAAACCACAACTGAAAGGAACAGTTCGGAGAATCCATCCACAGTTACTACTACTACACCATGTACTGCAGTTTCAACTCCAAAAACTTCCACCGAGATACCCGAAAGTCCATCGACCACCGAATCCTCACCAGAAACCACAGAGAAGGACGGCGGCTCTGGAAATAGTGGATCCGAAAGTGGTATTTCAACAGAGTCTCCTCAGGAAACTTCGACAGAAAATAATGATTCCAGCTCCGATAATCCCATAACCACCGAACCTTCTAGCACTGAGGTGGATAATCCCAGTACCGATAATCCAACCACAAGTACTATTCCATGTACCGCTGCTTCAACATCACAAAGCTCCACGAAGATAGCAACCACCACAGAACCCCCACCTTCCACCGGAGAAAACTTTGGAGAACCCGGAAATAATGGTCCTGGAGGAGGAACTTCCACAAGGACATCAACGCAAACTTCGACAGAAAAGAATGTTTCCAGTTCTAAGAATCCCATAAACACAGAACCTACTACAACTTCAAGAAATGATGTCAGTTCCGAAACACCACTTACTAGAACCCCACCAAAACCAGAAACTTCAACATTGAAACCTCCAACTGGAACTTCGACAGAATATAATATTTCCAGTTCTAAAAATCCCATAAACACAGATCCTACTACAACTCCTAGAAATGATGTCAGTTCCGAAACGCCACTTACTAGAACCCCACCAAAACCAGAAACTTCAACATTGAAACCTCCAACTGGAACTTCGACAGAATATAATATTTCCAGTTCTAAAAATCCCATAAACACAGATCCTACTACAACTCCTAGAAATGATGTCAGTTCCGAAACGCCACTTACTAGAACCCCACCAAAACCAGAAACTTCAACATTGAAACCTCCAACTGGAACTTCGACAGAATATAATATTTCCAGTTCTAAAAATCCCATAAACACAGATCCTACTACAACTCCTAGAAATGATGTCAGTTCCGAAACGCCACTTACTAGAACCCCACCAAAACCAGAAACTTCAACTCAGGGAAACCTAGTTAGCACATCAACTTTGGAACCTCCAACTGGAACGACCACGCGTCTTCCTGAAGTATTGAACGATTGCAGTAACTTGGTAAATGGAGTCTTTCTCAGGGATCCACAGTCTTGCAACAAATACTATGTGTGTCTCAATGGTAAACCGATTCCAGGCCATTGTCCCAGAAATCTGAACTTTGACATCAAGCGGAAGGTATGTAACTTCCCCAGTTTGGTGGACTGTTCCGCCGAAGAAGTTCTGGAAAATGTTACCAAAAAACCCTCGAACACAGAGTCGGATATTGATTGCAATTCCTTGAAAAATGGCGCTTATGTTAGAGATCCGAAATCGTGTAGCAAGTTCTATGTTTGTGCCAATGGACGTCCAATTTCTCGTCAGTGTCCGCGGGGACTTTACTTTGACACCAAGTCAAACTTCTGCAATTACCCGAGTCTGGTTCAATGTTCTATAGAAGAGAATCAAGCGGGTGTAAATAAAACATTGCTAAAAGATGAATCCTCAGATATTCCTGAAGCTTTACTGGCCGAAGGACTCCCCGATTGCAGCAAAGTTAAAGAGGATACACGATTTGGTGATGTTGATCAGCACAATAAATATTACGTCTGTCTGGAGGGAAAGGCTGTTCTGCACTACTGCAGTCCAGGAAAATGGTTCGACCTTCGAAGTCAGAAGTGCATCGATAAGCGACTAGCTAAAGTGAATTAACAAACAGAAACCTTTTAATATTAAGTACATGTCTTGATCTGTATTCTAGTTATAGGATTGTGGTGGTAGGGTTTATAGAATATATATATTTTGGGATTACGGGTAACACTATAGGAATTATTTTATATTAGAGTGGTTACTGACTCAGAAGTTACATGCAGACTCTAATGCTTCCTATCCAGTTGATACACTACTTATCCTGCTTAGAAGATATAAAACAAATAAAGTACTTACAAATATAACATAAAACAATTCCACAACGAGAAGGTTTTAAATGAAATGGGAAATGGGTTGTTCTCAATTATATTAAAAGGTACACTAAAACTTAAAAATATTGCATTATGTCTAAGTAAAATATAAAGTGCTAAAAAAAGCCTAGTTTATCTTTGTTCTTTTATAGCGCTGTCAAGTTTGAAACGGCGTCTTAAAATTGCAAAAAGAAGTCCGATTAGCGATTAAAAGCAAAGCGGCCTCTCCATTATTATTTAAGCCAGCTATCTCGGCGCTTTTTGGCGTGGCAAAGGCAAAGGCCAGACAGCCGCTAATTTCTTTGTGCGGCGGAAGTGACGCCGGCCACAAAGTTATTCCATTTAAATTTAATTACGAGATAAACGCATGTTCCTGATGTTTCTGACGTAGGCGCTTAGGCTCGACTGCGCTCGAAAGTGGGGAGCGTGCTGGCTCCGGTTACCTTAAAGCCGTCGACGACTCCGTCTACGCTCCGTTTCGGTCTCCGGCTATAATTAAATTGTCCAAGGATCGGGAGGAGGTGGAGGAGGAGGGTCCTTTTGTGGGCGGCCGTGGCAGACTGACAGGCACTTTGCGTCACTGTCGTGCGGCGACAAATTACAGGACACGGCGGCTCCTTTTGCGCGCCAACTCATCGATGGAAGAATCCGGGGGTGGTGCTGCCTCGAAATCGATTTGATTCCAAGGCGAGTCCAGACTTCAGACATCAGACATCAGACGCACCAGTCTCATGTTACACTTGCCATCTGATAAGAGCCCACGACACCACCCACCCGTTTTTCAGCGCCTTCTTAGCAATCATGTGGAAAGTAAATCTATGCAGGCCTATCGTAATAGAGGGTTTTAAAGTAAGCCCTGCTAGAGTGCCAGTAGGAGATTACTTTAGATTAAAAAGTAAAATTTTATTTAATAATATCATAGATATTAAAAGATGAAAGTTTACATTCAAAAATGTACATTGATGTACATAGTTTTGCCTCTGGATATACGGTGCCAAGTAAAAGTCCAGTTGGTTACAAATAATTAAATATTTAATGATACGATAAGCCTTTTAACCTTTTAAGATTAAGGTGCAGATTCAAAATCATTCAAAGAAAACCAAGTTATCCCCAACAGGGCGCCAAATTTGACTACAGTAAACTCTACCTAAATCGAATAGAACAAGTTAAAAAGATAGTGAGAGAAAAATAGGGGGAGTTTTGAATTGTGTGCTGAGAGAGCGAAATAGAATGCCAAAGGGGTGGTTGAATTTAGGTGGCAGGTTTTTTTTTTCTACCCCCAAAGGCGCCGGCTTCAGTTCGCCTTCAACTTCGCTCCTCTCCGGTTGTCACAATGATTCGTTTGAGATAAATGTGCAATTTCGGTGCTTTAAATATAAACAAATGCAAAGGAAGATATAAACCTTGTGTTAAACAGCAAATGGAAAGTGATAACTAAACCTGCAACTAACTATTTTCACTGCAAATATAAGCCTCAAACTGTCCACCCATTTTCGGAGTCTCAGTGGAGCTGTCTATCTATCTCGCTCGCACACGGCTTTGCAATCGATAAGCGTAACAGCAGTGCTGTCCACTCGTTCATCGCTGTTAGCTTTTCCCGTTAACTTACAGCAGCGAGTGTTTGGAGGTAAAAAGTTTAAGGCGAGACGCCAAAATAATCGCCATTAAAATCAAACGAGTCACAGTCGCAGTTGAAACGTTGAGTGAGAAGCTTTTCGTCGCGCTGTGCCAAGCCAAAATTTATTAAAATATACTATGAAATATAAAACTTAATATTCAATATACACGGGCAAAGCTTATTTCGTAGAAATAAACGCTTGAGCTTTTGCGTACAAACAAGTTCGAAGTCCAGTTGTGAATTTTTAAGTGATAACTCTTGATTGTGTGAGTAAATCTGTATAGTATGAAAAAAACACGCGATTAATCAGGAGGCTGTATGGAATTACCAATAAACAACAAAAGCCAAGTGCATAATAAATTCAGTTAGTGTGTCGTAAAAAATACAAAAAAAAGGACGAGTATTGCGAATGGGCACCGCTTTTAAGGACCACAAAAGCGGGAACGGTAACGGTAGCGTTAAGGGGAATAGGAATTGGAATTGGAATAGGAATAGGAACAGGATCGGGGGTTGCTGCTCCCGTATTCCCTGTGTGTTGAGGTCATTTGCACTCATTTGTCGCAAGGACCAAAAAAGGGGGTGGATTTTTGGCTCGCCGGTTCGTCTCATTCATCAGAGAGCCGCAAAACGGAGCCGTCAAGTTGAGTTTTACACATTTTACGCCCTCGACTACGAGTACTACAAGCGAGTAGTATCCGTTTTCTCCGCTCTCTTTGCGAGAGCGCGCTGTGTGAGCGTGCAAGGACTTCTGTTAAGCCTGTTGTCTCGCTCGCACTCGCAGTGCAGTGGTGTGGTCGATGGCGAAGGTCCTTCACGCATATCCCTGGCATATATGTGCATGTGTGTGTGTGTGTGTGCAGGAGTACATACTATAACAGCAGACGAATGTGTGAAAGTAGTGTCAAGCGTCACACACACATCAAAACATACACAAACACACACACACACTCATGTGCCAGGGTCAGGTCAGGAAGTGTGGTAATGGAGGATTATTCTGTTGCTTTCCCCAACTTTCCCCCACTCCATTTCTCGGGCTGCTCCGTTTTGGATTTTCTAATTTATATTTTTTGTTCGACCAGGTTTTAGCCAAGGCTCACCGACAGGTGATTTATTTGTGTCCGCACTCCATAAAGCCCAGTAGTTCTCGCTGCAAGCCGTAATCCTGGCCACCACTCGAGGGACGCATATAAAAACAGTCAGGATTCCCTAACTAGTACTAACAACACAATGGGAAACATGAATCAGGGAAACATGACCTAATAAGATTTGTTTTTGAAGAACCCTGTAAGCTAAAACATATTTTAACTATATAAATACACAATAACATTTTTATAAATATCTAACAAGTTAAAAACAATTAAATTTTGACATGTGAAGTTCCACTGTTTCTGTACCCTTTTCACTTTTTATAACACGAAAAGCTATTCAGGTAATTTAATTTATAAAACTTGACACTAATTAGTTTCCAAACAATTAACTCCTTAAAATCATTCATGTTATTTGTGTGTTTTTAGTTGTCAGATCTTTTTTCGAATTAAAATGTACTCTAAATTGGTTAGTTCGACCCTAATAAATTTGAGCATAAAGCTGGATAATTCTGTTACTGCTCCTGCGGTGGACACTCAACTCCGAGTCGCTGGAGCAGCCAGGCGTATTAATCATTAGCCTGACCTCGACCCTTTCGAAGCAACCCCTGAAAAGCCCCATTTCCCCCCATCGAAGAGCAGAAAAACAAGTTGATGGGGCTGTCAGCTTATGTGCTGCGCTGGGCACAAATGAGAAAACTGCCAATGGCTGAACATAAAAATAAATAAATAAATTTGATTGCGATTGCGGTTTCTTGTCTGGACTTGGACACGGACTTGGATTTCGCCCCCCGGGCTCGCCCTCGCCATTAATCTGTCAGTGGGATTTGGCCGAAAGGCAAATCGAGGGCTTTGATTTTTTCGTACTTCGCCATCCGATTGCTCTTGTCATCATTGTGGCCGCTTTTTGCGTCTTGGGATTGTCTCAGCTGTCAGTCGTTAGGGCTTCTTGTCAACACCCTTTCCACTAAGCCATCTTCCCCAGAAAGTCCGCCACTTTCACGGTTTGTCATCGCAATCGCCATGGAGGCACAATCTCATGATTTGGCACTTTTGCAGCTTAAGGAAATGGGCATCATGAGTGGCGAAACGAAGGGTTTTCTCAGCACTCCACAAATGGGAGTGGTTATTTGTGAAATTTAAGATATTTTAAAAAAGAAGAATATTTTTCAAACTTTTATTTATGTTTAATAAAATGTTGTAAGTCTTTAAAATATTTCTTTAAAAATAAAGGAAACGTATTTTTGCTCTTTGAAATTCCTTTTAATTGTCATCCTTTTTGGTATATTTAATTTAAATGCTGGGTGCTATTGTAAAATGATCTTGTGTGCACATAATGGAAAAAAAAAACATAAAAGTACTAAATTCAGCAGAAAATGACTTCAAAAATACACGCGAACATGGCTCGCACAAAAGACCTAAACGAAAGCGATGGCCAAAACAATGTGGCCCTCCCGAAAACCCTTTCTTGCCACAGAAATTACTCATTCGCCGTGGAGCACGAATGTACTTACACATTGTGACGTGTTTCTCTGTTTCTGCTGTTGTTCTTGTTTTTATTGTTGTTACTGCTGTTAGTGTTGTTGTTTTTGTAGTTGTGGCAGTCGCTGTTGGCAGCTCGGTTCCGTTTTCAGCAGACAAATAGACATGCCCCGTGCAGACGTGAGTCAGACATGGACGGAGACCGGCGGACACCGATACGGACGCGGACCCAGACGGACAAACGGACAGACGGACAGGGACGGACAGGGACGGACAGGGAAGGACAGGGAAGGACACTGGCGGACAGACAGGGAAAAGCGGTTGGCAAACATGCATGCACCCAGAAAAATAATATATATGTATCATTCGTTGTTACCTTAAAAATTGTTCTCACCAAGGATGAAAAAAAACCAATTTTATTTTTAGCTGTCGCCTACAGTATCCTTATTTAACTTTCTTCATTTTGTAAATAATTTTTTTAATAAAATAGAGCCCTTCAATTCTACACTTTTTTAATTAACTAATTACAGATATTTTTTGTTCTATGGTAGAATTTAATATTTTAGGACTTTTCGCTAAACAAATAATATTACTTTAAACAAATTAACATTTCTTTTGCTCATCAGGATTAAAAAGTATAATTTCCTAAAAATAACATTTTGTATTTACTTTTTTTTTTTTTTAAATAAAACATATTTATGGTTAAACAAAAGGATTAAAAAGTTTCTGGATCTTTTCGTATGTGTATGTGGGTGGAGAAAATATGCGAAATCCGTTAGCAATTGTTGGCGGGTGTTGGCGAAGTGTTGCCAACATAAAACACTCCGCCGCCATAACGTAATTTCTTTTGTTTATAGCGTCCTGCAGTTAATACATTTGCATTGTGTGCGGTGTTGCCGAGGTGTCGGCGAATGCTCCCCACACGACTCCAGTCGCAGGACAACAAAGGGCATCCCTTCGTGACTCCCCCTTTTTGGCCATTGTTGCCACTGCTCTTACTGCTCTTACCGCCCTTACTGCCAATGTTTTTCCTGCTACCGTTTTCGACGTATTTACTGAAAGCCAAAGTGAGCGTTTTTTGCGTGCTTTTAACGCCCTGTCAAAAATTGTTCAGGTGCCGAGCGAACTGGATTTTTATGTCATGCATTGCGTATAAATATTCATAATGTACTAGTGTGCCAAAGTCTTGACTTTATTTCCTGAAAAACCACTATAAAGTCACTGATCAAAAAGTAAAAAATGGTTCTCTGTTTTTGTATTCTATTATAGCCAAACCTATAATCAAACTTAGGTAAATGTTTTTGGGTTAAATTGTTTTCATTCCAGAGTGAAGAATATTTCCCCCAATAATTTTTAGGATGGCTAATGTTCTATATAGAAGTTCCCCTTTTACTTTATTTGCTTTAATGGATCTGATAGGGAATTACAGCCTTTCATTCCCATTATCACTCCGCTTAAAGCCTTTTGTTTCCCTCTGTCACTGAAATCCCATGGAATATGGTAAATATAAGGGTGCACTCGGCCATCAAAGTCAAACAAAAGGAAATATGGCCGGAACAAAAAGAAGAAAAAAAACCAACGAATGAGGGCTCCAAAGCGATTTGACGATGAAACCCCACAGGGCCATTAATTGTATGTCGCCTAATTTTTCTTCACAGTTACGTTGTGTTGGCCATTTTCGGCCATAGTTTCAGCTGTTGTTACTGTTATTGCTCCTAAGTTGGCCAACTCTGTTGGCCATGTTTCCTAGGGAGCTGGCAAAGCGGCTTTTGTTGCGTTGCAGCCTTCTTTGTGTTGAAATACTAGTGCTGGTAATTTATGCGGCTTCCCCGCCCTGCCACTCCCATTTTTCCTCAAAATTTTCCACACATTTTCTCTATTAAACATGAAACAGTAACCGAATACCATTCGGTTACCAGCCAAGACAAAATTATTCGCTTTGATTTGTGTTTTTCGAGTTTTGCAAATTAGAGGGCAATCAAAGCGTAAACTTTTATTTCACTTCGCTGAAAAGGCAGACACAAATACACACACACACACGCCGAAAATGGTCGTCGCTAACAGGGAAAACTGTATCCTCTAATGTCCTTTCGAAAGCGATTTTCTCAACTGCCCAGAAAATTGGTTGCCATGGTGGCCGGGACAATAACAAAAAGCGAGCAGCCATGGAAAAACATGTTCGCCTGCTCCTTCGTATCGTACATATACACCTTCCTTTACTTACGAGTGTGTGTGTGTGAGTGTGTGTGTGGACCTGTGTGCAAGTGTGAATATTAGGTCACAGACGTGTGTGTGTGTGCTTTTCCTGATTTCCTCGGGTGGGCATTTTATTAATTGTTGTTTTCCTAGCACAACATTTGGTTGCTTGTCTCTGATTGTGTGGTGTTTAGTGGAAAGTTTTGCTAACATTTCGTTCAGGGCTTTAATCACTTAAAATTCGGAGGAGGAGTTTTTGTAAGCTGTAAGCTGATATTCAGAAAATATTTATTACTACATTTTTGTTTTTAATCTATTCTTTACTATTTAAAAAACTCTGAGAAATTATTTTTAAAAGAATCAATCAAAAGAGCAGTATTTTTAAAGACTATTCATCAATTATTTAAATTACTTAAATAATATATTCCCAATGTTTGCAATAATTTTTATTTTATTTCTAAGGTAAAAATAAAAACTTTGTTGGGACTAAAACCATTTATATTTATATTAGCCACTCTAGTAAATATCTTCACCTTAACTTCTACACAACATTCATGCTATTATCTACTATCCTGGGGATCGGAATTTATAAAAGTGGAATCTTTCTTGGGGCGATGCTGTGTACAAAGCCACCCGTGGGGTTGGGATGCCAAGAGCAGAAAAAGTGGCTCACAAAAGAGGACAAAGTGAAAAGCTATAATCAGATTTAATTAAACACGAAATTGGAACGTTGGCTGGATGTCAGGCAGGCAACTTTTAGCTTGGAACTTGGAATGTGTGTGACACGGTCACTGGCCAAGACTCACGATTTGGCTGCGGGTTCTACTTAAAGTCCAATATATGTATATACTATATATATACAGAATATGGAGTACAGTGGATGTGTGTGCCCATGATATATATGTTGCATTTTTTTTGCACGCCACTTCTGATTTCTCATTACTATTTCAGTTTATGTGGAGCAGCTGGCGACGATTTCCAAGTGTGATAAACTTGCAAGCGAAGCCCCATGGCGTTTCTATTTTTTTTTTTTTTTGCTTTTTTGAATCCACGGATAAGGAACAAAGTGGAGCAGCTGGGCAGCACTTGGAAATCAAAGCTGGCTCCTTATTGCCAGCCTCATTACTTTCGAACAGCCACCCACACATCCTTTTTTTTGGGGTGGCATCTGCATGGGGAGACAATGTATTCATGGCCTGCGACGCCATGATAAACCCGTCCACACTGCGTATGCGTAATATTTCACTTTGCATGCACTCTTAAGTGCCAACTGCCTCCGCATTTCCCAGTGGATAAATTTATGCATTGATTGCCTCGATTTATGAGATGTCTTCACGCTTCCAAACATTGATCCAGTTCAATGGGATTAAGCTTAAGGGAAAATAACTAAATTTAAACTCAAATATTATAATTTTTTGCTTGGAGTGGGTTTATATTTAGTTTAACTTTAATAACTTTCCTATTTAGGGACTCTTTCATATCTTCAGCAAATTAAAAATTTAGAAAGTACAGCTGCTTTTCTTTAAAAATTAATTCCAGAGACCATTATCCATTATAATCTGTTAGCTGCAAGCTGTTGCCAATTGCCTTGGCAATTTTTTCCAGCCATCAAATGCCATTTTTTCTAACTAAATGCACTTTTTGTTTGCAGAGCGAAATTGGACCTCTGGCGCAAAGCCGTTAATCTCCAATGGGGCGACACATTCGGGGGAAGGAAAATTCATAAATGAAAGCTTCTAATTGCCGGAGAATGACAAACGCGACAAGAAATCGGCGCGAGCGAACAAAAGTGAAGCAAACTTTTTAGGCAATCCGACAAAAGGCAGCTAAAAGCAGCTAAAGCCGCAAAAATTGAGCCAACGAAGCGGCGGCGATGCTGTTGATGCCCACATCCTGTGGGCCGGGGCCACCCATCGACCTCGGCCATCCCTCGTCCTTGCCCTCTCACACCTCCCACGTTCACTGCCCCTCCCACTCCCGCCCCCACTACCGCCCACGTTCCCCCGCCCCCCGAAGAGCGACAGATGATGGCGAGTCGGTCCGGCGGTCAGGGATCCACGCCCCAAGGACTTTTTCGGGGTCGAGCATTCCCCAGTGGCTGCTAATCCTCCTCGGACTCCTCGCCATTCTCGCCCAGACACCGAGCAGCCAGGTGGCCGCCGAGAAGAGTAAACACTGTAAGTACACCTTATGATTGTTTTATAAATATATCATACAGTAATTTTAATTGTTTTTATAATGCTCTTTGAATTATATTATACATCAAAGGCGTTTTTATAAAAGCTTAATTTTTAATTATGAACTGTATAATACTATGCTTTAAAAAGTTTAAATTTTTTATAGAGAACTTCATAAAATGTTTTTCAAAACGTATAATATTATCTAAAGTTTCTCTCTTCTTCTCAACATAAAAGTTTAAACCAATTTCAAGGAACATTTTCTTTACTTGATATGTTTTTTATAAACCAGTATAAGTAAAAAGAGTATTACAAGATATTCTTGTTAAATTTTTATAGTATACTATATTTATAAGGAATTAAAATTTATCAAGGTTTTATAATAAGTTTTTAAAGTTTATTTTAAGTGGTTATTAGCTTTTCTAGATTTATAAAAAAATCTTGTTTAGACCATACAACATAATTGTTTGTTGTTAGCAAGAAACTTTTATCGCATTTCCGATGTCAGCCGCAAAATGGTTTTTCATTTTGCACATAGCCACCAATGTGTGTTTTCTATTTAAATAAAAATCCACATTCTTGCATTGACATAATGGAATACATCGTGGCATTTGATGATAGTACTATATGTACCCATAGGAAACGAACATTTTCCACCCTCCATAAACTCTGCTCGTCTTGTACAATGAAATCTGTCAACAGCTTAGTTTTATGTTTTTCTGCGATTTCCCTTGCACGACAATAAAAATTTGTTTGAGCAAATGTAATAAAAGTGCATTTAAATGTTGCCGAACGGAAAAATCCGTAAAAAATGGGAATCCTCGAACTATAAACATATAAGCACCACGCACTCACGCAAATGTATATAAATATATATATAAATGGGTATATATATGTGGTAGGGCGATAACATTGTGTGGCAAAGCTCTTGTGGTAATTCATTCACTTTCCGCATATTGTTTATGTGGCAAATAAACAACGAATAAATACATTTTTATGATGCAATGTCAACGTGCAGAGAGAAGTATTTACATGTGTACAAAAGCACGTGCAAAGGCATTTATTTTTGGGACAAAAGTATTTATGTGACTCTCGGATTAAGTATTTCGGTTTCGGATAAATTCTTTAGGTTCCTTTGGTTAAATCAATGCAGAACTTAATTAAAGTAAAGAATTTAATTAGGATTTAATAGGTTTTCTTTTGTAAGTTCTCAAGCAGAAATTACATTGGTATAAGTTTCAAACTAAAAATATTTATCTGCAATAAACAATACTTGATATAAATTTAAATAAATATTTACTTTCCATATAAGAGATAAGCTTGTTTTTCCTACAACCCAAAGACAAATGTTACACATTAAAGTTATAAAACATTCCCCTTGCCTCCCAGAAAAGTAGTTTTCAGCTAACAAGCCTAGTGTCGGAAATAGTCCGATTATAAACTGGCTGGGGAGACCGTACCCGTATGTATATGGTTTCCCGGATGGGGCCAACGGAGAATGGCGACCGCAATTGGCGACCCATGAAATGGAATTACTCGGGCGGAGCGACGCGTCGTTTGCTCGGTTACAAAGTATGCACTCCATACCTCCATACCATACTCATTCCCTTGCAGTTTGCGTTCCGGCGACGAAAGTTGTTGGCGCAAATTATTTCCGTATTTTAGCATTAAATCATAATTAAAATTTGAAGTAAAACAACTTACATGCCAGCAATTGGGGGCGCCGCCTACTTTGCGGGAAAAGCGGGCTCAACGATTCGGGGGCGGAGCTGCAGTCGCAGTTGCAGTCGCTGCAAAAGTTTTCCTAGTCGAGGGCGCAGAAAAAGTTCGCTGCATACTTATTTGGGCTTGTTTCCGGTTTGCTGCTGACGCGGCTGCCTTTCCTTTCCACTTTCCTCGCTTTCCCCGTTTTCCCCGCTTTTCCTCCGCGAGGAGAGATGCAGCCTAATTGCAGAATCCAGGGGAAAAAGAGCTGGGTGACAAGTGTCGATGCTGACTGGGATTTGCTTTCCTGCACATTGAAATAAGCCAACTACAAATTTCTACTACATTTTCTTTAAAAATTTGTAATCAAATTAAATCAAATTTTAAAGTCTTAGAAAACTTTTAGATATTAATCTTCTTTGTGGTAACAATTCCAGATAAATTTAAGAACAAAATATGAATATAATAGGTATAAAATAGAAACAACTTTAGCGAGATAATTTTAAAACAAATAAAACAAAATATTATATATTCTAGAAAACTGAAATAAATATAATTAAAATGATTTGTTGTTTGATTAGCTCTTATTAGTAAAAAATAGATGCAGTACAACTATGGTATAATGTTATAATGTTATCTTTAGATATCTTTCCCGTTTTATCATCATATACCACTGTTCCCTTCCATAGTTTTGTTTTACTTGCTCATTTCCGGGCGACGCTTAGCTGCACTTTCTGCTGCTCCTGTTCAAAGAATTGTTCCTTCTGCTCCTGGTTCCCGTGATCCTGGTCCTGCTGCTCCTTATTTGCAGTGGCCACACACCCGTACTCCAACTGAGACACAAACGCGAACCGCTGGCGCTTCCCTCGCCGGTTGTGTCCCCATCAGAATTGTGGCCCACGTGGCGTGTACTTAATTTCCCATGCTCATCGCCAGGGCGCGTTAACTTTTTTCACCGGCCACATACTTACTGCCTGCCGTTGCCCCCTTTTTTCTTTTTTTTTTTACCTCATACCTCCTCTGCCATGAAAACTCCCCTATTTCCCCCTACTTATTCCGCTGTCGAGCCGCATTGAAGACTTCTCAACTCGTTCAACAAAATTTGCACAAAAGTTTCATAATTAATTTCATGTTAAGTGGCAATGCGAGTGGTGGGCGTGGTCGTGCCAGCCAGCCAACCAGCCCCCCTTTTCCAAAAAGCCTGCTCTTCCAACCCAAAGTTTCCACAAAAAAAAAAGGAGGAGAAAAATCTCCTGGACTGGTATCTTTAATTTGAATTGTCATTTCCTTTCTTCAGCTCTCGAAGCAGCCACTTTGGTGTCGTCTGCCAGGCATCCTGTTGGTGGCCACGCCCACCTACTCCTACATCCTTTTACCCCCCTCTCCTTTGCCACAAAATGCGGTCGCACGTTCAACTTGATTAGCGTAACTTATAATGACTCGCACGAGCAGCGACTCGGGACAAACTTGTTGGGTCTCACTCAAATTCCATTCTGCCCAAAAACACTTGCAAACGGTTACTTTCATAAGTAAATATATACCCCAGCCATATACATATATATATTTGAGAGGTTTTTGGGGGGTTTTCAGAGGCATTTGCAAGTGGTTTTCATAATTACTTTGTGTGAGTTCTTCATGGTAAATGGATGTGTGTTGAAAACTTTGCGACTGTCACAAAACCGGAACTCCACTTTCACGTGTTTGTTAGCAAACCTTTCACAATTATGTGTGCGCTATTTGCTTGTAATTATATAAACATATATTTACAAGTTTATTGCTTGGGGTCTCGTGTTTTGATAATTGGATTGCGTTCAATTTTGTTAAATTAGACGTGCGTTAGTTTAGCAAATTGGGCGAATGTGGAATATGACTTTGGGAATTGTAGAAGTTATTTCGTTAGTCTTACGCCTTAAAATAATGAGAAGAGTGAATTCTTTGGTGTTTGTAATTTAATATAAATATACATATATTTTTTTTATATTTACCTTTTTATCAGACTGAAAGTAAATAACCAGATTTATAAAACATTTTCACAATTTTGTAAGCAGTTATTTATTACCTTTTTTACAATGTGCAAATCTTTGGCGGATTCCTTTGCTTTTTTATACTTTTTGCGGATACTTTTTAACTTTTATGCGAACATTTTATTGGCTTTTTATAATGGCGGAAATGCGTATGTTTTGACAAGGGATACTGACAGCTCGCACGCTTTTTCCCCAACTCCGGAAAATAAAAACCTTAAACTCTCCCCACTTTTTCCCATCGCATTGTGCGATTCTATGCAATAATGCGAACATTATATAATTTTGAAAATATGTCACGTTGCTGGGATCAAACTCCTCATTCCCCCATTCCTTCCTCCTTTTTGTTACCGAGTCCAACTCAAACAGAAGCCGATGGCCGACTGCCAATAAATTTTGAGGGAAAAACAACTGTCGACGAGGACGAAGAAGTGGCATAAAACTTTTGCTCTTTGTGTTGGCATAAATATGAATGAATGGATTTGGACTTGAGGCTTAGGAGCCAAAGCAGGAGCTCCAAATGGGAATGGAAGTGGGACCAACTGGTCCACTGCGGCATATACTCCACCTCGCTCTGCTACATGGAAATATTCCAAAATGAGTTTCAGTCGAGGAGACCAATGCGGTCTTCCCACGTCAACGGTTCAGTTCACAAAGGCAAAAGGGCTAAAGGGGGTTGAAGGGGGTTAAGAGGGTTGAAGGGGAAGGGAAAGGGGGTAGGAAAGGGGAGACTTTCCATGGGCAATAAATTTTAATTTTCCCTAAATCCTTGCGCATACGAAATGAGATTTGTAACAAGCCGCAGCAATCATCTGGTGGCGCTTTCTTTTCACTGCCTCAAAACTCAAAACTTCTCTCTAAGTGAGAAAATGATTGTCTGGCATATCTTGATTAATTGTGAGTGGCATTATTTGACTTAAAGTCCCAAATGCTTAACCCTTTTATATCAGAGTTAAACTGGTTCAACTCACATGATGCCTATGTTGATGTTAAATAAAACAAAAAAGGAGGTACACTTGTTTTTTCAGGTCTTTCATTAGCAAACATGTCACATTGAAGTTGTTATTTATTTAAAAGGTGAATTTATATTCCCATACTAATTTTAAAATAGATTTTGGCGGGTACTGGAAATTGAATTACATTTTTAAAGACAATATATGACATAAGATAAACCAATTCGACGTGATCAATATACTCCTCAAAATAATTTAAATAAAATAATAAATATTGGTATGCTTATAACAAATATTTCTGAAATTTCTAAGTTCTTTTAAAATTGAAAATATATTTTAGAAAATATATTTAGCAATTCGAAAGGACAAAGAAATATACAAAAATATTATTACATTTATTTGTTATTACTTTTTTATACCTCAAAATAAAACTATGCTGCATTTGGGCGCATTTAAAATGTTGAAAGCGAAGTTTATTCACTTTGTGGGTCATGGCAACCTTTGACCTACTGGCTTCCAGTCCCCCAATCCCAATCCGTCTAATAATAAATCTTTGCCGGGGCGACGATGACTCAGCTGCTTAGCGATCCCTGGAGAGCGGGCACAGGTCACAGTCAAATGCGCAGATAAATGTTTATGGAAGATAAATTGCAGCCAGCGGATAGAAATCAGGCAACGCATAATAAATTCCATTTGTAGTCCGCAACTTGGGGCAATATTTGAACGGGGCAACTGAAAAGAGTTGAAGAGGCGGATTTTTTGCGAGGGAGCGATGCCAAATCGAGTATTGATGCGTTGGCATCCCGCGGCACGATGTCATTGCCAAAAAGTCCCCTCTTGAACCTCCAAAAAAAGAAGCCTCCCACCTCCGACCAATTTCCCACCGAAAAACACCGAACAATGAATTCGTTCGATGCGAATTGGTTTTGTGAAATTGTCCACGAACGTGGGCGGATCATTTATCAATATTTCCGCTCGGCTGCTGGATTCGGAGTAGGTAATCGCTTATTATTCGAAATCGGTCGATAAATGCAATACATATGGTATACCGTATACGTGTGGGTTCCGTTGGCCCACTAACCCCGCAGTCGAACGATTTCCAAACTTAATTTATGTATTGCCAAAAAAACATACACATTCTGTCAATTGCTCGAATTGGACTTGACAAATTGAATTTGGGGAATTTACAAACTTTCACCCGTTTTTAATTGGCTTGAAAAGGGTTTTCCTTGGCAGCCAATCAGTATTTATTTATTGATGTTTGTTTTGAACAAACTTTTTGGTAAAATAATTTAATATTAAATTACTGAGTGAAAAAAGAATAATACATTTTTATTTATATATTATGTTTTCAGTTTTTAAGAAGTCTAACCAATTTAAAATAATTTAATTTCTACACATATTATTTTTTCCGACTTGTAAAACTTACTGAAGTAAAAATACTTTCGAAGCTCCTAAGACAAACCAGAAACTTCTTTTTAAAATTTCCAAAAACTAGAATTTAGTTTGTTAGAATATTTAAATATAATATTTAAGCATATCTGACCCATTTAAAATGACAGAAGACCAAGATGAATTCATTTGGTGCGTTGTATCTCCGGCGAAACATTTGCCCATTTAATTGGGAAACCTTACAGCGAAACACTGAATCCTTGAGTGCTGCATTGATGAATTCCGCAAATCCTCGAGGAGCGAATAAAGAGGGAAAGTGTACACTGTGCAGGACGGGCCACAAAGGGGCATAAAATGAGTTGAACATTCCGGGCATTGTGCCGTCAGTTAAGCACATGAATCCCTTTTGTAATCAAATGCACAGAAAATTGAGTTCTATTCAAGAAAAATCCAGTGCGAGAGTCCCAAACCTCTTTCGTGTCCTCTCCTGATGGGCTTTTTGTATCGGCCGGCTTTTCTTGCCCAAATACATATATAGAGTATATATATATATTTATTATATTTTATATATATACTAAGGAGTATCTGTGTGTGCTGTATCCTTGGTTGAGTTTTGTGTGCGCGTGATCCACTTAGGCGTTGCACAGGGAATCCAGAATCCACGCGCCGGCAAAACAAAGCGTCGAAATTATCTTACCGAGCTAAGATTCCTAAAGGGGCGGAGCGTGGGTGGGCGTGGCCGGTGGCTGAAAGAAAAATATTGCAAGAAGCGCGCCTAGACAATAGCACCGAAATAAGTAAACAACAATAATAACAAAAAAACAACACAGAAAAAATAGAGAGAAAAGCCGCAGGAACAACAATAGCGTAATAAACTAACGATGGAGCCAAACTCGCCGGCAAAAACTATGCAAAAAGTTTTCGCTTTGTTTTTCGCAGCACCAGCAAAAATGGAATTAATAAGAGGAGAGATGATTTTCGAAAAATATTATACTATATATATATTTAAGTCCCCGTTTATGGGGCAGATAAGACCGGGAAAATGCCAGCGAAGGGCAGTGCAAAATTTAATTAACAATTTGTGAGGGCTCAAAGTAAACAAGGCTCCTCCCGAAGGACATCGGATATCCAGGGGTCTTAGCTCAGGATTTACCTTCATAGTTCTGGCTGGAAATGATCTAGTCCTGGCATTGAGTAGCCCTTCGATGGCCGCATGACAAGTTGAGAGCTCCTTGACAAGTTCTTAATGAAAAGTTGAGAAGCGCACATAATTAAACTGCCTTTTGCAAGCGCAACTGCCAAAGTTTGTGCAATCTGGAAAAAAAAAAGGAGAAGGAGTCTAGGTCCTTTGAACATTCGTCGTAAAAGTGGCGACAATGGCCTTAAAGATTTTATAGAACGCGAAAGTCTTTTTGAATAGATAAAAGAAAATGTATAAAATAGTAAAATAGTTATTAGAACACTTAAGTATATAACAAGTTCCAAAAATAATAAACATTTCCTAACTTTTCATACTTTATTACAGTTATAGAAATCTAAAAGTTAAATAAAAGTCATTTGCCATTACGTTTCCCTTATCATTTATTTTATCGACATTAATGTTATTTCACTTAGGAAGCCATCGCTATCGAAGTAAAAAAAGTGAAGTATAAATTGTGAAACTTTTGACTATTCAAACATTTTGACAAGCGACAATTCGCTTGATTATTGCCGTGGAATGGCGGGGAAAAGTCCTTCGAGGAAACTTATCGTGTGGCCCATTTCTAGCGTGTCCTTTTCGCCTGCCAGCTCCTCCTGTTTGTGGCCACCAGCCCCGCCCACTTGCCAGTTGCCACCGCCCAGTTGTCCCAGTAGTTCCTTCATTAGTTTGGCACTTCATCTTGGCTGCACGCTCGAGTGCCTCCGCTCTGAGCTCTGAGGTTGCCACATTCTGAAGAGTGACAAAAGTTTAATGATGCGTTTAAGTTGCACGTGGCATGCCCTTTGGCACCCACAGTGTTCTCCTCCGCAGGACTCGACTCCATTCGATTCCATAGAAGGATTTGATGAGCCATACGCATTGCAATGTTTGTTTGCCAAACGGAGGAGAAGCCTTGGAAAAATTGCAGCTGCCAGCAAGTTATTGATTTTCATCACGCAACTTCCAGACAAATTATGGTGTAGGTTCCGTGGCACTTAACATCGCCTTCAGACAACTGAAATACACAAACCCAATTTACTTGTTTCCTTTATGATTAAAAAAATGGGATTTGGATTCTTTATTAAGTTTAATGTAATTTTATTTGCAGTTAATAACAGAAGGGTTAGATAGCTTTTGTATTCTTAAACTTATTTATATAATTTAGTAGTAGTTGCTTTATAATAATAATAACTCCCCTTAAGTCTGATTAATTTCATCCACTTTGGAGTCCTCTAATTGTTTGAATTGTATAAGAATCACTAAATAAGTAGTAACAGCTGAAAAAATCTTAAACAAAGTGGAGTTATCTATTGCAAAAAATCCATAAGCAGTGAATTGCAATTCCTGTTTAATGCTCTTGGTGAGAAACTTATCGATGAGGTTCTGGAACTGCTTACTCTTTCCATAAATCCTGGCCAGAATCTGAGCCGTACTATTCGTTTCCGAGGCCAAACAATCACAGGCATCGCAAATTACGGCCATTGTGATGGTTTCAGCTAAAACCCAGGCACAGGATAAACCAATTGTATTAGCCACATCTGTTTTGGAACTCGAAATATTGGCAGTCAAGGTGGCAAAGGCCAAATAACTCTGATTAGTCACTGTATAAAAAGAGAAACCGAAGTAAAATAGTAGAGCCACTCCGGCTACAGAGTTCATATTCTCGGTGATGTAGCGAAATTTACACAGCACTTCTATCAGATTGCACAGTTCCCTCCAATTATCCAGATTTCCATTATCCTGAAGACCCAAGGAATCTAGTCGCTGGTTAAGGAAAGCAATCCTTTGGGATAAAGCCATTAAAATAGATCGAAGATATATGGAAAGTATAGTGGAGTATAGCAATTGAAGGGAGTAAATCAGAAGCAGAATAATCTTTTTCTTGGAGCCAATGCCACTTCGATAGTGAATGTAGTAGAAGGCCACAGAAAGTACTCCAAATGCAGCTGAGGTGACCAGGATTCCCAGCTTTCTGCAGCTGTAATTCTCGCAAAATCCACTCACCACCAGGAACTCATCTATTTTGGCAATATCCTGTAGAGTTCGACAATGTCGAGATGAATTTTGTACACTGGACAAAACCATCATTGTGTAGCTCAAAATGCAGAGAAGAGTCTCAATGGTCCGATTGATTTCCTCGGTGTCTCCTTGGGCTCTGGCCACCAGTCTGTACTCCTTCGAGGCGAAAAGGACATCCTCGGCGAAGATTAATGAGCTGATCAGTATAATCAAGGCAACTAGGCGTCCATACCAGCGACCCCATTTCCCCAATCGGAAGTTATCCTCGTCATTTCGAGTATAAAATGGCAGCAAAGCAAATATCTGCGAAGGATATGCTATAGCTCGAATGTCCTGCAGGATCTTCATGGCAATGTGGTCTGTTTTTGTGTAGTTACTATAATGAAATGAGTCTTAGATACTTTTACTGAACTATGCAGCTGTTTAATTGACTCAAATTAGTAATAAATGAACATGATATTAAGACAGAAGATATAATTATATTATGTATATAAAAGTAGGCTTTAACTTCTAAGAGAAATAATTGATACTAAAGGTTAATTGTTGGAAATCTACCATGCATATATATCGATCGCAATTACATGACACTTAAAATTGTTGGTTCCAAGGAAATTATATTAACTTGGCCCACATCTGCAATTAATTTGATCAAAGTCGAAAACATGAGCGATGAGTGGGCTGAGTAGTTCGCGTGGCAAAAATTACAATCATTGGGTAATTACGAGCTAATGCGACCTGTAATAATTGCCGACTGGCATAAATATCCGTGGAACTTGAAAGCCTCTCCGTCCGATGTGCCACGCAAATTGGCCAATTACTTTGACAAACCGCCGGCGGCGAATGGAGCTCCTCGATGAGCCAGCTCCACGAGAATTATCCTGACGGACATCCTGGGGCCAATAGAAACGGCAAACGGCAAACGGCAACAGCAGGAGGACTCCGTTCCTGAATGGAGATTAAGCTCATTATGCAAACGCCTTCCAACCGATGAGCTCCGATGGACGGAGTCGTCCAGGCGAAAGGCATTTACTTCAATTATTTCATTAAAGCAGCAACATCAAGCGACAAAAGTCCGGGGGCATCATCTGCGAGTCCTTCGAGTCCTGCGAATCCTGCGAATCCTTGTGGCCATCGCAGTGTGCCTCCAAGATGCCATCGAATTTCGGTGGCGCTAATGGAGCGTGTGAGTCCGCCACCAGCTGTCCCACTCAGCCAGCATTTCGACTTAGTCAACTGGATGGAGCGTACAGTATACCCAACAATTTTATAATCTTTCCCAAGAAATACTGGCAAAAAATTAGAAAATTGAAAAAGGAGAAGCCTATAAAGCATACAAACCATGAAATATGAATTTAAAAAAATATACAAAATCGCTAAAAATCTGTAAGAGCCAGTAGAAGTAAAAATCTTTTAAAATAATCTAAAATGAACTCTTCAAGTTATTATTATTAAATAATTCAGGTTACATTCATTTAAAAGCATAATAATTTTCGGTAAATTTTTGATAATTAAGTTTCATATTCTCTATAATATAAATAACAATTTATTAGTTATCATTCCACCCAAGAAATTCCGACAAAAAATAAGTAGAAGTAAAAATATTTTAATGATATTTCAAGCAAAGAATCTGAAATAAACTCAGCAAGTAGATATTATTAAATAAATCAAGTTACATTCTTCAAAGGCATAATAATGTTGGATAAATTAAGTGTGATAAAGTAAAATATTTTCTGTACTATTAAAACAATTTAATTAGTTATTATTTCAGCCAGAATTACTTTTGAAATTTTAAAGCAAGGTATACCCCATACTTTTCACCACTCAGTGTATAGTTTGTGGGGCGATGACTCTACACGAACATGGCGGGTCATTTGGGGGCCAGTAAAATTCAATATCGGAGCCCAGGAAATTCATTGTTTAACCTTTGTTGCTTAAATTGCTCAAATTCCTGCCATTAGTTTGACAAACGAGCCAGCGAAATTATTTTGTTGCAGCCAAGTTGCCGTTCGCATCCGGAGTGAAAATGGGGCGGAGCTCGATCGAAAACCGAGCAGATTTTCCGAGGCGGGGGAGGAGGGGAAAAGGGGAAAAGTTAGTTGCCACAGCATTGGAGCAAGCATGGAGTAGCTAAGGCAACTTTGACCCCTTGGAAAACCCCCATTCGGAAAATCTCCACCAAACGAAACTTTCGTTCAATCCCGGTGCTTTGGGGCACGCAGCAAGCTTTTCCCGGTTGCGGTTTCGTTACCGTTGGTTGCCACAGCTCCCATTGTTGCCACAGCTCCTTCCACGGTGGTCATCCTCATCTCCATCCTCCGGTTCCGGCTCCACTGCTGCAGATTTATTTGTGGTTTTGCATAATCACTGGAAATTAGTTTAAAATATTTACATTAAATTTGCATCCCGATTCCGGGCGCTTTTCGGCTGCAGGATATGCTAAGTATAAGTATAAGTATAAGCTCTTAAATGGGCATTAGCCTGTTGGCCGGGTTCAAGGAGAATCGCCAAAGGATGGCTAATTAAATAAACCCCTTGATTAACTAGAATAAATTAAATTCCTAAGGAAATTGCAAGCGGTTTCTTTGAGAGATTTTGATTTATGAAGAGAAGTTGATTACCAAATATTTGGATATTATTAAGAGAAGTTTGTGTTTGATTTTAATTTAAAATCATAAATAAATGTATGCAAACTCTAGAGCATTTTCAACTTTAAAACTCACCCCATATTTTATTTAGTCTATATTATTTTAGCCTAGTACACGACTAACTACTAAAGTACTTTCAAACTTTTAAAATTCATCCGATTGCGAACTACCCATAGTCGAAAAAGTTAAAACTCATTTAACCACTTTATTGAACTACCAACTAAAACATGAGGAGTCAATAAATATTGAAGTTCCTCTCGTACACTTTGTTTTTCCAACCAAAGTTTTGCGATGCCAGCGAAATATTTGCCAAGGCATCTTCGAAACTTTCTCTAATCACAGTTTGGCACAAAGTTAAATTCATCAAATAAACTTACCGAAGTCACCGTTCCCCGATGCAGTATACCTGCCAACGTATTTGCAATGCTCCTGGTGATTATCCTGGGAAATATCCTTTGGGAAACACTTTTAGCCGAGATCCACTTGTTTACGTGTGTCAACGAATATAATAATTCTCAGCTCGCTGCTCAGAGCTTCCACTCTCGTTCTATATTTGCCAATGCTCTCAAGGTGCCAGAAATGGCGACGATTCCAAGTTTTAAAAGCTGCACACAAAGAAAAGTTTATTTTATGAGCTTACATAATAATATTTTAAGGGTTTATTAAACTCCACTATTGGTAGTTTTATTCTGAGAAAAAATAGAAATTAAAGATTTAAAAAACTGGGGATATTTGGAAACTAAACTTTTAGTAGTTGTATGAGCATCTATAATATAATATATAAAAGTTAATAAATATTTTATAAGTGAAAAAATTTTTAAAGTAAAAATCGAATAAAAAGTATTTAATTTTTGGTAAATCAGTATTAAAAATAAAAATATAATTATTTAAAAGTTGAGAGATGTTTTCCAACTCAATAAAAATCTGCTTTAAATCAATGTCAAAATTGTTTCCCGTGTACCAAAGGACTTCTTTATTTGCGAAGGTCGCTCCATGCGTGTGACTGTGTCCCCAAAAGAAAACGGGAAGAGAAGAAAGTTAGAAAGCTGAGTAAACATCATTTTCCAGCCCGAGCAAAAGAAGACATCTAGTGTCCGGGGAGGCGAGTCTAGAAACCGAAAAAACTGCAACTGGAGTTTGGGCCAAAACGCATTTAGGACCACCAAACACTTCCGGCCAACCCTTCACCCCTTTCGACCGGAAGCATTAAGCTGTGGAATAGCTTCTCCTGCTACGAAAGCCATTACCAATGCGATTCCGAGTGCCGCGAGTTATGGTGACGACCCGCAACTTGGACGTTCGCAGATTGTTTGCGAATTGCCACTGGCAATATGGGGACTTTAGCCATCACGATAAGTCCGAAAGGAGCTGAAAAAAGGCAGAAAACTTGGCTGAATCTTTCTCGATTGGCAACATAAAAAAAAGCTGAAAGTCTGAGCTTTTGGAAAACAGATTTCGTGGCATTATTAGTCGATTAATAACGCGGGAATTAAAGCCACCAAATTAATTATGCCATTTTTAATCCTTTTGGCTCAGTCTTAGCAAACGACATTCCTACCAAGTAATCCCTGCCATTAACTGAAAAATTGGCTTTGAATGGCAGATGCGACTCAGTCGGTTTTGGATTTGGATATTTCCATGAACACGCCGTACAGATTTGCTTGGTTTTTTGCTTTTTTTTGTGCCATCTCGTCTCCCTTTTGATGTGGGACACTCTTCGGATTTAAGCCGGGCATTATCCCTAATTTCGAAAATGCCGTTTTCCTGTGTTTTTGCTGCCCAGCCATCAGAACTAAGCTCCCAACTGCCCCCAAGTCCGAATTTTCCTCTCGAGATCCGAGTGGTTTTTCCACTTCCACTTTTCCTCCTCGTTATCTTCGTTCGGTTGCCCTTCCATTTATTTTTCCCCGCTTTTTCCCTGCGAGTGCATAAACAAATTGAAGATAAACATACTTATGTGAGAATATATATAAGCTAGGGTACCGAGGGAAAAATTAAAGATATTTATATTAGGAAATCTGATGAAGAAAATGCAATTAAAAAAATATTAAAAAATTACTAATTAGTTAAGGAGATTTAAAAAAAAAATGTTATTAAGTTTTACAAGAAATTTTAATAATAGCTTTTTATTAAAGCGTCAATTTGTAGACTTATATTCAGAACAAATATTTATTTCAATTTATAATTTATTGTCAAAAAAAAAGACAATGTTCAAAAGGAGAATATTGAAGATTTGCTTAACAATATCAAAAGTTTGAACATTCAATTTTAAATGGTTTGAATTTACAATACCTTTTCAAAATTAAGCTTGACAACTTCAATTAATTTATTTAAAGTGCATGCAGTTGGCTCAGGGAAAAACTGAACTTGAAGCATGTTGCAATTTCAGCCACCAGATCCGCGATGAGCCACCTCCCCCTTTCCCCTTTCCCCATTCCCCCGGCAAATGGAATTGTTTTCCCTGGAGCTGGCAACATTTGTGTCAGAAATGCCTTAATTTATAGAAAATGTATCTGCTGGATGGGAAAGGACTCCATCCCGGGGCTGCCATGAATGTCACATGGGTTTCAACGTCCTGCGCGGCTTTCGTTTGTCTTTCACTTCACACAGAAGGACCGACAGCCCGAAGGCAGCCACGATTTGCTCATGTCCCGACAGCCACTCCCACTCCTGATGTTCCTACTCCTGCTTCTACTCCTCCTCCTCCTGCTCCTCCTCCTCCTCTTGCTCCTTTTCCGCCTCCTATCTATCTCGGTACATCTCCTTCTTCCCCGGGGGCCTCAGCGCAGATGCATGATAATCCCGATACGAACTTCGG